CGGGTGGGGCGATGATGATGGTCGGGAGCAAGGCGCGCAATTGGCGCACGAGCGCGCTCTGACGCGTCTTGGACGCGAAGATGCAAACAACGGCAAACAACGTGATCGCGTTTCCGACGTCATGCCGTTTGGCCGGAGCGTATTCTTGGACTCGAGCGTGCACAAGTCGTGCGGCTAGCGCTGGCCAGCCCACCATCACGCCGCGACTCGACTCGCTAGCCGGGAGCTCGCTGGCCAGTCGCCATCAGCATATCTCAGCGACTGTGCCACTCGCTAGGTCTCACCCGGCGAGAAACGGTTTTCATGATGGACGAGCCGAGCGTAGTGGGATTGGAACTACTCAGTACCTGCGCGGCGGCGGACCCGGCGGCGGCTGGACGTAGTATGTGGGTGGCGAATATTGAGGTACACCCGAGCCAGCATTGTTCCGCACTTCATCGCTGAGACGGGCGGGCTTGGGTTGGGGGGTGATGAGAACGTCTACCGAGCTCGCGGGGATATGTCCATTGGCGCGCTCGACGTCGCCCAATTGACCACCCGCCTGGCGGGCCTTCCGGCGTGCGTAGACGAAATCAGGTTTCGCGGCGTCGATCTTGCGGTTGACGTAGCGCATGGCGATGATAGTGATCAAAATCGTGCCGACAATGACCACGATGGTGGCGATCTTTTGGCCCTTCGTTTCGGCTAGAGGAAGCGAAGGTTAGCTGAAAGCCCAGAAGAAGCCTGAGTGGTTAAGACGTACTGTCTTTATCCTGCTCGGCGAGCACGCCGAGATACACCGTGGCGAATTGACGCGGTAACGAGAGGACTGCAGCCGCAAGGAAGACGAAGAAGTTCATCTTGATGGTTGCAAATACACCAGTAGTGACTATAGCGAGCGTGTTAGACGCGATATACGACGGTGCAGAAGAAGAACGTACAATGAGGCGGGATGGCGCTCAGTCGAATCATGAGGATGAGGAGGAACCCCTCCCCCCGGATGACATGGGCTAAGAGACCGTATTTCATGTTCGTCTTTTCCAGCTTCTCGCCGCGCGCGCTGCACATGTAGCGGAAGACGAGGTAGTTGGCGATCTCGCCTAGCAGAGTACCGAGCGCGACGATACCGAAGCCTATACCGAGACCCCACACAACACCACAGATGATGGCGACGAACTCGTGGCCTGTAGGACGAGTGAGCTGAAGGTCGCCTTGGACCGGTGACACCAGAGTACATACCGAACAATGGTGGGAATGACATGACGATCAGAATCGCGACAGGTATTAGCCAGCCTGCTGGAAGACTGTGGCGAATCAGTACAGGCGCAACGTGCACGATACATGAGCAACTCACGCTTTCACTTTGTCACCAATAGGTTTCAACCAGTCCACAATCTGGTCATGGAATGCGACCGTCAAGATGGTGATGGCAAGAAGTAGAATGATGACGATCCAGTTCACTGCACAATACATGAGTATACGAACGATACTAGAGGAGTGCCAAAAACGCACCAATATACTTTCTGTGAAGGTATTTGGGAAGATCGCGGATCTTTGGTACCGACATGAAGCCCTTGTTGGTCAAAAGCTCGACCTCGCTAGGTGTCGGACTGGGTGTACGCGTCATGCCAGCACGCATACGGGGGTCGTAGCCGGGATTCGGGCTGGTGTTGGCAGAGTAAGACGAGTCGAAGGACAACTGTGTGGCATCGTTGCGAGGAGGATACAAGTTGTTCGAGTAGTTCATATCCAAGGGGCGGATTTAGCGGAGGAGGCTGCGGCGGGTGAGTGAAGTTGCCCAGCGCAAACCGCTCTATTCATATACCTCGATAGCTCATATTTTCCGCTGGAAGCTGTCCAGAACATTTGGAGACAAACGCGTAGCGATAGAAGGCCTGTGCGCGGTAATCCTGAACTTCTCGGAATTCCGGAGCCCACGGGACGCGTGCTTGAGGCCGTCGCAGGGAGTCGCAGAGAGGCAGATCCTAGGATGAAGCACAGCCATATGTGCCGATAGCCGTGTCTAGCCAACCGGAGAGGAAGAGATCAAATCGTGATGACTCAGGGCAGGCGGACTTTGGTCCGTATACTTAACTAGACCACTCGCTCAAAGGTGGCAAACTCTCCTTTGTTCCCTCGCTTGCGGTGTACAAGCTGTGCATAACCTCTCGAACGGCAGCGACTTGCCGCACCTTCGCAGTTATAGCACTAGTCGGGCATCCGGATGGAATATCAAAGTCAAAACAAAGCGGCATGGGAGCACGTTGCAACTTGGGTGGATGCAACGTCGATCAAAACGAGCACAGCCTCAGACTGCTACGGTTGCTTCCACGATATGGGTAGCAACACCAAATATGCTTCCAGTCCTCGTTATGTCACTTGTCATGCCCCCTTCAACCTTTGTGCGTAGGTCTCTGAGTTGGACACTGCCGGGAGGAGTTATTGACTCGTCACTAGAAGCACAAATAGTTCATCACAGCGCGCCAAACGCATGCACTCATGTCGCCCTTCGGCCCTAGGCGTCCCTCCAAGCGCCCTGCAGCCACGCCTTGCCGATCCCGTATGCGTGGTATGCTTGCGGGTCAAGATTGAGCGTTTCAGATGATGGGCTGCGCATACTAACGATGGCGGTCGAGAGGAAGAACCGTTCGTGCAAGTACCGCGTCCCGTCCGCGCGTTCGACCACCGGACAGAGCCCCACCAATAACACCCTTTCGACGAACTCAATCTACGCCTGACGCTAAGTGATTAGGCTTTGGTAATCGCGTACTCAGAACCCTGCGACTGATACAATGAGCTGCAGCCAGAATACGCGCGAGGAATCCATTTGTGGTTTAGCACTGCGAGTACAAGAGATACACAAAGCGAGGAGCGTACGAGGACACTATTTTAGAGTACGACTACAAGGGAAGACGAGTACTAGATCATCAAAGGTCCACAGTTCCGTCTCCGGCGCCGGCCTTTCTGCTTCAAAATATATTGCAGGGCGCACACGCCGCGTTTCACTTTCAGAGGTTCAAGATTTCTGGAGACATGGATGAAGAGTTCTGTGCCACGACGCATCACAAAGTGATCTGCGAGCTGTCGAGTCCGAGTGCATGCAAGAAAAGGTTGACGTTCGCGAGTTTTGCGGCGCGCTCTTCCGGGCCGTAGCTCGGGTGATTGGCGCCCGCGACGTTCTCGAGCACCTTCTCGCGCAAAGCGGTGACAAGGGTCTGCTGCTGCTCGTTGCTAGCATGTAACGCGAGGGCTGCGAGGAACTGCCACACGCTGTGGTCAAGCGCGTCAGTTTGCGCGGGTGGTGGCGCGGGAACGCCGGGAGGCGTGTTGAGCATGAGGCGCGTCGACGGGAAGAGATAGACCAAGTGAGGGGCGAGCAACTCGAACAGATGGTCGAACATGAGCTCCCTGAGGTGATATCAGGATGCATGTTGATATGCAAAGACGTGTATACATACCATTGTTCGGTCTCCTCTTGCGAGGGCAACTCGGATACATCCGTAGCGGAAGACATACTCTGCTTGATGACCTCAACGCGACTGAGGAACAACGTTAAGAACGCCAGCCCAGGCTGTCAACTCATCAGTTCAAACAATCGTGACGACGACAAAGCGTGAACATACTCTGGTCTGACTGATGGCAATGATGTTGGTACGCTCGAGCAGTAAACCGAGAAGACCGCTAACAAGACGCAACCCCGCCTTGGCTACGACCGGCAGCACGCTCTGCACGACCGAACCAAGGAACGTCTGAGTTTGCCTCTCCAAGTCGCGCTGCTCAAAGGTATCTCCTGGATGATCCAAGATAGGCGCTTGCGCGACGACGTCCATCTGGGCGAAACAAGCCACCAGCAGTGTGAGAACCGTCAACATCTGCTGCGAAGACAGATGGCGCGAGATGCGCGGAAGCAGTTTCTTTCCCTTCGCGGGCGTGAGGAGCGCAATGAATGGGTGCGGGTCGCTCGTCTCGAGGGGTACCATAACGCGCATGCCGTCCCAGAGTTGTTGAACAGACTCGTTGTACTGGGCGTTCCACATGCCGACCATTTCGAAGTCTTCGTCGTCCGGTGGAGGTTGCTCGCGTCTGAGTTGCTCGAGGCGGAGTACAAGGTCGTACATGTTCTCAAGAATGGCAAGCGCTTCCTTCTTTGTCAGAGGATCCTGCTGAGCGTCTGCGTTGGGCTATGGGGTTCTTTCAGTTCAAGTGCTTTGGGGGATGAACCAATAGTCGACTCACATCGGCGACACCGAGACGCTCAGCTCCCATCTTGGCCGCAGCTTTCGCGGCATCTTGACCTTCGCTCTTGCCAGTGGGAGCACCCTCGTGCGATGGGCTTGACACCTGAAGCAGCTGCCGCGGGGCGGTCTTATAACTACGACCCGCAGTCTTTCCGAGTGCGCCATGCAGGGTATCAGGGACAGCTGAACAAGGCAAGTGAGAATTGATGTCAGAAACGAGAGAATATCAACGCACGGTTCATCCCACGCTCCCTCTCGCGCTGGCGAGCGTTATTGACGATACGCTCGACCTGCTGCTCCATACGCTGAAGAGCATTGGGTCGACGTCCAGCACCGCGCTGGCCCATACCAAGACCGACGCCTCCGCTGTTGCCAAACTTGAGTACACGCTCGTCGCTGCTGTTCATGCCCATGCGGCTGCGAAGGATGGCGCCGTAAACCTGAGCGTAGAAGTCCTCCGCGTATGGGTCCTGTGTGACGAGTTGAGATACCTGAATACGCGTAATGAAGTCCTTGTCTGATTGGGTCATGAGGTCGTTGTATCGACTCTATAGAGGTGCGTGAGGACCGAGTATGTTCACTGTGCTAGATGCAGCACTAACCATGTGCGCAATCTTTGCGGCTTTCCTACGACGCTTCTCTTCCATACGCTCGGTCTCCATGATGCGACGCATTGCCTCGGCGCGCAACTGCTCCTGTTCCTCCGGGCTAGCGGCCTGGAAGTCGCGCATGAACTCGGCCTGAGCGTACTCGGCCATGATACGCTGCCTCTGCGGACCGGGTGGCAGCGCGCCGTGCTGCGCCGCATACAGAGCCTCTATTGAGGGCGACCCATGGCGCATTGCCTGCATGGCAGCGAGCTCGGCGAGTGCGGCAGGGTTTGATGACTGGCGCTCGTGTAAGTAGCGTCCTTGCATAAGCTGTTGCTGTTGAAGCTGAGCGGCGCGTTCGGCGCGAAGTGCACGCTCGAGTTCCTCCTGACGAGCCTGTTCCTGAAGCTCTTGCAGATGAAGCTCCTGCTGGATTTGACGCTGGTAGCGCTGCTCGCGGAGAAGTAGCTCGCGCTGCTGTTCCTCGAGAAGCTGCTGCTCAAGAATCTGCTCGCGGATCTGGCGCTCGCGTTCCTGTTCCAGGAGCTGCCTTTCAAGCTCCTGTTCGCGTAGCTGCTGCTGGTGCGCCTGGTACTGCTGTTCCAATACCTGCTCGCGAAGCTGTTGCTGTTGCAGGAGCTGTTGCTGCTGTTGCTGCTGCTGAATGAGCTGCTGCTGCTGATGCTGCGAATGGAAGCGCGGAGATTGCGACTGCGGATGCATCCGGGGCGGGGCGTTACGCTGTTGTTGCCACCAGCGAGATTGGTGTTCTTGCTGCTCTTGCAGAATTTGTTGCCTCTGCGTCAACATGCCACTCACGGGCGGAAGCCCTGCGAGCGATTGAGCAGAGGAAGCGGACTGCATCGATTGTAGAGACGGAGATGCGCCCACGGCTCCATAGATCGAGGGAGAGCCAGATGGAGGCCCGATATCTTGCGCGATCTGAGCGTTTTGAGCTCGTTGAGCCGCCCCGCGCATCTCCGCCTCTATTTCTTCAAGCGTACGGCCAGGACGCATGGATCCCTGGGCCTGAGCCTGCGCAGAGTTGACTAGTGGCGAATGCGTACTGGGGCTCGCGCGCCCGTTGACAGCATGTCTGAGTGCAGATGTACGAGGCGATTCATGCGCGGCATTTGCACCAAGACGAGCAGAGCTGCCTGAGCGAGGAAGCACGGAGAAAGGCGACTTCTCATCCCAGAGTGACGGCTGTCGAGCTGTGAATGTGAATGAAAATGCCGCCACATGATAAGCCGTGACGAGGCGTACGGGCAGCTTGTGTCTCCGGTTGATGGGACGCCTGAGGCGCTGAACCCGGGGCAGCGGCGAAAGAAGAAGCGGGGGTCGATTGACGTTCGTTTAACGATAAGCCCTGCATGGAACCACCCGTGAAGTCGAAGTCCTTTCCTATTCCGGACCACGATGGATTAGCTGTCATAACGCGCCGATCTCACAAAATACCGTACCAACTGGCCCGCTACCACCGAAAGTCTCATCATTGAAGTCGTCGCCGCCCTCCTGGAGAGCGTCGCCGAGACCGTCATAGCTCTCTTCGCCCCATGTGTAGACGGCAAGATCCTCCTTGGGCTTGCCGCCTTGCAGAAATTGCTGTTTCTCTTTTTCAAGAAGATCGTTTTGTTCGAGACCAAAGAAAGACATGTAGAGTGAGGTAGGTTCAGCGATGGCCCAGACGCTGAGGATGAGGGCCGTGCTGAAGACGCGATGTTCGTCGCGCTGTGATCAGAGCGGGACATTCGGACCGTGTGACTTTGGGATCTACATGGACCTCTGTCAGTCATATCGGGTGAACGCAACGTGTTTCCGACGCTCACCGCTAGTGTACTCTGCCTGGAGGAGTACCCTCGTATCACTATGTGATTACTTTACCAGCATGTAAAGCATAGCAGAAGTGACAACCTTCATTTGTAGCACCAGCACTCCTCTCCTAAACTCAATTCACTCGCGAGCGCCCTTTGATGAAATGAAACACACGTATGACGCCGTGTACCGTGTATAGGGCGGTTGAATTTGTACTCAAGGGCCCTACACGCGCTACCATTCGAGAAGGCATACATATACCAGTGTGCTATATGGCCTACCTACGAACCGAAAAATACTCGGGAGCAAGAATAGAAATCGTCACCGGACCAATCTGGACCAACCGGCAACCGATGGCCGCGGTTCTCGTCGGGGATGTTGCGTGCCTTGTCCTGAAACTGACCTGATCATGGCTTGGCAACGACGAAGTCTATACGATGCCGCGGCAGAATACACTCTGCGGAGAATTACTCTCAAGGTCGAGGTCATCCACGCTGGACCGTGTACATACGACGCAACAGCCTCTTGCCTCTTGCCCTCACAGTTCATTCTCTCGACGCAGTCGCAAAGCCTGCTCTAGTCGCTCATTCGCACAATCACATTCACTTGTTTATACCCTGCTTCGTTGCACATAATGTCTGTCAGACTTGCTCTTGCTGTGGCTCTGACCACCGCGATCGCATCCTCCAACGCCGCGAACTTGCATGCTGCCGGTGCGGCCCGGAGGCACAACGAGATCATCAAGCGCTCGGCACCCTTTTCCTTCTACGATATCACTACTGGTGAAGTCGCATGTGGTGGTTTCTACTCTCCCAGTGACTCTGTAAGAGCTTGCGATCTGATTCAACCGTTGAGCATCTCTGACGCGCCTTCATTTCCAGGTTGTCGCACTGAACTCTGGCGTACGTATAGGGCAGAATTCGGCGTGAATCATCACTGACAGATCTCATAGATGTTTGATGGTGGAAGCCACTGTGGCAAACAGGTCACGATCACTTGGAATGGCAAGAGCAAGTCCGCCACCATCGTGGACGAGGTCGGTTCCCCCGAAGCCGTCATTCTCTCGGTTCACTAACGTCTCCGTGCAGTGCATGAAATGCGACAACGGACTTGACCTCACGGAAGGCCTCTTCCAGCAGTTCGCTTCAGAGGACGTTGGCGTCTTTTATGGCACCTGGAGCTACGGCTCCGGAGACTCTGGATCGGACTCGGAGCCCAAAACAACGAGCACGAAGAAGACTCCCACTCCCACTCCGACGCCCACACCTACACCGACGCCCAAGCCCACGACGACTTCCACTAGCAAGGAGCGCACGACTTCGACAACGTCCACCAAGCCGACTTCCACCTCTACGTCGACTACGAAGACATCCAGTGCGAAGCCCACGACCACTTCGAGCTCATCGTCTTCAGTGGCCTCAACCTCGACGTCGAGCTCAGCCGTAGCTGTGGCCACTGCTCTTGGTGTCCAACTCGGTCTCGGCACACAGACTACGGCAGACCTCAGTGGCACTCAAAACCTTGTTGCTTTGAACAACGCGCTCCTTTCATTCGGTGCTATGGTTGTGATGTAGTCCCATCGTCCCTCTCATCCCCTTCTTCATTTTCTTTCATTCGGTTTAGGTGCTGTTTGCTTAGCTGGTGTTTATCGTTGGATGTACTTGGTTTTTCAGATTTTGTTCACAATTTCCAGAAGCCGTGCACGGCGATACTACATATGAGTTTTGATGGTCGGGATGACCACACACGGGCGCAAAAAGTAAACGCATTGCGCTTTATTTGACGACAACTGAAGCTGGATACAAGGCCACAACGTGGTATTTGCCGTCAACAAATGAGTAAGTACGCGAAAGCAATGTTCAAACGTCCACCAAAAACAGATTCAGACCCTTAACCCTCCGTGAGATAACTGCCGATTGAACAATCTTCAACGCTCAAGCTGAGACATCGTCGTAGTAGAAGAGCTGAGCCTTCGCAAGAGGTCCCTCGGGCGAGTCGCAAGTGTTGAGGGTCAACTGGCGACAATGTGAGTCTCAAGCCGGAGAAGGCTAGTTATACGAGTGACTCACGGGAGCGCTGGGAGCCTTCCTGCCGAAAGTAAGGCAAGTCCCCGTCGCATCGTTCGTGACCGAGCCATTGCTCTGGATCGTCCAAAACTGGTTCTCATCGTAGATGTCGCAGTCAACGACAGGGATGTTCGACGCGCCGGTGAGATCCGCGCCGGTCGACGTGGGACAACCGTACTTCGTGATCTCGAGAAGACCGGACTTGCCGGCACCGTACAGGGCAATGAGCGTCGTGAGGTCGCTGATGGTGGCGTTGCCGGTGCCACAGATGGCTCCGCCGAGGTACGAGCCTGACGCAATCGGGGGAAGACCGACACAGAGGTCCTGACCCTCGTCTGAGACACGCGTTAGTCGCACGAAGGCGGTCGTCAACCGTACATGGGATGCGTACAGCCGTAAGAGGCCTTGAGGTTAATCCATTCGCGGTTGTCGACGCGCTTAGTGGGAGTGGCGCTGGCGAGAGCGGCCGAGGCAATGGCAACGAGGCTGGAGAAGAGCATGGCTAGAGTGAGGTAAGAGGAGGAAAGTAGGAACTCGGAGGATGAGTGCGATTGAGGAGAGCGTAGGCTTCTGGTTATACAGACAGCCTTATGTAGATCTTTATATAGCAGAGTGAATCGGTCTAGTGCGGGGTCTCAGCGGACTGCCACCTGCATGCGTGGTGCTTCGTGAATGCATGAAGGGCTGAGACGACCGTGAGTAGGACATCTGACGCCGTATCGCTTTGTCTAAGGGCTACGGAGCCTCTGTGAACGTGATGATCGTTGATCGATATTGGGCGTGTAGTCGTTGTGAGGGGCATGCCGGAGGGATGTCTCCCATTGAATTCACCTACCCCGGGCTGGTACGGACTGTCACCCGGAGTCTATGAGAATGTAGCGGCCTCAAAGGTCCGTACGCCAACGGTAATAGGAGTCACATTTCAATGTCGACTATTTGTGTCGGGGGTCTGGAGTCTGCTAGAGCCTGGCATACTTAGAAGTGCAACGTGCACATTATCGATCTGCTAAGCGGCAGCATACTGCGACCGGAGTTGCTCCCCCGTACTCTCTACGACCTCCCAGACCCTCTCTATGTCCTCTTTCGTGGTCCGAGCCGCACCAACAGCGAGGCGTATGCAGAACACACCGCCCAGTTCGGATTGGGTCAAGTAAAGATCCGAGCGCTTCATAAGTTCGTCGTGGAAAGCTCGATTGAGAGCGTTCGCGTCATGCGATGGGTTCGTGGGTTTAAGGCGGAAGATCGTCAACGAGAAGGACGGCGGAGCAACATGCTCGAAAAGCTCCGATTCAGTGATGTGCGAGGCAAAGACCTCGTTTAGGGATATGCACTACAGACCGTACAGTCGGTGTTTAGTCTCCGGTATGAGATGCAGGGAAAATGAGACATACGCGTCGGATGTATTCCTGGAAGCCAGCGACACCGTAGCTCCTGAGCACGAACCACAGCTTCAACGAGCGGAAGCGCCTTCCAAGGGAGAGATGCCAGTTGCGGAAGTCGATGACCGTACCGGCGTCGCCATGTTTTGTGCGGAGGTACTCGGGCGTGATGTCGAGAGCGTCGATGAGTCGCGCTCTTGAGCGCACCCACATACCGGAGCAGTCGAAGTTGACAAGACCCCACTAGAATGCTGGGTGAGTATAGGCTTGGTCGTAGCGATTTGAGACTCACCTTGTGGAAGTTGATACAGATGCTGTCCACCCATTTATTGAGACCGCTGAGCTCCAGCCGCTCGCAATACTCCGGACACGCCAGGACGATGCCTAGCCACGCACAGTCAACATGGAGCCAGATGTCAGGGTACTCTTCCTTCACTGTGGCATATGATTAGTCAGTCTTTAGCAGAGGCGAAACTACGTCTACGCACACAGCTTTCCAACTTCATCGATACGATCGATTGCGCCTGATGTCGTGGTGCCCACTGTAGCAACTACGTGAATGTAAGTATCATAGGTTATGGCGATGTTGACAAGATAATGCGTACTGAGGACAAACGGTGCGCGACCCGCAGCTCGATCCTCCTCGATGGCAGCGCGCAATGTGCCAGCGTCAAGACCGTATCCCTGACGAGCGTTCTCGTCTACTGCCAACGCGCGCACTTTGAGACCAAGGATCAGTCCGGCCTTCTTCGCGAATGAGTGAGTCTGCGTGGTTGCATAGATCACGAGAGACTCGAGCGAGACGCCTGGATGACGAGAGAGGTAATGTGAACGCGCAGCAACAGCAGCAGTTAAAGCTGAGTCTGAGGCAGTCGTCTGTAGTGTAAATCGTCAGAGTACGTCCGGTGGCAATCACGAACATCCCTTACCTGGATTACACCTCCGCCAGTCTCGTTCTCGTTCCAGAAGGCTTTATCCAGACCGAACATCTTAGCAGACCAGTCAAGGACGACGCTCTCTAGCTCAGTACATGCCGGGCTAGCAAACCACTGGTATAGTTGGATCAGACTTGAAAAACAAGCATTGAATGGATGTCGATGACATACGTTGAAGCCAGGATTCGAGACTGAGCTGCTAAGCATATCTCCAATGATTCCTTCAAAGGTGCACGCGGTAGGAAAGTATCCGTAAAAGTTGGGATGTTGCCATGGAGTGATGCCTTGCAAAACAGCCTTCAGCAATTCGATATCTAGGGCGGGTGAGGAGCTGGACGTACCGGGAATGATCAGTTTCGAGTAATCTTCGATGATCGCCGACCATTTCTCTCCTGTCTCTGGCATATTTTCTGGGTTCAACGCCTTTGTGAGCATGCATATCTGTGCTTGAGTCAATAGCCATACCTGGTAAAGCCTTCCGAAGGTATCCCGGTTGAACTTGAGCCACCACGGGCTTTTGACGGAGTGATGCATAGTAGTCGCATATGCGATCAACCGCGTCGTAACCAGCCTTCCTGAATCTGAGAGGCCGTCAGAACCGCAAGTATCCGAACCGTCCAGATGCACCCACTCCTCGATATCCATTCCGGTCAGGAGATAGGGTGGTGGTCGGGATCGAAGCTTCGGATAACGCGATGAGGGGCGCGACGAGTCACAAGTCTGGTGCCGCAGTGCGACCTGCTTTATGGTGCAGGCAGGCCGAGCGGACTCGTCAGTGCAAGGCAAGTCTTTCTCCCGATAGGTTCTCGGTGGTGTCCGACATTGTCCGAGAGCGTATACGCTGGATGGAGACAGTGTATTGGGTTGTGTTCTGATGTGGTTAGGGTCAAGCCATTCGCGCGCTGGCGCGTGCTGATTTTGGCGCGTTTTGACGCGGACGGCGCGTGGCAATCCTCACTTTGTCTTCTACGCCCATCTATTCCAGCAGATGCATGGTATCGCATCGACTGTGTCCTTTCGCAATGAACAAAGACCGTAGTGGAGTATATAGTCATGTATGGACACCAGTACAGCGCAGACCAATACCAGTTTTCGAGAAGGATAATTGAACAATCATGACGTCGTCGGACAGCCCATCTTCACCCCATCGAAAGGTCCGTTATGATTCTCCGCTGGGCAGCATGTTGTCAGCGCAATAAGAATATCTACAACCTCTGACATGCATACCTTCAGCAGCGAACACACTAACAGTGTCTCCCGTCGCGCATTGTTTACTGGGATTATCGTTTCCAGCGCACTTCATCCAGCCACCGTCTGTGATGTAGATCTCTCCTGCGACGTGTTCATAGCCGAGGAACTGACCTGGCACGATGCCGACTGGGTCTTTGCTGTTTATGATACGCGTGATCCTTCCAGGACAGTGCACATCAACCCAGTGCGCGAAGTCCGGATTGCCGACCTACAGAGGTGACCATGAGCGGAGGACTAGACGAGCGGTCGAGAGCTGCATACACGAGGTGTTCCGTATCCAATGTGTTGCACAGGCATTCCCGGGAGACGCAGCTGGAGAGATACAGCTTCCAGTAGTGCAAGAGCAGAACCTAGTGACGCGTTAGTGACAGAAGGACTTCGGCCGCTCGTACTCACCAAGTGAATGTCCGACAACCGTAACGCTATCTGCTGGATGCGCCGCTATAGTTGCTTTCACTGCGTCGAATACCGCATCTGAAGTACGTGCATGGGCGGCAAGGAAGCCACTGTGGGCGAGGATCGGCGGCCTCATGCCGGGGAAGAGCTCAGGATCGAGTTGAGCAAGGAAGAAGTTTGCGTCGGTGAAGTCGGCAAAGCTATGACCGTGTCATTGTTAGTAGCATCTCAAGCGCCGCAGACGAAAGGGCACCCTACAATTCCGTCAAGTTCGTCCCTTGATAGCCTACGATCACCGTAGTGTGCCCAGGATCGTATCCAACATACCCTATAATCGAAGGTAATGTCAAATCACTTCATCAGGAAGATGAAGTACTGAGGTCTTTACAGTACTGCGTAAGCGCCCCATCTCCACCAGAAGCACTCGGCACGAAATCGGGGTTAGCCTCGCAATTGACTATATACAAAAGAATCTATTGTCAGATGTATCGAGCGGGCGCTTGGAACTCGAAACGCGCACCTCCGCAGTTCCATGCCAACGTAGTTGGAGGCTTGCAGTAGGTCGCGCTCGCGAAGTACGTGAAAGGTTTGTACCAGGAGACTTGGTCACCCGAAAGAGCCTTCACCGTACCCTTTGCAGCACTTGCCGTCCACGCGAGGTGAAAGAGCACAGCGAGTACCGATGCCCAAAAGAGGGACGGTACCCCGAACATGGTTAGTGGTCGACGCTCGCGATGTCACCGCGCTTCTGTGGGGCATTATGTAGGGAGGTGCGCCGCGCTGAGGGATGTTTGAATTGCAATCCAGTGTGTTTTGGCCCGACATCGTACAGTCTAGACGCCCAGCGCCCATATCCAAAGCCCGCCGATGTTGGTCGCGAAACGTTGAGCTTTGGCCGCTGGCGATCATCCAGCCACCGTCTCAAAGCCGATCATGCCGGCCTTCGTATGCATTTGCCCTAGCCAGATCCGAGACGGATCGACGTAGCATCGCCTGTACCTACGTACCGCGAGTCGGAGGTAACTCAGCTGTGGCCCAAGGAACGTAGATCATAGCCATGTCTTTGGCATCAATCAACCTACACAAACACATACTAACTACCCGTTTACATTTGAGTTTCTCGATCATAACTCCGCCTCGTCCGCGTTCAGGATGAGCGCCGTGAAGTACCTTGATTATGATCAGAACGGAGTAGAGTATGGAATACGTTCTGAACACACCTGATCATGCCGACGAAGTCGTCCACGCGCATGTGCTCGTTGACGGTATGAGCACCGGCGAGCTGTTTCTCGCCGCCCATATTCCAGTGGTTGTAGCGGAAGATATGATCCGTGAGGTTCCAATAATGCCTAGCGTGTGTGTAAGTTGTTGGTAAAGCCAATGAGGTCCCTGCAAGCACTGACCGAGTATCCGTGTTCCCACTCATGATTGAGGGCGCAATCACAATGCCATTCTCTTCGCCGGTCGTGGCCGCATGCGCCGCACGGATGGTACCACTGATAAGCTGGAAAGGCTTGGCGTCGACACCCGTAGGCGTCAAGGGAGCAGGCTCGAGGCTCGCACCCCAAGCGTCGGCGAGGGTCAGAGTACCGGCTCCACCCTCAGCCAAGGCTTGACCGAAGGCGTTGAACGTAAGGTTGAAGTGTTTCGCTAGCTTAGCCAACCGCTGAGTATCGGCAGTCTGCACCGCGGCGAGGTTGCTGTCCGTGGCAATACGGTGGTTGACGACAGCCCAAGCTTCTTCGGGGAGAGCATTCGTTTTGTGTCCACCCTGGATCAGGTCAATAGCCTGCGTCGTGCCAACAAGGCTCTTGAAGTTCGCGTCATATCCGAAGAGAATCTTCTCGGCCTTGTGCAGTGCGTGATTAGAGTGTGAGGAGGCAGCAACGGCACGGCGTAATCCGTGCGGAAGCTCAGAACCGTGCGCGGCGTAGCATTGCACGGTGCTGTAGATTGGCGTGCCGCGAGCCAGCTTCGCCGGCAGTGGGTTGGCCTCAAGCTCGACGAGGAGGCGGGAGAGAATGCCGATGCTCTATATGATCCGATGTTAATTCACGTTCATTTCAGACTCTAGGATATGGGCTGCTTACAGTATGTTCTGGAGGCAGAGACGAGTGCCCTCCCGGCGTAGACACAGTGACGCGCGTATCCGTATAGCCCTTCTCGGCAATGGCTAAGTTTGCGAATACAGTCCCGAACTGCTCGCCAAATGAGCCACCTTCGTCTACGAGCAACGCATAGCCCTTCTGTCCGTACATTGACTCAAGGACGGGTGCAATGCTCGCAGCGCCCTGAACAGGATCAGCGAAGAGAACTTGCAACGCGAAGGACGCTTTATCACACCTTCACTCCGCTTGCTTCTTCATCGAAACCGAATGCAAGGACGACTGTGCGAGCCGGGGTAAAGTCCTGGGAGAGAAGGGTTTCAATAGTAGTCCTGAATATATCGCGTCAGTGACCACTGTCGTATGCAACACGAGCCAGACTGTCCCTACATGATACCAATGAGACCGCTCTTGTCGTCCAAGCTACCGCGACCCCAGATGTATTCGCCTGCATGATGTTGATAACGCGGGTTATAGAAGTATTGGCGTGGACAGTCTGTGCACTCACCGTCGAAGAACCCGGAGAAGGGTGGATGATCCCATTGGTTCACGGTACCTTGCTCGACAGGCACAACATCTGGGTAATCCTCGTTGAGAGAGTGTACAACATACGGAGACATATACCCACCTTGGTGCGCCGCCAGAAGCAGAGGCTTCAGGTCGGCATCTGTTCCCTTCCATTCGTACACAAGACCCCACGTATTGACCTTGGTGAGCTTAAGGGTCGAATGGCTGCATTGCGTATTCAGCTTCCATCGAGGTACTTGCAACGTGAGAACTCACATCAGAGGGAAGGCCTTCAGGAGGTATTCGTGGAAGGGGCCAAAAACCTCCCAGCGCGCGTCTTCGCCTACAGGACCTTGCTGATCGTTCACGACTGTCGGTACACGAACAGCATCTCCGAGCCACCGGATAGTGTTCTCCTTGAACCCGTCCGTTCCGTATGCGTTATCGAGTTCAGACCACAGATCCGCATGTTTCTGCGGGTAAAGTGCTTCCTCTTGCGGGCACAAGTCTTGCAGCTTTACATGGGAGTGGTGCGCACGAAGGCAAGATGGAAACGCATGCGACACACTCGGTGCAAAGTAGACAGTCGCCGCTAACACGGACGCTCCGAGTACGGCCCAGCGCAGCTTGCGCGAGCGTTGCGGCGAGGGGGCAGGCGTAGCGTGGGGCAGCAGAGGCTCTGCGAACTTGGCCTTCTCGGACGCCATGGTGGTCGTGATAAGAGTCGCGTCGGACTGCCGAGCGCACCAGTCGCGACTGCGACGAACCCGGAGCCGCGGTGCGCGGCGAGCGGCTTGATGTCATACCGCGTCTATTACGTTCTCACGGGTCTGTAAAGCCTAAATTGCATGCATTGTTATCGCTTTCGGCCGAGATAAACGGTTTCTAGTAACGTAAGGGCATCTGTGTACATATGCGTGCTCTGCCTTGCGGGTAAATGTCTGCACATATGCTTGCGGTTTCCTTCCTTCCAATCCCTACCCATGTGTACAGCGTGATGGTACGTTAGCCTGAAGCTCCCGGGGCATATTATTATGTAGATGGCAAGTCAAACCACGCATCGTTTCTGATGCTCTCTACTGCAGTAGCAACTTTCTCCACAACCACGACATGCTGAGAGCCGGTTTCCGGCCGGTTGGTGGTAATTCTGACCAAGGAACGACTCTTCTTCTGGCTGGCTCTGCTTTAGGAGACTAACCAGGAGCACATTGGCGACTTGAGGCCTGAGGCTTGAGGCGCTCAGATGCCCGACGAGCGGCACTTTCTTTTCTATAACTGTGCCCCATCCCAGTCAATTGCGTATCACAATGAACACCTGAAGCTGAAGCTACTTACGCGGCCTGCGCTATCATGAAGGCTATAGACCTTTAGGTGCGCAGACAATTCGAGCTCGTGAAAGTGGCACCGCTCACGCTGATGCGCGCAAGGCTGCTAATAGCGAACCCAACATAGGGTGAAGGCTGGAGGGGCACGAATGTTATACGTAATTGCGTCCTACGCCGCTGACAGGTCCCGGAATAAGGCAAAAGGCATTGTGTGTGCAAAGCAAGTGATATGTGAACATGAAGCCCATGAATTAGTGATGAGTACTGTAACCCCGACGACGAAGACCTCTTTCTATGCATGTGTCTGCGCCCTGCTCTTCGCTCCGCCAGCCAGTCCCCGTTCCATCTTCTTGATCATCCACTCCGGCGGCGGTGGGAGAGGCCGTGCGTTGCTGACCGGGCCAGCGTCGTATCGCACCTCCGTCTCGCCAAGAGCAATGGGATTATGTCTCCGCTCCTCACCCGCTGCACCGCGCAAGAAAAGATCACCGGGAAGGAAGGTCTCGCTAGGCACTCTCAACTCTTCAGACGGCGTCTCCGTCAGATAGAAGCGCTGTAAGGCATCCTCCGCCGCACGGTACTCCGCCATCCTGAGCGAGCTACCGAAACCCTCTCCCAGCTTATCCGCGCCACTGTAGACGCCCACGACATATACTGGCGAGTTCGAATTACGACCCGTTTCGGCGAGAAGACGTGAGACAGGTCGCTCGCGGTGTAATTTGGCGACGGTCTCGATGAGTTGCAATTTGGGATCGCTGAACTTGAGAAGCGCGCGAAGATCCACAGTACGAGATAGGAAGAAGGATTGCGCGAATTCGCGAGCGGCGGGTAGTGACACGTGCGTATACACTAAAGCGAGCAGTGCGCGAGGAATGGAAGCCAGCGCGTCTTGATGCATAACTGCTGGTGCGGAAGAAGTTGCGGGCTACGGTAATATTATTAGCAATTGTAATGCATTGGTATGTAGATAGCTGGCTTACCGTTCTGTGCCAACGCACGAGATGTGTGACACCCATCTCTTTCGCCACGGTCGCACAGGTCAACGGACCGGCGTATGCGCTCACGGCAGCTTTAAGCGCCTTGAGCGGCAGATGCGGGTATCGTGCATTCAAATGTTCTGTCACAAACATGCCCAGGAGACTGTTCCCAAGAGCAGCCAGGTTCCCATTTGAAGAGGGCTTTTCCAAACTTGGCCAACGAGCGAAGACCGGTAAGATAGAAGGGTGCGTGCATGCCTGCTGCAGAGCCTTTAGTGGCAGTTTATTCGCAAGTTGTATACGATGCGCCAGCGCGGCAAATGCTGCAGGTGGGGCAGGTTGCAGTACGGCCCATTGGTCGGGGGTCGCCTGGGGACCATGGGGGGGAGGTGGTGGTGGCTTCGCAACAGACAGCGGCACGTGAGCGTTAGCCTGGTGTACAGTAGCGGCCGACGCGCGCTTGGTGCTGCGCGCGGCAGTGTGCGCAAGTCGTCGGGCAGCGGCGCGGTGCATTGGCAGTCGTGGTGGTCGGCAGCGAGCGCGACCGACGACGCGCTGGCCGCTTCGAAATTCATTCGGCCCGTCTCGGACCGGACGCGTTGGCCATCAAACGCGTCTTGACGCGACGCGTTTTCGCCTTGAACGCGACCACCATGTTGAGAACGTCCGAGCTACGATTCCGTTTCATATGAACAAGATGCATTCCAATGTGGAAGAAGGTGGCGGCGGGGGTTCTTGGGCGTCGTGCTTTAGTTCACGACGACCGCCTTCCACATCTCTAACGGTTCTAGAGCATGTCTTGGCTACCGCTGCTCTCTACATTTCTATCATGCGCTCTTTTAGTATCAGGACAGGAACCGGCGCTTTCATATACAGACGACGCCGGAGGGGAAATTCGAACGTTATCTTTAGTGGAGATCGCGCAATTGCGTCCGTATACCCACTACGCCTCCGCGGCCTATTGCCATCCAGACGAGGTCATAGACTGGTCATGCGAGGGTTCGTCAACGCCACAGCGATCAGTATGCCCAATCAAGCTGAGACCTTATCCTTAGCTAATTGCAAAGCCAACGCGCACTTTCAGCCGTTCGTGTCGGGCGGTGATGGTGGAGCAATGCAGTACTGTCAGTAACCTCCCGCCGACGTTCCTATCTGCGTGCACGTAACTCACGCGCAGGCCGTGTGTAGGGTACGCTGGATACGACGCACTCCTTGATACGGTCGTTTTAGCACACCAGGGGACGGATATCGGATATTTGTATGAACTTCTTCGAATCACTACACCCTCTTAGCTGATGCATCTATCAGGGTCGCGGCGTGGACCGACGCTTGCCTTTTTCTCCAGCCCATTGACCGCCACCTCTTCCCGTCAGCTCCGCGCGACGCTCAAGTACATACGGGCTTTGCGACCGCACATTCTCGGTCAGTCAATCACTCCGTTGTGCCACTTAGGGCGCCAGAACCCGACTACGGCCGCCCTCTCCCATCGTTGCCTTGATAATATGAAGCTGAAACTCGCCGCAGCTCTGCACCATACGTCTCGGCTGCAATTCAAACTGTGCTAGACTTCCACGACGCCTCCTCCGTCACGGTCGTCGGCCACAGCCTGGGTGCGGCGCTCGCGCTTCTGGATGGCGCGTATCTTTCTCTACACTTGCCGCCTGAGATGCCCGTGACCGTAATAGGATACGGTATGCCGCGCGTGTGTGATGTCTTATTGCTTGACGATGCCTGAAGAAGCTGTCAATGGCTGACCGAATTTAGGTTGGGAACGCGGCCTGGGCCGATTTCGTTGACGGCCTCGCGCCTCGCTTACGGGTCGTACGCGTAAATAACGGTCACGATCCTGTTCCCATTGTACCTGGACGTGCGTAGGCTTGTTTTATCTCGGCGGGACGCTCAAACAAATACGTGAACAGAATTCCTTGGCTATCGGCACCCGTCGGGCGAGTTACACATCAATACACCTGGGGAGTGGACTGCCTGTCCCGGTACGTCTATACTCCGACTCGGACCGCCCAATACCCAGTTACGCGCAGCTTCGCGAGATTTACATTCTTACAGGACAGGATAACCCTTCCGTCAATTGTTCAGTGGGCGCAGTGCCGGACGTTCTATCTGCCGACCTGCACGCGCATAGTGGGCCATACGACGGCGTTTGGATGGGGTGTGAACTCGACCCTGTCCTCTATCCGGGGCAGGTAGCCTGAGTAGGAAGGGCTCTCTCCATGTATCGACTTCATGAATGCAGCAGCAAATCATGGCGGTGGTCGTTATAGCCAGAACAGCTGGTCGAGGACGTCAGTCGCCTTACAACGCTCACGGTGAACCGGATAAGGGCGTCTACCCAATACCCCACAGAAAGAGCTGGTTGTCGAGATGGTGGGGAGCTACCCATAATTATGAAGTGCCCGATTGACCCCGTTTCGCCGCGACGGCAACAGGTTGATCATACGTACTCGATACCCTTGCCCGCGGGCCTGATAGGCGTGGCTGTCGTGGTGGCAGTTCTGGTTGATGAACTCCAACTCTCCATATGGGCTGCAGATGCCCCACTGACTCCGTGCACTGCGACAGCGCGATTCTCTGGTATCTTCTTTACCTGTTGCAAACAAGAGGCTCCGATATTTTCGGTGGAGCTTTCGAATGATATCTGCACATGTTGTCAGGCATAAGTATACATGGTACGTCTCGGACGGCGTATCCAGGTTCGTACTTATGGGTGCCATATATAAATATATTGGAACTCGGAGAACCGCCCAACCCGCGGCCCTGTTGTTTCAGGATTCGGCACCGCCGGGTGCGGTGTCGACATACAACACAGGGATCTGATATCTCTTGGGTTCCGTTGCAAGCAGTATCGGGAAGGCGCATATCCAATGTCCATTGGCTCACGTCTTCGGAGCCCCAAGGTCGTGGTGTCGCCATTGCCGAGTCTCGTCCCGTCACGCCCTAATGTCACGGTACAGCAAACGAGGCGAACCCTGGTCGCTCAGTGCCGTCGGCCGCTCCGAATTGCAAACGCTGATCCTGCACGAGTCCAGTCTTGCGGCTCTCGTGGCGGGATTATGGGCGCTCACGGGCGACGGTGCGCGGTTCGCGCGAGTTGTCATTACTGAGTACGGAAGAAGCAAGGTCCTACATACCCTTGATCTCGATCATCCGCGACTCCGTTCAAGCCATGCCACGTCCAGACGCTCAGTCCCTCATGGCCTCTGCTATAGGACCATACACCGTGGTGGGGTAACTGGCCTCGTCTCTATGCTGTAGAACGGTTGCACTCAGGACGTTTTCGTCTATTACTGGGGAATGTCTGGACTATCAAGAGTAGACCATGCCTCAACGCTACAGGCCCGCGCCCATGATCAGTACAAGCTTCCCGTGAAACCAACGCTCACTCGTGGACTTGTAGGTCATTAATGCACTCGCACTCAAGATACACTTCCGGCGCAGGCGGGGATTCAACGGCGATTCACCAAGATGCCGAGTTGAGAAGGTCGGCGTAGAGACTGCCTGGCGTCAAGCCGCTGCAATTCCGAGAGACGTCGGGGTATACTGGTACCACCTAGTCGGTCGACAATTCCACGCTCGCGATCATTGGGAGCCGGCAGGCCACAGCGCGTCAATCCAGTATCCATCATATCATATACATCATCCGCCGACGGGTGTTGAATGTTGATCGTCGTATGCGGTAAGTAACGCAAACTCCCGATTGTCCCACCTGGCGCTAATGTGCGCGGCATTGAAGTTGTCAACGGTCTTTCTGTAGAGCAATGGTCTGGAATGTCATCATGGCCGTGGACCATGGTCCTCGCACTTTGGAATGGTTCGGAGTAGTCACCACCGGCGGTGGGCGCGACCGGCGATCCAATTTCCGGTGAACCCTGCCAGACCATCGAGAGCAAGTAGCTTTGGATCGCGACTCCGACCTGATAACTGAATGGCGCTCTGACGACATGTGCACTGTGTATACCGACCTTCGTACGGTAAGATCGGGGGTACCACCTGGTACCACGCACCTCTGGCACACCAGATCGTCACGACGAGATGTGAAGGCAAATTGACACTGTGGGCACTAGGCGAGCTTAACACGTCTCTCTGACAGTTGCGGCGCATGCCTTTTGTAAGCCGTTTGTTGTACACGACGAAAATGCTGCAGCCAGGGATTGCTGACCTACAGGCGGTCTAGCAATCGGCCGTCTTCTGGAGGATGTGTACTTCTTGGCATCTTCGCGTCAGATGAATGAGACAGGCCACACAATCCCGTCAGTCATTCTGAGGCTCAATAACGACTCACGAGTGCTTAATGTAAGTGATGAAGCTCGTATCTTGATGTGTATGCTTCACTTTTTCGCGGGCCGCGAATGTGATCGTGCGACCCATGTGCGCGTCATTTCCGAGGCGTGTGCATTTTGAGTTGGTTCCCTACGACCACCAGTGGTAACGGACGCTTGCAGGCAGCCTTCACCTACCTGAGAGACAGGCCTCTCCTTGTAAGTCAGCGCATCTCGTAGAAACCACTCCTGTCGGGACCAAGTCGGGACATGCATTGCCGTTTACACTTATTTCGCGTGACCGATCCTTGGTCCACCGTGGGAAAGCGCCCGCGACCTCCCATCACCTTCATCCCGCCCTCTGCAGCTTGCTCAACGATACGCAACACACTCTACCCAGCTGATGCGCACGTTGTTCTAGTTGGCCGACCTCCTGGGCTCACCACAGCCCATTGCCGGGTACCTGGTCATCGCCACAGCAGTCAGGCTCAGATTGTCGCGGGCTGTATTGTAGGGCGGTGCAAACTGAGTCACTTTCGCAATCCACGTCGATCCTGTTCGATCGTCATAGCTTTGACATCCGCGTACTTAGTTGTGTACAAGCGTTTCTTTTGCTGAAAATGGACAACACCGAATGGAGTACTGGGGCTTGATATCTCGCATCCTACAGCGGTACTCCATCATGTAGCATGCAAGCTACACTTTCCCATCGTGATCTCGTTTGTGCACGTCGCAGAGAAGTACGTCTTTACGTGTGGTACCACCTTCATCCTCCCAAGGCTCGAGATGTTGAGAGTCCGGCGTCGTCGGTCTCCATAAATCCGGGAGTGCCGGTGAATGAATGCGATTTGTACACGTACCATGATTGCTTATTTGGCTTAGCTCCGATGATAGTGAAGCCGCCGTACATCACAGTTGCCTGTTAGGTATCTTCCGTGGTCAGCGTGTCTAGGGATTCTGTTTCGATAAAGCATCGATGACCGGCTGGACGCTCTAGCGCTCCGACTTCCAACTTCCCAAGCGGACCCGCTCCCTTCGGCGCGAACTTTGCCCAGGCACATGGTTTACATCAAAAGAAGCAAGGGAAGCCGCCGGACAATAGATCGGGGTTACAGATCTCTACATACACAGCCTCAGAGATCCCATCATGGAAGGTTCTGCAGATCTATTGGCCTCATGTCATACCTAGCCTTCTACGTCGGGGCACCCGAGACGCCGTTTTCCGTGCGCTCCCCGTATGTTATTGTTCACTTAATGTTCGGGGTCTCCGGCACTATCCTAGTTGTACTCATGCCAATCGCTACTGTCGCTCGTCCGATTACATGCACATCTGCCCCATAGTAGACTCGGACTGCCCGAATGTTGAGCTCCGTGGGCCGTATCGGCAGTGTATGATACTGCTTCGATGCCTAGACCTCCCCATGCGACCCGAAGAGTGTTCTTTCCTATGCTTGGGCTCGGCGAAACGAGAAAGCCTTGTCCGATGCTTTTCGGAGTATAGACGACAGTGCGCCAAGATCTCGACTTAGACTCGGTGTTGTGGCACAGAGCTAACAGCCCCTCACAACGTTCCTTCTCAGACCACGCGAGCGGTGAGCTATGTTTGAATTACGAGCACTCGCATCCGTGAGCAATCTGTGCTTATACCGGTCGTAGACCGCGAGGATAAAATACATTGGTGGTCGTCGTTCACTAATGCTAGTATGAAGGGGCCTGCCCGTAAGGTAGGAGTTGACACGATACTGTCCAGTGCAAGTACTATACATACGGGTCAACCAGAAGTCAGCCTCAAGTTTTAGTGTAGTCTGAAGTTGAGCAGAGCACGAGAGCGCACAAACAATAATAATGGGGACGAGAAGAATGATACAAGCGAGTGATCCGGGTCCAAGCAAACGTGTGGAAAAAAGGCTTATGGAGGCAGCGGCCATTATGTGTACGGATACGCGCTGTACGGAGGCGAAGGAGACAGGTAAGCGCCATCCGTATACAGCATTTGAGGATTCGGGGAAGATGGGTAGGAGTTCGGGTATCGATGTTCAGGTGGCGAAGGTGTTTGAGCAATTGTTGTCGGGAATTGCTGCGGGGAGTGTGCATGACCCGAAAAGTCGTAGTCGCTCCCAGAGGACACACTACGCAGATAGTTTAGGGAGAACTCGGGCGATGGAGGGTGGCCATATGGATCTGGATGGAACGTCGGAGGGTTGGGTCGCGGCGCGAATGCTTGCGCGAGGTGCGGCAGAGGTCGTGAGAGTCGGAGAATAGGTTGCCAGGTTCCAGCGCTCGAATGCACTATCCCGACGAGGATAAGGTCGTTCGTCGAGATACCTTGCGGACCGACGGTCCAGCGTGGGTCGAAATCATCTTCATTCCGCTGCGTAACGATGAACATGAGCCGCCGTCATCGCCTAATGAAATCACAACGCCGTCTCACCTGGGGAGGCTTCTCGATGAAACGTTGCACAGTCCGTGCGACGTGCTCGACTAGACGACCGAGAGTGATGGGGTTGCGGTCGCGTGTCTGGTCTTGGATCTGGATTTGGCGCTTGTACTCAACATAGCCTTTCCACTACGAGCAGATTCAGTACGGGGGATCACAATAGAGGAAATGGTTCATGCCAGTATTCGTATATGCGTAGTAACCTTGCCGCCGAGATCTACGGCTTCATTATGGCCGTGCAGCAGGTAGTGCTTCTTCGCCAAAGCATCGGACAGAGAAAGACCCACGCGTCCAGTCTCCTGAACGATGAAAAAGATCGGCATGCAAAGCCGCGAGTTCTCCACGAGAACTTCTCGGATGCGCTTGTATAGTGGCTGCCAGAGTTGCTGCGGTACCACTGGACCCGCGACGTAATCCGCGTCAAGCATGTAGTCAAGAACGCGTCCGGCGTTTTGTGCTCCAGCCGTGTGATCCTGTGGACTGATGCGCCAGCAAGGGGATGGACCGGTGCTCGTTTGTAGATGTAGTTGCTCGGGAGTTGCTTTCAAGACAGCGCCCCAGTATGTCCTCGAAGACGTCTCGAACATGCACGCTATGTACCCACGATCCATGAATGTTGCGCTGTGACTGACGGAGGGGCCGGCTAGGAGCGTGGATGAAGGGGGGAGGGGAGGTTGCTGGTAGATGGGTGGGATCTGTATTTATGTGCAGTTGGTAGCTGTTGCGTCGGACGTGTGGCACCTACTCACCTGATGTGCACTAGAGCTTGCGTACGAACTTGGTTGTGGATGCCAGCTACTTGGATACGCTGACGTATTGGGATAGTGAGAATATTGGTGATTCATGGCGCTCGAAGGAGGCGAGGAAGGGCGTATGTGCGTGGCGAGGATGGTCATCATCGCAACTTTGGACGCGCGGGGTTTTATGGCGGCCGAGAGCGACCATATTCCCGGATGAGTTAGATGGGACCGGTTCGGGCGATGCCTGGCGTCCATGGTCCAAGGCACCAGATTAGCGTGGCGTGGCGTCCGTGGTCGGCGGTGCCGGACGGGCCTGCGTGCACTGGTGGACCCACATGCGTTTATACAGCGCAATTGATGTTCCTGTTCGGATGCGCTCGACAATCCTTTGGGCGGGTTGCTACGAACTTGCGGGGGGATGGCTGATGGCTGATGAGTGGCGCATGCCAGGAAATGGACATGCAAAAGGATCGCTGTTGCTGAGCGCCTGTGAAAGCCGGTCAGATCGCGATAAGTCATGCGCGCGTAAGAAGGCGGAGCAACGATAGCTCAAATGTGCACAAAGGATCCAGACACCGTGCTGATGGGCATCCGCGTTATTTGGAGTTCGGGAAACGAATCCGTCCCCGCGGGCGCATAGGGAACGAGACTCCCATCGCAGCGAGGAGCGCAGACCGCTGCCGCACCCCCGGCTTGCCGTTCAATTACACCCGCCGAACCAACTTCTCCTGAACCAACATCGAGCCTTGAGGCCAGGCGCATCATGATGGCGGTCACCGTCGATTCACTATGATCTGCTTTGCGAGAGGAACTCCCCTTTCTTGTATCCTTGGCTTCAGATTCGCACCATGCGTCGCTACGCATGACATAATTGATCAGGAAACGCTTTCCGAGTCGAACACGGTCCACGGGTGCATTGTCCTCAGATGCACTACCAACGCCGAAAATGTCTCGTCGGCCCACTCTGCTCGCGAGTCCAGGATATGGTGAGCAGTGCATGTATACACCGCCGGAATATGTAAAAGGGGGAAAATGTGTACATAACTCAATGCCGACGAATTACCTCAGGAGCATGGGGAGAGGATGACTTTCAGATCATGTTGAGAACGTCGAGAAGTATGGAAATCACAGCTCTTTAGTGACACAGCCTTGCAACTCGTAGCAAGGTCTTCATGGCGATACACAGAGGCTGGGATGGAAAATATGCGCACGGGTGCTTGCACCACGTTTCGATCAGCGTAGACTTGTCGAGATGATCTTCGTCGGGGACGTTGCGGACACATGGATGATATCTTGTGGCTGGCGAGGAAGGGTGAGTGATCCCTGATGGCTATCCAGAGGTTCACTGGCGGTTGCGCCCAGTGCATTGGTCAGGTCCTGGAATGGCAGGCGATGCATCCTCAAAGGCGATGAGAAAGGGTGTATTGAATATTGTGCCGTCGCGATCGTCCTTCTTCAGAGAAGGTTGGCGGGAATGGATGCCAGAACATTGGAGACTTGGAGGGAGGCACAGATGCTGAGGTGCAAGAAAGGGGAGTTTTGGAAGATGATGGCGGTCGGGGACGCAAACCGGATCCCGCGGCTTGCCGTTCTTGCTCTCGCGGCGGTGGCGATGTCATTCTGAACGCCCGCCATCCATTTACATTGTTAGCGACGCGCTTCGAGAGTCAATTGCATCAGAATCTGTGTTGAACTCTGTTGAACTCTGTGTCCATCTTGATTTGCCTCGCGCTGGCTGCGGAATATCTCACTTTTGCGGCGCTTGCAGCGGCTTCAACGCTAGCGCTCATCATGTTCTCCGGGTTGTTTGGTCAGAAGCGCTGGGATCCCAAAGGCCTTGTACGCAATCCAATCCTCGTGTGGGGTATTTACTCACGGCGCCCAGCACTGCTACGTGACAGGCGGCTCTGCGGGGCTCGGATTGAGTTTGGCTCTGATACTCACCAAGCGCGGTGCGGACGTGTCAATCGTTGCGCGTAACCAGGACACGCTGGCGAAGGCCTTGGAGCAACTCGAGGTGCATGGACCATCCTACACACACATTCAATAAGCTTATGTTTGAGGGATAGGCTGCGCGCGTCTCCCCCAACCAGGTGCTCAAGTCTTACTCGTACGCGCTCGATACGCTTGAAGGCGCACGTTCAGCCTATGATGCGGCATGTGCGGCGCATGGTGACAAGCCCGCGGACGCGGTGTTTATGTGCGCAGGAAGCGCGCGACCCGGCTTCTGGGTGGAACAGTCCGAAGAACAAATTAAAAGGGCAATGGACCTGACGTATTGGGTGGCCGCTTGGACAAGCAAGGTAGGAACGTACGGTTACCAACCGCGAACTTCCTACTCACAAGGCCCTTTCTTCCTTTGCAGGTTGCGACGGAACGCATGGTTCGAGCTAAACATGCGGGTAAACTTGTATTCGTAGGCTCAATAGCTGCCTATTTCGGCATGGTATGTATGCGTGTCGCGTCATTCATCACGAGCAAGCCTTCCAACGGATACTGAAGAGTACCTTAGATCGGGTACTCGACCTATTGTCCGGGAAAGTTTGCCATTCGAGGTGTGTTGGTCATTGAACCAGACGTTTCGCACCATAGATGTCTAATGCACCCATCTCCTTTCACGCAGGACTTGCGGAAACGCTGCGCCAAGAGATGCTACTATACAATGTCGACGTGCACATGTACTTCCCGGCTAGCATCGACAGCCCCGGATACGTTGAAGAGAATAAGACGAAGCCAGCAATTACACGCAAGATTGAGGAATCTGACACCGTTGCCACCCCGGACGCCTGCGCTGAGGGACTCTTTCAAGGTACCTGTTTCGTTGCGCTTGCCTTGTTTCGCATTTGGTAGCATGCGGCTCACATCTGTGGCTCAGGTGTACAGCGTGGCGACTTCCACATAACGGATACCTTCAATGGCGAGGTCTTCCGCACCACTGCGCGTGGCGCCACCCCGTGGAACAACTTCTTGCGAGATCTGATATACGGATTTATCGGAACTGTGCGTGTTCATCTTTTCATGATGAAATCGTGATTCACACATACGGCGTAGGTCGCTCTACCGTTCTGGCGCAGAGACGTTGACGGGTCCGTGCGCAAGCATCGCAAGGAACATGATTACTATCTCCAGGAGCGCGGCTTCTTCAAAGCGCCCAATCTTGGTTGATCGGATACCCCGCAGGGGCTGTTCGCTACGGGAAGAAATGTGTTGGCATCGACTCGGTATACCATACTCAACTCTCTCGACTCTATGGATATATAGATATATACAAGTCAGTCCGACGTCCGCGGATTGTACGGTAGAAATACAGAGTGCTGGAATAAGTGCCAGATAGTGAGCTAGCGGCACAAGGATGATACACAAGAGTCTGAGATGTCTATGTAGGTGAAGCATGATGCGACGCGGACCGGGGCACGTCACTAGCAACGAAGCGCTACTTCCTGTGGACAGACTGATGCCGTGCAAGCTGGTCGGGTCGGGAGAAGGCCTTCGAACACCCTGGTTCGCTGCAAACGTAAGGCCGAACGCCGGTATGCGTCCTCAACTAGGAACGAAAAGTCAGACATATTGAATGGAGCCCTAAGAATTCCCAAGACGTACATGCTTCGATAAGTTCGAAGATTCGGAGAACGCCCTGAATAGATAAGCCAGCGTCAGAAGCAATGCGCCGCGGCGTTCAGACAGAACAACGCACCTATCGCAATACGTGCACTTGAATGGCTTGTCCCCGTTATGTGTGCGCTTGTGTATTGTAAGCGCCCCAGCGATGGCGAAAGCTTTGCCACATCCAGGCACATCGCACACGTAGGGTTCTGGACGTACAGGGTTTAGAATGCTAGTACACAGCCATGAGCCGAGGCGCAAAGCTTACTTTCTTGGGTATGTCGGCGCATGTGTTGTTGCAGAGTGGCCGCCTCGGAGAAGTTCTGCTTACACAACTTGCACTGGAAGGGTCTATGGCCTGTATGACTCTGATCGTTGAGTCAGCGCCTGATATTGCATTAGGGCTGCCGGATAGGATGAGATGTACCTGTAGGTGACGGCAGATCTTTTGCTTGCTTGTGAATCCATGATCTCCGTGGCGTTGACAATCGGCCCAATAACATTCATAGTGCGCCTTTCCTCCCCCAACATGCTCGGCTGTAAGATGAGTTGTGAGGTCCTCCGTGTTACTGAACGCGATACCACAGTCCTTCCAGCGACATATCGCGTTCTCCTCCTCCTTCTCCGTGGGCGCGACCGACTTGCCGCGAGCCGCAGCGGACAACACCGGTGCCATCTCGGTCGATGAAGAAGACGTCGAAGCCGAGGAGGACGATGGTTCTGAGAGGATAGTTGTTGACTGAGGATGACGAGGCATCTTCAATGTTGAAGCGCTGGACGTCAGGGAGAACGTGGGCGAGGAGCTAGGTATTTGGGGCGAGGTGTCCATGAAGAAGGGAGATTGTTGGTGCAGGCCTTCGATGCCAAGGTGGTCATGGTACAGATGTTCCTGAAGCACGTCCAAGGTGGCGCCGGATGAAGGGCCGGCTGTTGTCTGCGACAGCGAGTAATTGTGACAATCGTCCCATTGACACGAGAGACTGGATGGCGTAGGTGCAGCAGGCTGCTCCTGGGTGGTACCAGGACGCAGATGGAGTAGGTTCACATGCCCTACAAGCTCCTCGAGAGTTGAGAACTGCGCATGGCAGCCGGCCCACATGCAGGTTACGTTAGTCGTTGCTTGAGACGGCGGATTCGACGGCCCGGGGCTGGTAAAGTCAAAGAAAGGACTGGTCTGCAAAAGATGCTGAGATGCTTGAGGCGCCGTCGTCGGGGAAGATACGCTGGAATAGAAGGCATCGGATGCGTGAGACAATGACGGAGACGAGTATGATGTCGTCTCGCTCTGTGGCGGCGAGTCTGACTGCAAGAACGTGGGTGGGAAAACATCCCCGCATGACTCGCATAGGAAAGCAGCGAGAGCCGCGTCCCAAGAGTGCGGATGGTCGAGATGATATGCTGCTGTAGATTGAGGCGCAAATGATGAGGTCGGTGGACCAAAAGCTGAGGACGACGGTATTGGTGCGCTGTCCCCGAAAAGATTGTCAAGCCCAGGCTATATTGCATTGATCAGCATGAGATAAGCATCGGTGGCATAGGTTATACTTACGCCGTAGTAGTTGTCCTCTTCCTCAAGTTCGCAGCCGCAGGACGACTCTGTATGACTTGGATCGTCGCAGGGCACTACAAAACAGTCGTCTGTGCATTTCTCTGCCGCCGCGCAAGTCTCATCCTCGCAATCGGGGACGCAGAGGTCGCAGTCAGGGTCCACGACTTTTGGGGCATGTACGCTGGCGCTCGAGCCAGCAGAGTATACGCTGGCGGAGGAGAAGTCCTCGAGTGTGCTGTGAGGAAAGTAGCCCATGGTCGTCCGATGAGAGCCGCTCGGAGTTGGACTGCGACGAACAAACGAAGACGACCTTCGCGGTGAGGGCGGTGACGCCGGAAACCGGACCGGGAAAATGCCCCCTATTTCGACCAATGGCCACAGGCATTGACAACGTTCGATCACGTCAGATCACCTTGGCGTGGCTCATTGATTATCAGATAGCGGCTGCTAATCAGCGGCGTGCATGCGATCACCCCACTCCGTACGATGCACGGTTGTGGGGAAGCGCTCTAAATGTGTACGGATGCATTCGCTTACAACCTCTCACAACGCATATATGCATTGGATGGGAGTCACTCAGGTCATCGGTGTACTTGCTCACAGAGGTAATCAACAGATTGATCAGAATAGATACGCGAGGCAGGAGTAGAGTAGTTATTTAATGTACAAGCGTCCGTATCCGTTCCCTATCTATTGACGTTTACGTTCGTCATCGGAGAGCTGCTTTTGCATCTCAGTGCGGCGCTCGGCCAGCCGCGTCTTGAGGCCCTGTAAGCCGGAGACGAGAGAGTCAATCGTTGCCTCGGACATCTCCGTTACCTAGAAAACTGTCAGACAGCCGTGCGGGCCTAGTATAGGGTAGAACGTACACGTTCAGAGGCCTGTCGCGAGTAGTTGCGCATATCCTCTTCCCACTGTTGCTCTACAGTGGCGATCGATGTGCTTGCAGGGGAAGGCGGGTTTGGCGCGGCAGCTTGTGCAGAAGCAGGCGCTGCTTGCGCAACCTGCTGTTCGCGGCGATGGTGATGCCAGCCATGATGACCCCATCCCCAATGCCTCGGTTTCTCCTCTTCAGGGACCAGACGCGGGGTGTATTCAACGCGACGGCACCCGGCGTTCACGCCTCCATCCCATTCTCCACGTTCATAGTTGCCCTCGATGCTCCTCCGCGTTGCATGATGACGGGCCCACGCCGTAGCGGCGATTGCGCCAAAGCCGAACCAGAAGAGACGCCGCCCGAAACCGAAGCGGCCGAAGCGGTGTGCGTGCCAGCCCCAGGGATGGAAGGGTTGACCATGAGGCATGTTAGAGCGCCAATGCTGGAAGCCGGGAGGTGCCATATCTGGTGTGGTGAATGTTGTGCTAGTGAGGGTAGCGCAGTACGATGATGTCCAAAGAGGCAGCGTGAAGCCCTCTCTATAAGTATCGTTTCGCAGCCGCTGGCCGTGTTGAAGCGTCACCGAGCGCTGAGTTGTACATCCGGCAAAGCAAAGGCATTGTTTCTTCGGCAGTTCGGCTGCAGATTGTCCGAGCTCAACGCTCATGCATCATGGCCAGTGCAGACCGAGCCGCGAAGACGCGCGCGGCGCGGCATGAGCCGTGCCTCGATCAACGGGCGTTGCCGGCGGCGCTCGCGCTTGCGAACGTGCCGCGCCTGAAGTTCACTGGCTGAAGATCTCTTTCACCTCAAGACCTGCTTTAACCCTCCTGATTACCTACTCCGTGCCGGAAGACCACGTCTTCCCACTCTATTCATCATGGCTCCAACAACTACAACGAAAGCCACCACGTCTAAGACCAAGGCTCCCTCCAAGAAGGAGAAGATTTTTCACCCAAACTCTCGAAAAGCCGATCAGCTCAACCGCAAGCAAACTCGCAAGGCGAAACTGGAAAGCCAAGCATCCAATAGAGTGAAGAAAAATAGCTCAAGGAGTGCGTTGCGTGTGGCGCTGTACCCTTTACATGCGGTACTGACAAGAGCGTAGCCGATCTTTACGGTTTCTTCTATCATGCCTTACCAGAAGAGGGCGAACTTACTCTGGACGAATTGCACGATCTCATCCGAGACGTCTGGCTGACGCGACACGATGTGGAGATTGAGGAAGAGCAGGCCGCGCGGAGAAAGGGGCGCCCAAAGAGCGTCAAGCAACAGAAGCTGGAGGATCTGAAGTTACGCGAGTCCGAAGAGTACAGGACAGGGATGGGTACGTGACGTTCCTGCTATTTTCTTCTTTCTCACCACCTTATCTGCCATTGTAGAGGTCCTGGACCTCACGCACCCTGAAAACGTCGCGCTTCTGAGGAAATGGGATCAAATCGAATATGCCTACATCCAGATACTTCGCTTCATCCGTATCAACAGCGTCAACCGGGACATCGTTCTTGTGTCAAGACCTGGAAAACATCACTCTCTTGTCCCGACCAAAGAACATCCCGCTGATCCCCAAAACGCGAGCGATGCAGCGATGGACGTAGAACCCTCGGACAGCGCTTCAAGTCCGCCGCCACTGCTTATGGACCCCGCTTCGCGCTTCTCCAGCACCATCATGTCTATGGATGGTCCCGCATGACAGTTTTGCGCCCGCCTTTTGAACATGTCATTCACACTCTGTTTCACTGTCAAAATAGGATTGTATATGCACATCACATCTCCGCTCGAATCGGGTGCCTAGTACTGAATCTCATCCACATACTCGTCTACTAGTTGGAAGCTCGTATCGAGCGCTGGGCTCATCTCATGCGCCGGGAGCCGCGGAACATCCAGATCCCACACCTCACGAAGCTGAGTGCAGAACGCTCGGAATGTGGCCGGCGCGCCCTTCTCGAGCTCGAGTGACGCGAAGCTATTGAATCCGCCGACCGCTTGTACCTGCGTCGCAGGTTGAACTACAACACGGAAACGTATGGCCTTGATGACGGCGCCGAGATCATCTTGATGTTCGTCAACACGGCACTTCAACATGCCGAGGGCGTCGTGACGCGTGAGCTCAACTTGGACGCCCATGTATGCGAGGATGCGCTCGCATTCTGCACGCGTGGCCTTCTCATCGTGTGCGGAGAGGAACTCGTGCGATAGTTTCTTCGCGAAGAGGCCGGTAAACCACGTCGGAGTGGCGGGCGAGCGGGGCGAAGAGAGGTCTGATACAGCCGACGAGGTGCTCTTGCGGCGACCGAGAAGCGTCTCGCTCTTACGACGCATCAGATCTCCTTTCTCGGTAGAGGCCAAGAAGGGGTGCCACGTCGGCTCGTCGTTGATGCGTACATGGCGAGGGTCGGCGGAATGAGGCCTGCGGTTCTCGATACCAGACTTCTTCAGAGTCGACTTGCGCTTTGAGATGGTACCGCCTTCCGCGATCGGCTCGTTCTCCTTCGACTCCTTCGCCGCGCCCTCATCCTCTGGCACATCGCCAAGCCCCAAACCGCGACCTTGGCTCAACTTGAGAGGCGGCGGCTTGTGCTTTTGACCGCGGTTGATGGTCAGAGGCCTCGTCTTGGCCCTGAAAGGAGCCTTCATCCTGTCGCTGACACGCCTAGCGGTCTTGACGTTCTGGCGTGCACCTTGAGGCTGAAGGACCTTCCCACTCGCAACGTGCTCTTCCACAGCGTCAAAGAACTCAGACCAGCGAGGGTCACGACAGAGCTCGCGAAGCTTGTCCACATCTGGAATGCCGGGGAGGTCGAGCTCCTCCCAACGCGGCGAGTACGGCGTAGCCGGGAAACTAGGCGACACGGGTGATGGGCCGGCATCGTCAATGTGAATACTGAGCAACATCGGCGTCCTCTCGCCATCCGCGAACTCTGGAGAGCGGCTGCCCGAAGCGCGCCTGGGCGTTGGAGGGTCCGCACGCGGCGGGATGTCTGCCGCGTTGACAGGCGTCGTGGGTCGATCAGACGCCATCCTCGACATGCGCTCCATGGCCTTGCGTTGAGCGCGCTCCGCCTTCTTCTGCGCTTGATACTCCTCTGCCCGCTTGACTCGAGCAACAAGGTCCTCCTCCTTACGAGTGCGGTGTTGGAGGAGGAGATGATAGGTCGCCTGCTCCCACGTCTTCTCCTTGCGAAGAAGGTTGGCCCGGAGAGTCTTGGCCGACGCATCGGGCCAGAGGTAGCGAAGGTTTTCGATGACCTTGGCGTCAAGATCCTGCTCTCGTAGCGGCTGCGCGAGGTCTTCGAAGTCGGGCCCATCGTGGATGTCGGGGGCGGGCAAGAGCTCAAAGAAGGGGTGCAGCCTTACGTCGAAGATGGTGTACCGGCGGTCTGCGTTTCGCTCGAGCATGCGCCGCAGGATATCTTGGGCTTCAGGGCATACGTCCTTGGGGATCTTTATCTCGTTACGGCATATGATTGTGAAGAGCTCGTTGTGGTCATCCGAGTGGAACATGATTTCACCGGTGAGGAGGGTGTACAAGATCATGCCCGTGGACCAGACGTCCGCCGCCCGTCCATCGTATGGTACCACACCATTGCCGGTGATGACCTCCGGAGCCAAGTAGTGCGGACTTCCGCACTGAGTTGCAACCATGCCACCGTTGTTCGCCAGCCAACCCGCTAGGCCAAAGTCCGCCAGCTTAACGACACCGTTCTTGCACACAAGCACGTTCTCGGGCTTCAGATCACGATGCGCGATGTTGAAACGATGGCAATACTCCAGAGAGATAACGATCTGCTGGAAGTAGCCGAGCGCTTCCTCGAGTGGGATGCGGCCTTCGCGATTCGTGATGATGTTGAATAGCTCCTCCCCGTCGACGTATTCGAGAATGAGATAGTAGTTGCCGCGTGTGATAAAGGCGTCGTACAGGCGCAGAATGTTCGGGTGATGCAGAACCTTCATGAAGATGATCTCTCGCATGATTCCCGCCTTGATCTTTGTCGCGTACTCTGGATCAACATCGCTCGATTCGAGCCCCTGCTTGGACATGATCTTGATGGCAGCGTACTCGCCCGACCTCATATGCCTCGCGATGCGGACCCGGCCTACAAGAAAACTTAGTCACATGTCTGGCTCAATGCGAGGACACGCACCATTAGCTCCGGAACCCAACTTGCGGCCGACCTTCCACTCTCCGATCTCATTAGGATCCTTCCCGTACTGTGTGGCCGTGCTGACGCCACCATCCTGACCTGGGTCTACGAGTATTCGGCGGGACATAGTAATGTGCGAGTGTATGATAGAGATGATGGGAGTAGTGTTGAACTTACGAAACTGTTTGAGCCTCTGGGTGCAGCCAAACCTGTCAAACTCGCGTGTGCGGGCCGGGCACGCGCGTGTCATCATTGAGAGTCAGAGTCACGGGACCGCGTTTGATCGCGACGCGCCTGCTGGTCGCGCGCGCGCCACAGGTCGCGACTTGACCTGAACCACGACCATTACGCCCTTGCACCCAATATATACGAATATTTCACGCGTCTCTGAATACCAACATTTTGATCAAGAACCTACGCCCACATTGATGTCGCAGACTACGTCATCAAGCGAAGTATCACCCGAAGGAGAGAGCGCGTATCCAGAGCCTCCGAAGAATTGGGGGAAGACGCCTTCGTTCGGCGCGCTGGCCAGTCTATACAACAAATTGTCCCGTGAGAGGCAACATGATAAGCGCAGGAAAGCCATCGATACATGGTTTGAGGTCCGTCGGACCAGCATCTCCCCGTCTGATGACACTGACCGGGCATTCAACAGCAATGGCGCAAAGTGGTTGGACCCGATCTCTACCCTGTCATCCGCCTCCTTCTTCCCGACAAAGACCGCGAACGCATTGTATACGGAATGAAGGAGAAGAATCTTGCCAAGGCATATATCAAGATCATTCCGCTTCAGACGAAGAGTCCGGACGCCATTCGCTTATTGAACTGGAAGCGGCCTACCGAGCTGCATGTAAGTAGCCCTTCTCACGCTCGAAGTGCCGCATATGATGCTTATCATTGGCAGAAAGCATCAGGAGACTTTACATCCGTACTTCTTGAGATCATCGGCAAGCGAAGCAATGTGCTCGAAGGCTCGCTCACCGTCGAGGATGTGAATACGCTGCTGGATGAGTTGTCCAAGTGTGGGAATAAGCAGTCAGTGCCGTGATAGTATGACCCTACCTTGTGCTCATGTCTTTAACAGAGATAAGCAAGCAGAAGTCATGAAGAAAGTCTACGCTCGCACAACACCAGATGAACAGCGATGGATTACACGCATCATCCTTAGAGGTAAGAACGCAATAGCTGTCGGGGAAGTCTTTTGGCTAACCGGTCGGAAGATATGGGAATCTCTGTGAAAGAGACAACCGTGTTCTCCGTCTTTCACCCCGACGCTCACGATCTGTTCAATACTTGTTCCGACTTGAAGAAGGTCACTTGGGAACTCTGGGACACAAAGCGCCGATTGAACGAAGACGAAAAGACAGTGAAACTCTTCCGCGCTTTCACACCCATGCTCTGTAAGCGGCCGACCCGTTTGCTCGAAGATTCAGTTAAGGACATGGGCGGCCGTACGTTCATCATCGAGGAGAAGCTTGACGGGGAGCGTATACAGCTTCACAAGCGCGGGAACGAGTTCTTCTATTGCTCTAGGTTCAATCGTACCCGCGACTCTCTTGTCTGTCACACTAATGACCTTTCAGGAAGGCGAAGGATTACACGTACCTCTATGGCAAACATATCGGCGAGGGTAGTATGACACCACATATTGCCGAGTGCTTTGATCCTAGGGTCGAAGAGTACGTTCGCATGTTTACTCCCCATACCGTGGAGACCTGATGATGTCTCCAGCATTGTTCTTGATGGGGAGTTGCTCGTATGGGACCCGGTCTCCGAGCGCCATCTGCCCTTTGGCACGTTGAAGACAGCAGCCACCAGTAAGCTCCTCCACTCGCCATCCCTTGGCGTTTATTGACAGGTCTACAGATAAATCGCCGACACTGAAGGATCCCCGGCCCTGTTGTACGTAGTTTCTGCAAGTGTCGCGCAATCACGCACTGATTGTACAACAGTCAGAATCTTCGACATGCTCTATCTCAACGGCCAATCGCTCATTCACAAGTCTCTGAAGTTTCGTAAACGCAATATGAAAGCGTGCGTGAAAGAGAAGGCGGGATATCTCGAGTATATCCTGGAAAGCGAAGGCAAGACTGCGAAGGATATCCGTACCAAGATGGAGGAGGTCCTTGAGAGCCGTGGAGAAGGGCTTGTGATCAAGCATCCTGACTCCGAGTACGTACTAAACGGTCGCAACAAGGACTGGATCAAGGCACGTATCGTACTCCTTTACTATGGAGTGATGCTCATTCGTCTTTCATTAGGTCAAGCCGGAGTACATGGATAGCATGAGTGAGACATTGGATCTTCTCGTCGTTGGTGCGCCATGCCCTTCGCACTTCATACAGCACACTGATGCGCCACGACAGCCGGGCACTACGGATCGGGAAAGCGTGGCGGAGGCGTCTCTTCACTCATCTGTGCAGTTCGCGATGATCGCGCGAAGAGCGAGGAGCCTGTCTACAGCACGTTCGTGCGCTGTGGTACCGGTTTGAGTCTAGCGGACTATGTCTGGATCAGAGAGTTGCCCTGGAAGAAGCGCACACCCACGCAGAGGTGTGAAGCTGTCCGCACTGCGCCGGAGAACATCGGCGCAGAGGACAAGGGAGACTTGTATCTCGAACCAGAGGAGTTAGTGTCGTTTACCTCCCTAGTGATGTGCACAGGCTCATGGTTCCCACAGTTCCTTCTTGATCTCAGTCAAGGCAGCAGACATCATACCATCTGGTGAGCAAAGTGAGCCAATGTTGCTCGTGGATGTCTCGCTGACCCTCGATTAGACCAGTATCATCTGAACTATACTCTCCGCTTCCCTCGCGCTCTCAGGACGCGAGAAGATCTTCCCATCTCCGATTGCGCGACCGTGTCGAATGTATTGAGCATTGTTCGAAACGGCAAGAAGCGGAAAGCAGACGAAGAAGATGGGTTAGTGCGCTGAAGCTTAGCTTATGTGAGTATAGCTAGAGAACTAACACGTGTGCGGTGCAGGTCGCTTCTCAAGAGGCGAAAGAAGACTGGCGGTCCGAAGAAGGCACCGGTGAGCGTTCATCATGCCTTCGACTACCGTAGGTATCTGACACCGCCATAGCCCACCATGCTGGGTGTGCTCAAGGGCGTGAATCTCAAAGACGTCGAGGTCGAATCAGACATCTTCGAGGACATGTCGTTCGGTGTGTGCAGTGGTACCGTCTGCCGCATCCGCTTCTAATCAATCGTAGTGGTCTCTGCAGATCCCAAGTCGAAGAATCGCGATGGTGAGAAGTCGGAGCTCCTCAAGCTGTGGGTCATCTCTGCGCCCTCTGCTACTGTATACCTTTTCTCACGCACACGCACTAGTATCAAGGCGAACGGAGGAACATTCTATCAGATCGCGAAGAACCAACCCGACCTACTTGTCGTATACGGGGGTGCAACAACTCGTATGCTATTCGAAGTTCCTCTTGCACCCTCCTTCTCACTCACCGCCCATAGCATATGACATCAAGATGATCATGAATAAGGACGTACACGATATCATCCGCCCACAATGGCTTCTCGACTGTGTGGCCGCCGGCGAGCGATTGCCCCTGACGAAGAAGTAAGGGCTTCGGACTATTCAAAACGAAAGCGATGCTCACTGGACGCAGGTATTTCTTCCACGCTACGGAGGATCGCAAGAACACTCGAGAATACAAGCAGTTCGAGCGCGCTGATAGTGATGGCAGCGATACAGAGGCCGAAGACGATGATGAACCGGAGAGCACTTTGAAGAGCGCCCCGCCGTCACCAACAGGCTCTGAGCCGGATTCTCCCCACGATACCCAGATAGACGAGGATGAGTCCGTCCCGGATCCTCTGCTACGAGACTGGTTCCAAGTACGCGATGGCCGTGAGATCCCGAGCGGGGGCAAGGATGAAGACTCGGCGACGGACCCGGAATCTGACAACGATGATACGCGGGACGAGGAAGACGATTGGTTTGGTGTACGGACACCGGATACGCTTGATGATGATGTTCCGAAAGCAGTGGTACGTCTGCTGACGAGCGCTCATACCCGGATCGTATGCTGACTGCGACTCGAACAGTCCCAGCTGGACGTCAATAGTCAGAGTCTGGTGAGAGTCCAGACCATACCGGTATGCACCTGGCTGACGTGTGTGAAACTCTAGACGTTAGATGATGACTTCGTTGATGTGGTTCAAGAGCATGCTCCGATTGACGAGGACGTGAAGATGGGCGAGAGCGATGACGCCTTGACCTATGACGAGGAGCGCATCTTCACGCATCTGCGCTTCTACATCGACTCTCCAAGCAATGCACGTAAGAACGGGATGAAGGTGTCTACGAAACACGAAGCCACTGTCGAAAAGAGGTGCGCCGGACGCAATGCTCTTTCCGTTCGGCCCGTAGATACTCACCCGCCGTGTATCAGTCTCGCAGCTATCGGCGCTCTGATCTCTGACAACGGCGGAAGAGTTACCGATCTCGACGATCCTAAGCTGACGCATGTCGTGCTTGACAAGCGCGACGACAGCCGGAGACGTGAGCTGATGCAAACGACATCTCAGTAAGTGACAGGCATTCCCCTTGCTCAGTTCTCTGCTGATCATGGCCCCTTCTACTTTCAGGCCGAAGCGTCGTCATTTGGTGCTGTCCGACTTCATTGAGGCATGTTTGGAAGAAAGCACACTTTTGGATGAAGCTGGTAAGCCTTCCTGAACTCATAGTATGCCATTGCAGCTTTCGAACCTGTTTATTCAGACTTTGCTCCTTGAAACGTGGCTTGCGGGCGGGTGGGTAGCCCGTCAGACCTGACATTGTGGCCGACGATCGTACCGACCTTTCCCTTCTCGTGCCGATTGAGAATGCAAGCTCTGTTGTATATGCACTTGTATACCGATATTCTGGAGCTGATCATGTATACATCTTGCTGCCTTCATGTTTCCGACTCTGGATCAAGTAACATCGCGACAACGTGACGGCCCTTGGGTCCTAGGGAACCAGGCGTCCAAGGACACACGACTGGTAAGGCACTTCACGACACAGAGAGGCACAGGAGGGCGTGATTAGGTCGCTCCCGTGTGTCCTAGCGTCAGTCAGTGCAACATGGTGGAGAGACGAGGACGTCCTGAACTCTACAGCGCATCTCCGTATCATTCAGCAAGCATGACGTCGCCGACGGCGATGTGACTACTTACTACGGGCAAGTATCCGGGCTGCATACGAATCAGAACTTCGGAGCAGGAGTGTGACTGCAGGGTGCACAGGATGTCCTGACGACAGTCTGACGCCAGAGTGCGCTCGTCTAGGCGGAGAATGTAGTTGGCGATGTTTCGGCACAACCGCTAAGTGACTCTGCGTAGCATGCAGTGAGCACCCCGGGAAAGTGTAGCTACCGAGCATTCCTTATACAGTATCCGGTACTTAGTGTGTATGTGGAAGAATACGTATCGCGTGTCAGTGGCAGCTGAGTGGCGTAGCGTACTCCAACATAGCCGCCGGGGTGATCACAATGCCAAGTGCAAGTACCTCCGCAAAGTCCGGAACCCAATTTACAAGTAAGTTTCGGGACCACTCGAGCTGGGCCACCCGCCAAGAGGCTCTATCTTTGCGAAATCCATAATCGACTTGAGCGAGGGTCAAGGCGAGAGACACGTCGAGGACGGCTCGAGCGGGTTTGCAGTGCTAGGAGGCGCGCGACGCGTGCGAACGTTGACGTCACTGTATCGAAGACGGCATTCGTGCTACTCGCCCGGTCGAAATCTCAAGCTCCTTACTCCACCGTCTGCGGCAGTCTCAGCCATAAATAAACATGGCATCGCCTGCTATCTGCCAGCCGCTGGCTTCTTACCCCGCATCCCCCACACTTCTTCGACCATCCGGTCGTCGTCACCCCTGGCATCATGGCCACCTTAAACGAAAAACAACAACCTTCATCTCCAGCAAGCGCAACACCTAGACAAGGATCCATAGAGGAGGGTACCTTGGTGGACCAGGCTTCATTCGACAAGAAGAGGCAACGACCCGACGGCAAGATTGAGCTTACAGACGAAGACGTCTGGGATACTCACCTCGGTTACACTTGGCCATGGTGGAAGAAATGGGGAATTCTCTCGTATGTGCAAGTATTACTCAATCGAGTAGATTTCATCTAACTTGCCATAGCGTTATCTTCTGCGTACAAGTGTCTATGAACTTGAACGCGAGTCTGTACGCGAACGCCGTGACAGGACTGACGGACGAGTTCGGCATCTCGGCCCAAGCAGCCCGCGTCGGCCAGATGATATTCCTCGTTTCATATGCTTTCGGTTGTGAGCTATGGGCACCTTGGTCTGAGGAGCTCGGACGCTGGCCTATTCTCCAGCTCAGTCTGTTCTTTGTCAACAGTACGTGCAGTTACTTGTTCATACGGAGTGATATACTAACCCAGGCAATCAGTCTGGCAAATACCTTGCGCACTCGCGCCTAACTACGGCACAATAGTCGTGTGCAGATTCCTTGGTGGTATCTCCAGTGCTGGCGGATCTGTAACGCTCGGCATGGTAGCTGACAGTACGTCTTGCTTCCTCTAATTCCTGAGTTCAGATGCTTATAACGATCACAGTGTGGGAGGAACATAACCAGCAATACGCTGTGGCATTCATCGTCTTATCATCCGTCGGAGGTTCGGCTGTTGGGCCCATCTTCGGAGGCTACGTCGAGCAATCGCTTAGCTGGCACTGGTGCTTCTGGTTGCAGCTCATCGCCGGCGCAGCAGTCCAGTTCATGCACTTCTTCACTCCGGAAACCCGCTCGTCTGTCCTGGTCACGCGCGAGGCCAAGCGTCGCCGCAAGGCCGGCGAGACGAACCTCTACAGTACGGAGGAGTTGAATGGCTCGGCTCTGTCCGTGAAGAGCGTGCTCACTATCTGGACGCGCCCATTCATCATGTTCGTGCGCGAGCCGATCGTTCTTTGGCTTTCGCTCTTGAGTGGGTTCTCCGACGCGCTCATCTTCACTTTCCTTGAGGGGTTCTCGCCTGGTCAGTGTGAAGCAATAACCTCACGCCGATGCCCATACTCATATGCTTCGCAGTATTCAAGCAATGGGACTTCAATACCGGAGAGATCGGCCTTGCCTTCATTCCGTGCGTGTCTCCTGAGCTTCAATCAGCGGGCCGATCTGACTCTTTTGCAGCATCATGATCGGCTACTTTATCGCATGGTTCAGTTTCTTTCCCTTCATTCGCAGCCAGATTCGGAAACGTGAACGGGATGGCCCCGACTCTCTTGCTCCTGAAGCTCGCCTGTACTGGCTGCTCTACCTCGCACCGCTCGAGCCCATCGGGTTGTTTGGCTTTGCATGGACCAGTCAAGGACCGCCCACCACGCACTGGATTGCTCCTCTGCTATTCTCTGCTCTCATCGGTATCGCCAACGTGAGTTGTCCACCTCTGCGACATGACGAGCTGAATCTGATATACCATCTAGTACGGTATCTACATGGCCACTATCGATTACATGATCGCCTCGTACGGCCCGTACAGTGCATCCGCAACCGGCGGGAACGGTTTCGCCCGCGACTTCCTCGCTGGCATCGCCGCCATGTACTCTACGCCGATGTACTCCAACATCCCTGGAAAGCCGCTCGAATACGCCTCAACAATCCTCGCATGCATCGGTGTACTCGTCGTCATCCCCGTCTACCTCTTCTACTGGAACGGCCCGACGATCCGTGCGCGCTCTAAGTTCGCCATGACGCTCGCTAGTGAACGCCACGAGCATCCGCATCGGCCGACGACTGTTGGCGAGAAGGCGCATGCGGACCAGATCGAGCATATGGAGCATGCGCCGGCGCCAAATGAGAAGGCTGGTACTGGTGCTACCGTTGAGCATGCCGAGCACGCATAGGCGACTGGGCATGTCTCTTTGCTTTGACTATCACGACCCGCTGCTATTTGCTTTGAACCTACATGTATTACCTGCACATCCGGATCCTGTACTTCCCCATATCCGCTGTTCATTATGTACCCGCACGACAAGACACGAGACCAAACCTGTACCCATAGATATACTACTACATAATGTAATGTCTGCTATTCTTCGCATGTGCAAGAGGAGTGTGACGAGTCGTCTGCGCTTTTGTCCCATGACCGTACGAAGCTCCTGACCTTAGCTTGTGGCCGTGTATACTAGTACTGGCCAGACTCAGCCCTCGCCCAAACCCGAGGTGCAATTGATTTCTTTCGGCCCCGGTGACCATGTCCAGGATCTCCGGTTGCACATAACTGCCAAGTCATGGATTGCTATGCGAGCGTGAAACCGGAACGAGGTCTTCAGAATCATTACTAACGGAAGCGTACAGGAAGTGTGTGTCATTCCCGGTTGCTAGGTAAGATACAGAATTCCAAGGCGGGTACAGTAATCTAATCTGCGATTATGCTTCCTCAACGTCTTCGTCGTCCGACGCAATCTCGACCCGCCGCTCTCGGCTCCGATCTCTACTCTCTTGAAAGGTTGCCTCGCCATGGGAGGTGCGGTGCGAGATGCTGGCCCTAAAAGCGGCATCCCTTCTCGTTATAGCATCAGACTCGTCATCCCACACAACCGCTCCGACTCGCTCGTGGTCGTTCAACTCGTGAACCCCCGACTCTGGCACATCGCACCCATCCATCCGCACGTTGATGAGTGGTGACGTAACGTCTCGCAAGCTCAGCGCATCGATGAGCATACGCAACGCCGTGTCAGAGATCACGACGCTCTCGAGGGAAAGCTGGCGCAGGCGTGGTAATGAACCAGAATGCGCGCCGAGGTACTCGAAGAACCCCGCAACGTCGTTGACACCGTGCAGCCGCACCTCTTCGAGGTAAGGCAGGCGCTCCAGAACCTGCTCCCAGACTCGGGGCCCTTCGATGACATCCGCATGGACAACCTCGAGACGGCGTATGTGCTCGGACAAGGGTGCCCAATGGAGCATAGGCACGAAGAGCTGCGCGAACAGCCCCATGGAGCCGAACACGAACTTCCTCGGACCAGATGACGATGGAGATGGCGAGCCCGTGAAGACCGCGTCGAAGCCTGTCTCGCCGATGTTGTCGAGCTCCGTCAGCTTCAAAGACGAGAACCCGTCAAATACGGAGTTCGGGTAGGCGGATAGGATATGTCGACGGAGTTTCTCGTCGATTATGCTTTGAAGGTTCGCGAGATCGCCGGATCCTTGTCTGGATCCGCGCAACTCGAGTTGAGCTGAGGGCGGGGCTTTGATGTACTGAAAGATCTCCAGCACGACCGGGAGAGGCTCGAGTAGTATGAGCTCGCGAAGATGCGGCAGTTGTACCGAGGGCGGCGCGAGTGAATCTTGGTTGGCGATGGGCAATGTGTTGAGACTGAATCGATCGTTGAGGGTATCCCAGTCAGCTTTCATGACGAAGCGCTCGAGGAGTGGCAGCCTGGCAAGCGCGGAAAGGACCTCTTGGGCGTTCGCGAAGACGTAGCATGACTGCAGTTCGAGATGCGTGAGGGGAGAGCGGAAGATGGGATGGGAGGACGATAGCGATGCGTAGCACAGTTTGAGTGTGTGCAAGCGGGGCGGCGGTACGCCACCGAATAGCTCATCCGGGTAGAGGTTGTGAGTCTCGTCCCTGCCCCTCAGGGAAAGCCTCTCTAGGGCGTGCGCGGGCTTCGCTGTCAACAATGACCAGATAGGGTGGTCGACGATCTTTGGTACGAGTGCGTCTAGCGAGCGTATGCGTGGAAGCTCGGCGAGGAGAAGAGCATTTGCCGCTCGCATCTGCTCAGCCTTGTCCCTGGTTTGAACATCGTGGTCGACTGGATCCAGTAACGTGACATCCAAAGGCAACTCGCGCGTCCATTCAACGGCCCGCGACGTCCAAAGGGTTCCACAGATATTGGGTACGTCGGTCCATAAGGCGGGCGTCGCCTCGGCGACGGTCTGCCAGCGCTTGCAGACTGCGCGGAGTATCATAGAGCTCCTCGAGCCGCGCGATTTGGGGTTGAACGGCCAGACCTCGCAGGAGCGCACAATCAGTGTGAAGATGCGCGCGAGGAGCTCGACCGGAAGGTCGTATACGGGCGACGTCCCCGGTGGATACTCGCCCTTGAGGTGAAAGGGAAGAGGGGTCCCTAAGAGACTGTAGAAGGCGTTGAACTGCGGGAGGTGCTGTTGTATGATAGTTTGAAATCCCTCGAGGACGTCCGGTAGCCCGTTGGATGGGACAAGGCCGAGCCTAAGCTTGTCGATCTCGATGAGCTGTTGTACGAGCTGCATGGCAGCGGCGGGGCCCTCGCGTTGCGCGATGAAGGTTACGACGTCTGGCTTAAGGTAAATGTCAATAAAGACCTAGGGCATCAGTTGCGCGCGAAGACTAACCGGTACCATCGGGTCCGACGGTGCTGGCGATAGTCCGGAGGACATGGAAGCGAGTTGAATTGCGGTGTATGTTAGAACAAGGACGAGTTCTATGCAAGGTGGACGATGCGGGGAGTATGAAATCGGAGCCGTGGCCGCAAGGGGCTCACCGTTATATAGTGAAGCAGCGCGCCACTCCCCGGATATTGGGATTACCAGTAAGCGTTTCATGGGCCCATTGGGGGGCCCACTTCTGGCGATGACGCAGCGGGAGGCGGCGGCCAAGCGAGGGAGTGATCGCGTAGCGAAGTGAGCAGTGATTGATGAGATGATATTATCATGCATTATGCCTAGATAATGACGAAGCCTCTAGTTTCTACTGTAGGAAGTCCAGTATATGGTGCAGCTCCGCGAGTCCTTCTTGATACTTCACGACAGCGTGTTGACCACCAGCTCAAACGTCGAAAAAGTGACCATGTTCACGGGAATAGCCCGAATCAGCGTTGGCGCCAGACCGCGGAAGAACACCCCAGCGCCTTCGGCACGATATGAGGCGATAATTGTCGACCAAGTACTTCGGTAGGGTCGCGGGTGGTTCAAGGTCGTGCTCGTAGATAGTGATGGATGAGAGGCGGGAGAAGATACAGTAGAAAGCGAGCCGTCCGCGCTGCTTTGCATACGCGTCTTGACGACATCGAAGGGAAAGGTCGTGAACCAGCTAAAGGCTCCGGCAAAGCCGCCAGAGATGAGCAAACCGTACCATGGCACATTGGGATGCCGTCCCGCGACGTCCTCGATATCGTGCCCTGGCGTTGGTCTCGAGAAGAAGCGGGTGGATGCTTCGTACTATGAACGTGACCAGGGGTCAATATGGCCGAATATGAACCACATCCAGGAGTTACGCTTACCGCAGCGAAGTATGAGCCAAAGCCTATCTCTCTATAGGCCGTCGCGGTGACCCCCCGATACAAACCCTTGATGCCACGGTCCTGATATATTCGGCGAGCTACTTCAGTGGTCGAGGGGATGCTGGATGGTACACCAGATAGTAGGCGTTTAGCACTAGTGGTCGGTTCCAAGATCTGTTGTTGCCTGATCTTGACCAGCTCGATTGGGGTTGTGATAGCTCTGAAAGCAATTCAGTTCACGACCGTATAACTCCGCACATAGACGGTACCGAAACGTACGACGATAATATCCCGCAACCTGCCCCCGCCAGGAAGACCTGCGTCAACGTCGGCACCGCGTTCTCCGATCGTAGTTGCGCTTTCATAAGGAACCCGTATATGGCAAAGACGAAGCCATTCAGGATGGGTGCAGATGCCTAGCCTTGCCCATGCGTGTCAGTTGATAGAGAACAGAGACGCTGGGCGGCAATCGCGGAGTAGAGGCGCACCATTGGCGATGCCATTCCCTTGAATAGACCGCGAGGGCCTTCTTCGCGCACGATGGTCGTCAGGGCATGGAATGTTGATCTGTACTTCCCCGCCGTCGACGGGTTCTGGAAGCGTACTTTCACTGTGGATAATATGTGGGGTAAGTACAAGCCCAAATTCGGCGCCTGAGATTGATGACGTACCTGTATCGAATGGGTGACCAACAGCGATGGCGGCAACGCCTGGTGATGAGTATGTGAGATGTATTGTCGTGCATGGCTCGTCGCATACAGCAACGCACCAGCTATCGTTCCTGCGAGAAAGTCCAGACGAGGATCCAGCGCCACTGATTGAAATACGTTCAGCCAATGTGCATTGTGTGACAAGATAATCGCTGCGTACCATCTGCACCTCCCTTCTCTCCTGCCATCACTACTGGAAAGTCTTCACAGAGACCGCAGCAAGCCGCGGTGGCCAGTCGTCGCTGAGTCTTCGCGTTGCGGGGAGGTCTCGGCGGAGAGTCTGGTTCGGGATGCGTCACGGCTAAGCGACGCCGTGGCGCCACGAGCGCCCACAAGTCGAACAACACGATCACGCGCTCCTTCCCACCGTACTGCGGCCGGTTCCGAGCTGCAGATGTGCCGCAAGATAAGCGTCGTCTGTGCTGCAGCGAATATTTACTTACGGAATTTCCCTTACCCAAGGCGGATTGGCATGTTGAACGAGGACTTCTTGACGCGACAGAAACTGTCCACGTTTGACGCTTTACGTCTGCGGTCTCGCCGGCGGCGCGCGTCGACAGGCGCCCTCAGATTTCCAACGAAGGGACTAAAATCGGAACTCTTCTGCTGCGCCGTGCGTGGCCGGCGACATCACCCCAGCCCGCCCTGATACTTCAACTCACTGTACATCCATTTACAAACCTATTCTATAGTCTCAGACTTTTGTGTAGGCTTTAGTACCAGATCCCGACCCAAGACAAGGACCCAGAAAATCGGACCTACACGCATATATGCGCCCGAATGTACTTATGAATCGGCGCCGGCCGTGCTCCGGGGCAACCTTAGCGACCAGGAGGCGCCTTGCCGCTGATCGGTGACCTAATTGCGCGGACACTTTTGGCGCAGCCCTGTCGACCCTTGCGGAAGCAAGAGGAAACATCTGAAGCTCTCCCTGGTCGAACTGTTCGTTTGAGAGCTCAGGATGGTTGCTCTGAAGACCTGCATGCGACTGGAGCGTCTTCAACATGATGTCGATGGTATCAGAGAAGGTACGCGATGCGAATGAGAACGAGGACAAGCCACGATCAGGCTTCTGGGGTGGTCCATTGACCCGAGGGCTCGGCTGAAAGGGTCCGTCGCAACGAGGGCAGGCGGAATAAAAAGGCGAGGCCTCTTGTTCTCGGGAGGACCCTCTGCTCCCGCGGTTCGTTTTGTCTGCTACGACTCTCTCCCTTCTACCCTAGACGCCCCTTGTCTTTTGCCGCCATGCAGCGCTTCACCGTCGCTCTTTTCGCTCTCGTGGCTATCCTCGCCCTCGCCTTCCCCGTTATTGACGCCAAGACTGCCGGCGTCCGCCGCCTCGACACCAACGCCGACCGCCTCCGCCGCGGCGAGGGTCTCATTCCGCCTTCCAGCTTGAAGCGCCACACCCCGTCGCGCGTTGAGGGTATGTGGACTTCCAAAAGCGACGTTGATCCCATGGTTGACATTTCCTGTCATCTGCTCAGCCGCGAAGCGCCACCAGCCCTCCTCGGGCTCCGGCTCTCCTCCCGGCGGCTCTGGCTCCGTCCAGTGCCGCGGCGGAGACGGCAAGACTATCGGTTACATCGGTGACGGCGGGTACGCGTCTATCTGCACATTGAGAGAAGCATGCGGAATGCTGACGGCTATCGTGTGTTCCCATCAAACAGCAACGTTAAGCGTGGTTCGACCAGCGGCACTTCCTGCTCTTGGTCCGGCTCTACCGGTTTGATCTCCTGGGGCAACAGTGGCTCTTTCCTCGGTGCTAAGCGTGGCAAGTCTGCGAAGTCTGGCTTGTGCGTGTCTTCTTCATACGTGTATGGGTTGAGCGTCGAACTGATGGATGTTTGTATAGCTCGATCAGCCTCTCCGTCGACCTCTCCGAGGAGGACTGCGCTGTTGTCTGGGACCACGACACCACTACCAAGAAGTTGACGCGTGAGTGGTATCGCTCTGTCTTCGTCATACAGGCTCTCATGTGCATTCTTCGCAGCCTCCTACGTTGACTCGACCACGGGCGCGAAGACACCGTGCGGTGTGACTCTGGACAACGACGGCGCGCTCGTGTTCCACAGCGACGTGAACGTTGCCGGTGCTGTTGTACGTTGCATCCGCACCTGTCACACTTGACGTTTCTGACCTACCTCGTGCAGAGCCTTTACTTCGCCTAAGGCACTCTTTCACAACCTTGGACTATGAGATAGAGATACAGCCGCTGCATAGTACACGCAGCAACAACACGCCCCAACCGCCCCATCCTAGACTCTACTCAATACCCCGTCTTCGCTCGTTCTCACTGCCTGTCGTTTCTGCCTGCATGCCCCCTACACATGCTCCATTTCGATCTTAACGGACTTTACCTTGCTGCATTGTACTATTCCTCCACTCTGCCCACTGGTCCTTAGGATCCTCTTGCTCTCGTCGCCGGCAATTATTAGAGGCCTCCGGCGGCGACCTTTCTTTTACCCTGGTCGTGCTGCTGGTTCTGCGCCCTGATCATTTCATATGTTGTTCCGAATACATAGCATCCGCCGCTTTACATGTCACGTAGAGCGAGTGTCTACAGTCGGAGTTAATTACCTTTTCTCTTGGATCTATTGTGCCCGGTGTGAATGGCTGTAGCCAAAAGCTACGTCGGAGTGCAAAGCCCCCAGGAGGTCTTGAGGCCTTACATCGTGTAGATGACATGAGCAACGTGGGGGAGTGACAACGCGTTAAGTGCCGCTCAGCCGCCGCGGATGCAACATGAACGACTTGCCTTCAACGATCACTAGCGTAGACCCGTGCTCCGCACGGGCTGACCGTTTGCACACGTGGATCGTTTTCCCCAGCGTTTACTTTGCACCCGGTAGCGCGCACTTACCGAATGTACTTCTGAGGCACCGTAGGTGCTCGCCAGCCAGATGTTCGCTAAGTTGTCGCGTCTCGTTTCCTGCTTCACACCCAGTCAATATACGGTTCTTTGCATCTAGTGCACTGTGTTGACAATAACTCGCTTCATCCAGCAAGCAGCAAGATGTGACCTTGAGCCCAGTGCGCCCTTTCCGCTTTGCACCCACTGAAGTTCCGACATACCCTACCTTGCGCCCGGTTACTGTACGCTTGCACCAGGTGCCCACGCTCTACAATTCCATGCACCCTGACCAGATTTTATTCGCCTCGAGTCTCGCTTGCGCATTCGCTCCATGCAGCTGCGCCCGGCTCGCGCAATTCGAGAATGTTCGCGTCGCAAGCAGGTCGGCGCGCGCGCGTCCGACGCGCCGCGACGCGTCTCGCGCGCTGACGCCACGTCGCCAGCCAATCAGGTTGTCGGATTGACTCTGGCGTTTGTCTCTGACGTCAAGCGCGTCCTCCTTTGTTTAGTAGATGACACGCTCNTTGACTCTGGCGTTTGTCTCTGACGTAAAGCGCGTCCTCCTTTGTTTAGTAGATACCTTTGCACGTCCCTTGCATGGTGTATCCAGTCATCTTGGCCAGCCTCTCGTACGAGTGAGCTTCAGACTCAGCGGAACCAAAGCCGATGCGTTGATCAATTCATTCCACGATGAAGTATCCGAGATCAAGAGAGGGTGATGATGACAAGCCGCGAATCAAGTAGAGTCCATGCTCAAGCAACACATAAAGATATCTATATTAAAGAAGGTATGCTTCAGTCCATATAAAACGGCATAAACAAGCAGCCGAAGCAACAGCGGCCATCCGCCCACGACAACGCGGCGAGGCCTATCACCTGCTCGCGTGTATTGGCGAGTTCGCGCCCGACCCTGAGCGGGACCCGGAACGTGATGACGATCCCCGCCCATGTTGTCTCCGGCGCTCCTCTGCGCGTAGTCGCGTGCGCTCCGTCGCAGCTTCGAGCTCGTCGTCTTCTGCCTCCTCCTGTAACCTCTCCAGCCCCACAGCATCGGGCCCATCATCCTCGTCGAACGCGCTGAAGAGCGTCTGCCCTTGCTGGCGATACAAGCTGCTCCGACTGCTCCGCCTCGCATGTCCATTCCCAAGTCCCGCGCTCCCCGGTGGTGCGCCCCATCCATCAAGGCTCGGCCTGCCGCTGAGTGATAGACGTGGGTTCATCAAACCGGATTCCAACGCGGTGTGGCCCTCATCTTGGCCGGAATGTGTGCGCGAGAGTTCGAGGAGGTGGATGCCGAGGAAGGTGGTGATGAAGCCGACGATGAGCATTATGGAGTCGGTTGGGTTGTCGGTGCTGAACCCTTGGAAGAGGATGAGGGAGGCGACGATGGTTGCGGATGAGAAGCCGACGTAGTACAAGGGGTTCACACTGTAGGCTCATCAGTTATAGGTCCCTCTATGGATGAAAGATGGGTAGAGTACGCACACGTTGGTAGAGAACGTGTCGAGTGCCTTGTTGAAGTAGTTCATCTGTATAACGATACAGCTCGCCACGACAATGCCAAAGACGTATGTGCTCGGATGTGTGAACTGGTTATTCCCGGCGAAGGTGAGCTTGACGGCGATGCCGAAGCCCTTGATTGCCATGATGGAGACGCTGCCGACCAGAGAGCAGATGGAGATGTAGACGATGGGGTTCGTGCGTCCGTAGCGGGGGACGACGGAGTAGATCATGACGAGCGAGAATACGGCCACAGAGAAGCAGTACATCAAGAAGCCTGGTTTCGGTGAGAATAGAGTGCGGTGTCATTGGCTGTGACATACCTGGTTGTATGGCGTAATGCAACACTTCATCCACCGTGGTGATCTCCTTGTCTTCTGGCGCATGCAGGACAATGATCAGGGATCCCAATATACAGAGCGTGCATCCGACGCGTCCTAGATGTCCCAATTGCTCGTCGAGAAGATATGAAGCAAGAACAGCACTATAACATATTGAGTTCACAGCTCAGAAACCGAGGGAACACTGGGCGTACCCAATGATCACGCTAAGCGCGCCTAGCGGGGTGACCATGATTGGTGGTGCAAACGAGTAGGCGGCAAAGTTGGCGACTAGAAGGCGTATTCAATATATGTTTAACATGCAATAGGCGGCGCTGTAGCGCACTCACGTTCGCCAACGATCACTATACATTTTGTGAGCACGGAGGCAAATATAGTTTGCGATGTAACACACTGGTAACCATCCCCAACCACCATATAGGGTTCTTCAAATACGCATGATCGTCCGATGCGGAAGTATACGCGCCCTGTCGTTGCGCGGTATCATTCAGACCCTACGCGCAAAGTCCAAAGTCAATTCCCGCAGCACGTCTTCCAGAAATGGGCCGACACGCCTTTTTGGTGATAATGAACGAAGAGCCAATGGCAATCGTGCCGGATACGGCCAGTGCGAGCCCGATATATTTTTCTTGCACCATCAGTTGCGAGAAGGAGGGACAGACCAAGAGAGCGTGGATGAGGCAGTTGGAGGTGCGTGGCTGGATCCCCGCTCGTCGCGCGCTTCGGCCCGGTTCATTCTACACGCACCGTGGGAGTTCCGTTTGATGGCTATTGTTATATTGGCGCTTGCCAGCGCGAGCCCACCGCCGTCTTGCTCTCGCGACAGCGCTACGGCCGTACGGTAATCCACCACGGTCAACGCGTGTGCAGAACGGAAATACGTCCGCACAGTCGTGAGACAGACGCGTACCGTCCTGAGAGTGTCAAAAGAACTACGTGCACATACAACAGGCCACTGTGTTCCAGGTGGCACATGCTCCGGGCCGCCGCCTTCGCCGCTTCTCGCGCTTCGTTCGCTCGACCGTCACTCTCCAGACTTTCGAGTCCGTTCGGATTTCGACTGTACACCACACCTGCGACTGCGATGGGTGGACCAGCGACGCAGACGGTCAATACGACCGACCGACTTGCGGCTTTGCGCAAGTTGATGAGTGAGAAGCGAGTCGATGCTTTCGTCGTGCCGAGCGAAGATCCCCGCAAGTGCCACATCCATCAACGCTCTATCTGGCTTTGGCTCATGCGCGGATCTGGTAGACTCGAGTGAATACGCGGCAAAGTGCGATGAGCGGCGCGCTTTCATCTCTGGCTTCAACGGATCGGCTGGTATGTGCGGCCTGCATGTCTGATTGGTCGCGTGAGTGAATGCGGGGTGAAGGTACCGCGATCGTGACCAAGGACAAGGCGTATCTGTTCACCGATGGCCGCTACTTCTTGCAAGCTGAACAGCAGCTTGACGCGTACGTGCAATCTCATGGTCTGGTGCACACGTGCTTACGGGTGCTGTTGAAGGAACTGGACGTTGATGAAGCAAGGGCTTCCAGGTAGGTTTCGTAAACTGAACGCTGCATGTGTGCTCATATGCATGTTTTCAGATGTACCGACCTGGCAAGAGTTCGTTACAAAGGTAACGAGATCACCCTCGTCTCCTGAATGACATCATAGGACTGACATGGCGTACTAGAACATCCCGAAAGAGGAAACCGTCGGCATGGATGCCGAGCTCCTCACCGCAACCGACGCAAAGACCTTCGACAAAGTCAACCTCTCCTACGTCCCCAACCTCGTCGATCCAGTCTGGGGTCCCTCCCGCCCAGCACGCCCCACAAACCCCGTCATCCCGCTCTCCCAGACTTACGCCGGCCAGACGCACACCTCCAAGCTCGCCGCCGTGCGCGAAAGGCTAGCCAAAGACGACTACTCGGCTTTCGTCGTGAACATGCTGGATGAAGTTGCATGGCTGTTCAACCTCCGCGGATCCGACATCGACTTCAATCCGGTGTTCTTGGCATATGCGGTTGTTACGGCTGACAAGGCGGTGCTATTCCTGGATCCTGAGCAGGCTAGTGAGGACGTGAAGAAGCATCTGGGGGATGAAGTGCAGATTCATCCGTATAGCGGGTTCTATGGGTACCTTGTGGGACTGTCAAAGTCGGTCGACGTGAGCTATGTGCACCATAAGACCTTCAGCTCGCATTCTGACTTGCCCTCTCAGAAGAAGATCTTGATAGGCAACACCGCAAGCGTTGCGGTCTTCAATGCTCTCGGAGGCGAAGAAAGCACGGCTATAGGCCCCTCACCCGTTCAAGAGCTCAAGGCAGTCAAGAACGAGACTGAGATCGCAGGCTTCCGTGCCTCTCATATCCGTGACGGTGTTGCGCTCGCACGGTACTTTGCCTGGCTTGAGGAGCGCCTTGAGGCTGGGGACCAGCTTTCGGAAAGTCAGGGGGCTGACCAGTTGGAGAAGTACCGCTCGTAAGTCTTGCCTTTGCCTTGACGTCGGTATGGTTGTTGATGTCGTCATAGTGAGCTCGAGCACTTCAAGGGATTGTCGTTCACGACCATCTCCTCAACCGGTCCCAATGGCGGTATGTCGAACGTCGACAAAGTTGAAGACGATGGACTCATCTGTCTTCAGCTATCATCCACTACTCGCCCGACCCCGTAAACAGCGCCACGATCAAGCGCGAGGACATCTACCTCTGCGACTCCGGCGCTCAGTTCCTCGACGGGACTACCGACGTAACGCGGACCTTCGTGAGTTGTCCCTACCTTTCTGGACATCGTAGTTGGAGCTCACCTGTTACAATAGCACTTCGGCACTCCGACGGATGAGCAGAAACGCAACTTCACCCGTGTACTGCAAGGCCATATCGCCATCGACACTGCTGTGTTCCCCAACGGCACTACGGGATACATCATCGATACTTGGGCAAGACGTGCGCTTTGGAAAGATGGACTCGGTAGGTGTCCTGCTCACATGGTTTCTGGGCTTTCGTTTACGAGGTATAGACTACCGTCACGGAACGGGTCACGGTGTCGGCCACTTCTTGAACGTGCATGAAGGTCCGCAGGGCATCGGTACGAGGATTGCGTACAACAATGTGCCGCTCAAGGCTGGCATGACCGTATCAAACGGTACGTCCTGTTCTTTCACGGATGTCTGCAATCATACTCAGGCTGTGACAGAGCCCGGATACTACGCCGACGGCCAGTACGGCATCCGCATCGAGAACGTCGTTGTCGTCCGCGATGCGCAGACTCCGAACAACTTCGGGAATAAGGGGTTCTTGAGCATGGAGCATCTCACCATGGTCCGTTCCGTCTTGACACTACCCCTCCTGCTCTCCGAGCTGACGATCATCGCAGTGCCCGATCGGAAAGAACCTCATTGAGCCCACCTTGCTTGCGCCGGATGAGCGCGAGTGGCTGGATGCGTATCATCAGGAGGTGTATGACAAGGTTTCGCCGTTGTTGAAGGGCGATGAGCGGGCTTTGGCATGGTTGAAGCGCGAGTGTGCGCCTCTGTAGTCTCAGGGATGATGCATGATGCGTGGGTATTATAATACAATGGATAATCAAGCTCATGCCAATGAGCGTGCAAGACTCTTCATCTCCCCATTCTCAAACACCGGTGGATGCTTGTCCCACTTTCCTTTCACAGCGCCCGCCGCGAATGCGCCCAGCTCCTCCGTCGTCAGACCCGCAGCTGCGCGAATCAGCCCGCCGAAGACGGTGTTGATTCCGCGTTCTATCATGGTCCGTTGGTGCGGTGCATCTTGAGGGTATTTGGAAGACGGGAAGAAGACACCCGGGCGGAGGATGGACGCTTTGAATGTGTCCTTGTGCTTTTCTTCGAAGGCGAGGATATGGGCTTCGGCTCTTCCCTGGACAGTGGATGAGCATGATGAAGCATCAGACGGGTCTTGGACCTCCTACCTTGACGCGCAAGTACGCCATGAAAGCCTTCTCTGTCGGATCCGCACCACCAGTGCTGATGAATACGAAGCGGAAGGGACTACCAGGCGGACGTGTATCTAGCGGTAACGCCTCCAAGAACTTGTCGACGTATTCCACGTTCACGACAGCGTTCTCCTGCTCTGAGAGTCGAGGGTTCCATCGCCCCAAAGCCCATACACATCCATCATAGTCTTTCAGCTGGTCGGGAGAGTACTCTGAGAAGGACGGTTGTAGCATCGTCTTGAGCTTCGGATGTGTTGGAGAGCCATCTGTGTTGCGAGGTGCAGAGCCAGGTAGAACTATCCATGAGGGCAATGGCCGGCGGGAGAGCGCTGTGACGTGCGTGATGGAGGGGTCTTCGAGAAGCGTTCGGAGGATATTCAAGCCGCCGACGCTGAGCGGACGGGAGATATGAGTACGCCGCGTCGTGTCGACCCAAGGCTGCGGGCTTACCCAGTAGGACCAGTAAGAAGTACACGCATCACGTACGTTTGATTGGATAGCAGGCTGAAGGAGGGGTGTGTAGCAGATAATGATTGCTGTGAGAAGCGCCAAGGTCTTATGTATCAGTTCCCTTACGAGGGTCGCATTATAGTGCGCGTTGACGCGGCATCGGCAGACGCGGCGTTGTCGCCGCGCGTCGTCCCTCTGGGCGTCGGCGCCTGTTTGGCCAGCGATGCAGTCGCACAGTCTGATGCGCTTGGCGGGCGTGCTGTCTAGAGATTTACCCTATTGGACAAGAAAGCGCATACTACACGAGACGCAAAAGTCGTGACGGGGAGAATTGCGCGGACAATTTTCATCACGGCCAAAGTCGTTTCGCGTTAAAAAGCCTCTGTACAAATGGTACAAACAGAGACAACATGCAGGTCCATTGGTGAATTATGTACTATTTCAGCAACAGTCAATATTTTTCCGTCGTGCAGGTGGTCGGGAGGCCGCGTCGAGACAAGCGGCAAATGCCGAGCGTGGTGATTCTAGTTAAGAGCTGACTATCCCACGGGCGGCTGGCCGCGCGTGACGGCTTCGCAAAGTACCGACGCACCGACGTCCGATATTGTCAACACCCGCCGCCGCCGCCCCCGCCAACGTCCTCAAGATGGTCAAAAGTGCGTAAACTATGCCCGTACGCTCTATGAATAGACTCTGACCCTAGTTTGCAGTCTACAAGCCCGGAAAGGTGCGATAGAATATAAGATGGAGGAAATGGGGAGGAATATTGACGGGAGGGTCCAGGTCGCGATTGTGTTGCAGGGCCGCCAGGCGGGCAAGAAGGTCGTCATCGTCAAGCAGAACGACGAGGGCACAAAGGAGCGCCCGTACCCGCACGCCATCGTCGCCGGCATCGAGCGCTACCCGCGCAAGGTGACCAAGCGTATGGGCGCCAAGAAGCTCGCGAAGAGGAGCAAGGTCAAGCCTTTCATCAAGGTGCGTATTTCAATACTTTATTCTATATTATATTAATATTCCACAGGTCGTCAACTACTCGCACCTGTTCCCCACCCGCTACACCTTTGAGCTCGAGGGCCTCAAGGGCTCCGTCACCGCAGAGACGTTCAAGGAGCCCACGCAGCGGACAGACTCGAAGAAGCAGATCAAGAAGCACCTCGAGGAGCGCTACACCAGCGGGAAGTCAAAGTGGTTCTTCCAGCCTCTCCGTGTCAGTACTCTTCGCTCTGTGCTCGATATTATACTGACTTTCCTTCCAGTTCTGATTCGTTCATTGTTTTTCTTTATGCTGTCAAAACCCACATGTATATCACGCATGTCGCCCCATGATGCATGTCTCACCGCACTCTCCATGCCGTTTCTTCACCGGGTGTACTTTGTGCGTGAAGCGTGAATGTAAGCAGGAAAGCTGTATCAAGGTAAGGTACTCGGACTGCGAGCCGGTCTCACCATGACCAGGCTCCCTCGCCTTTCGCCTTCGTGTTCAACTTTCCACATGTCTCCCTTCTCTATTGTCGTACGTCACGGGCTATGATACACGGAGACCAGGCCCCTTGGAACGCCACCCGCAGTGAAGCTGGGCTCCGCCACAGGACTTCAATCTGGTTTTCAGCCGAATTCGGAACAAGTAACGCTGGGTCCCCTTCACGTCCATGACCTCTCTTAGCTTCGTAAGTAGCCCTTGTTCATGGTCACCCTATAAAGGAGTTTTCCACAATGCGGAGCTTTCTTCATCCAGAAGGATGAACTCGACGTCTTTCTTAGCGAGCGTACTCGACGGCATTGACCTGGCTCTTGTATTGCGACGACGTCTCACAGAATGCCTCGAGGATGTGATGATGGGTATTCCCCTCCGCATGTCGACGACGGAATTCGAGGAGCTGGCTACGTCTCTTGACCCGCTATGGGATGCTATGTGGAATCACCAGGCAGGATGGGATGTACAGACCTTGAGCAAAACTGCCGTGGGGTTTGTCCAATGTTGCAGTGCGGCGTACGTTTTTCTCTAAGACGACGCTGGGGCTCTCACTGAAAGTGGCTGTCATAGACGCTATTTTCGTCCATGGGGCTCAAGCCACCTGCCACATGTACTGCTTTACGCCGCTGTCAACGTCAAGGACATTGCCATTGCGACGTCTCTGGTCCATGAGCTTCACACGCTGATGGGCAAGTCATTATCGACGCCGCCAGCACCTCTGATCGTCGCCTACATGCACGAGGTCTCCGATGCCATAGACATTTCGTCTATCGTGTCACTGCTCCTGGATGTCCTCGGCAATGCGGCATCCGTCGGCGGCCAGCTTCATTCTGCGATAGAAATCGTCGGAATCCTCTGTGCGAAGGCATCGCTGCTTGACCACGTTCCCGGACACGACATCTTTGATACACTGGACGTTGCTGTCAAGAGATCATACCAGGGGGGATCTCCAAGGACTCGTGCAAGCATCCTGCATGCGTATTGCGAGTTTGTTCTGTGCGACTCTTGTTCTCACCACATAAGAGTGAGGACTGACGTGCTACGTAGGGGAGCTCTCAGGCTCGCACGCATGAAGTACTCTGATGCTCTACTAAGCGGGCGTTATGATATCTTCACTGCCCTAGCAGACGGCCTCGTGATTTATACGGGCCTCGATGCAGTGGAAAAGGCTGATCCCAAGAAGATGTACAGTGCGTCTCTATTCACCACATCCCACCCATACGTGGTATCAAGCGACTGAGCGCACGCCTATCATCAGAGGTCTTTGCGATCTTGCTCCTGGTACTACTAAAGGCAGCCCTTGGAGACGATCCCGCAGCGCCAACACTTTCTGTGGCCGTTCCCAGAGCCGCCGACAAGTTCATCCTCGACATGCGTACGACAGCAGCCGCAAAGATGGGTGCTTTGATCAAGGCCGTGCGCGACACACCTTCATCGAAAATAGGCTCCTCCGAAGGTGTGAAGATGTGGCACGTGACTCTGACTAACCTCGTGCGCTTCTCTCTGGGCATCGGAGCGCACCCTTTCTGCGCGCGCTCTTCTTGCAAATATACCCTTCGCCACCTTCCTAAGGGACGCGCGTTCAAGAAATGTGGAGGGTGTATAATCGCACGGTACTGCTCGACTGAGTGCCAGAAGGCGTAAGTAGTCTCTCTCTTCAGATACGCATAGATGTTCATTGATTGCCTGTCTTATAGGGATCGTAAGGCTCACAAAGCGAATTGCGGCAGGAATCTCAAGGAGGGTTGAATCGCGTAGCATCGGTTCGTGTACTACGTATATGCGCAAGCACCAAACAATCCAATGAGCAGATTGAGTGGACTGCGACCCCGATCCTAACTATGACAACATGATCGGTTCCATAGCTACCTGCGCTAGGCTGCCTACTACTTATGAGACAGGACTCTGGACTGAAGGCGCGGGTGACGCTACAGGTCGCACGCGGGTAAGGTCTCCCAGGAGGATGCCGCTGAGAAGAGCAGTCAGTACACATGTCGTTCTAAGCAGAGAAGATCAGTACTGACCCGCTGCCGGGTTCGAAGGAGTAACTCATGAGCCCTCTGTACATGCGTCCGGCGCAGATACCCCTGTATGAAATGGTTGAACGTTGTTACCTGGAAGAATGATGAAGCATACAGTGCCACCACTATGACAACTATCAGTCGCGTCAAAGAGAGGCAAACAAGATACATACCTTGAACTGGTTGCAGTAACTATCGGCATGGACTGTGTAAGTAGATGCGTGGCTGATAGGGTGGGACGTACCAAAGAAAGAGGCGCTTCATGTCGGATATCGGTATGAGCTTATCAGGTGGCTATGAACTTAGCTATGCCTCACCGTTCAAGTCGAGAATGCAGAAAACCTAGACCATGCGCAAGGAGTGAGTATATATAGGCAGACGCGGATGAGGGATCTATCACAAGCACGGGGATCTCCACTAAGCTGGCAACGAGCAACCATACGACGCCCTTATAGAGTGACCTTGTCAGCAGCAGTCAACTCGTGCGGGTCGGGTTGCTCACCTGACGGTACAGGAGATGGGCCACACTGAACTTAGGTGCCTCTCGATGGCGCAGAATGCCGACGAGCATCATTACCAGCAGCACCGAATCCGACCCGAGAATGCCAATGGAGTTGGGCAGGAATTGCTTGGTGTCATACGGTGCACAAGTCTTGTAGGTTGGGTTATAAGACGCTCGGAGCTTCGTCGTGGTCAGCATGCGTTCGGAATCTCGTCGAATGCATCGGGAAAACCAGAAGACAGCTGGCGCACACTGACAGCTGCGGGCATGCGCTCGTCCATCGTACACCATTGTGCGCAAATGTCAGCCGCGCCAGTGTTGGGAGGTCTCTGATGCATCATGCCATGATATGAATGCTTACAAGAGATACATCTGCGGAAAGGTCGTGAGGCCGTACGCACATGGGCGGCACACATCATAATGCGTACCGCGTAGGTTCAGTGCTACGCCAACCAGCCACACGCTGTAGGTTATTGCCATGATGAGTCGGTGTTTATCCCAGATTGCAACCCTGATATGCACCTGTCAGCCGTGGCGCTCTGATGCGATGCGATAGTACGTACACGCGCAGGACAATGAGAAGAGAGGCCAGACTTGTGGAAGTGTAAGAGAAGGCCTAGGAGCCGGGATTTAGCATGCACCGGTGATGCAGCTCCTTCTCTTCAGCATCTATTGCATACCTGCGCAATAGCGTAGCTTGCCTACATACGCGTCATCAATTGATAGAAACCTGGAAGGACAGAACGGTGTACGCACCGTGCAAGAACGAATCAGCCATCCATTCGCTACACCGATGCAGAGGAACAGAAGGCTGATGGTCATGCAAAGCCTGCAGCATGAGTAGACCTACAAAAGCGTTAGAACGATGAAGAATGTAGTCAAGAACATTGTAGCTGACCCAGATTGTCCAGCGGTACCGTCTGACTCGTCTGAGGACGTCCCATTCATAAGGGAACTGCGTGCAGTACTCCCAACTTAGAGACACATCAGCATGTATCCAGTATGGCGCACAACATAGGCTTCTGACAGCGCAACTCCGCAGCATACGTAAACTGTCGTGGCAAGATATACTAAAGAGGACATTAGTGCTGAGCCAGGTGGGGATGTGGACTGAGAGTATGCTCACTTTCATCTTTGATGATCTCCAATGGACTGTTCCAGACAGGCATACTGGGTCGACGGTACTTAGTGAGCATCGTGTCAACGACAGCTTATATGCGCAAGATGCCGCATGGAACGTGGTAGTGATATGAAGTGTCAGTTATCACAGAGACAACTATAGCTATCGCGATCCAGAGTGAACGTCATGCACAACGACACTGGTCAGAACGTTGTTACATGATACGGGGGTCAACCGGTCGGGCGCACAGCGTGCATCACACTTGTGTGGCATACGCTGAAGAGCATACGGAGTTTCACAGAACCTCTCCGCGCTGTTGGTACCTATGACCTTGCGCAGGCGCAGCACCATCGAGAGAAATCCTAGCTGGAATCGATACAGTCGTCAAAACCCCATTCAGTTTCAATAGCAGCCATATGCGTCAGGTTGTCTGAGGAACTGGTTGCAGGTATAAGGGATAAGGAGTGCCCCACAACCGCGGGGATGTCCATCTCTAAATCGCTGGTACCTGGCACCGTGGCCCGAATTACGCCCCGGCGTCAACCGCCCATGAACGTATCGAAGATCAACGTGTGAGGCGGTATCTTCCTATCAGTTCATTTGGGAGAGAACATGAGCAACTCGGAAGCCTTCCTTCGGCAAGCTGAGTCGAGTGTTGACAGCATGCAAGCTGAGTCGAGTGTTGACAGCATGGTGGGGCAGGTCGCGTTGTCGTGATCAGCGAGCGGATGTCTTCCCGTTGTTCCACCAGCCTGCCAACCTTGAGGGCATCTGATTGTCGGAGGTGTAGAATATAGTTTGATGTGGGGCCATGGATACACACAGGTGGGTGATTGAGAGGCGCGTTGCGGCATTGCGTGATGGTGATGGTAGGATGCAAGACGCGCGCTACGTTCTTTCTGCCTTCCGCACACGGCGCGGGCGGTCACCACTCCGCCCTACGAATCGTCCAAACGTACATCAATCTCTCATCTTACGCGCTCAGACCGCAGAGCCCGGTATCTCAGTCCGTTCAGGTTGTCGACGGCGGAACAGCAGAAGGGCCATAGTTGGTTTCTAACCCTAACCCTAGCTAGACACTGTGATTGGACTCTCCCTGGCGTAACGATGAACGGTGTTTCAACGGATATGCTGCTTAGAAGTAAGTCACCCGAAGACAGTATCCTTGAACCTGCCCGGCAATCATTACCAGAAGTATACCGGTTTTCGGTCCAGACTATGTCCATCATCGATGTAAGTACTTGTGTTATAGGGCTGCATAGCTACGAACACCACAATATCGAGCGCGCGAAAGCCAAAAAAAAACAAGCGGGTCAAATACAACAGAAATCCTGAGCAAGAGCGTGAAGGGGACGTAAAAACAGCAAGCACGACATGACAGACGTGAGGCATCTCCGAATCCAGTAAGAGTAATACAACATCTTCGAAGATATATGGTAAATTGAGTTCGTGGAGAATGAATCGAAGTGAAAGTAAGAAGCAAGAGATGAAATAAGATGAGAGGTAAGGTAAGCCCGTCTACGGGCCAACTCTCGGACTACACCCGCCGGTCCGCGGGGAGGTCGGGTTGAATGACATGCTGCATCGGCTTCATATTTCCGAAGCTGTGTCGCTTGAGATGCGCAGCGTCCGTCAACGCAGAGTGATCGCCGGACTCGGTACTCGTATTCGCATCCTCGGCGAACTCGTCCACATCGTACTTCGGTACAGGTTTGCGGCGCGCAGCACTTGCGGGCGCGCTTCCACCCAAAGCCTCGTCCGAAGGAGGAATCGTCAGCGCGGAGGGCACCGTACCGTCCCGCGCGGCGCCCGGCTGGGAAGTCGAGCGCAGCGGCGCCATATTGTAACCCTCGTACGGTGCTGACGGCTTATATCCCGTAGCCGACTGAGTCGAGAACCTCCTCGAAACGGGCGGTGCGGGCGTATACGGAAGCACGCCCGCTACGTAGTTCTCGCGCATCGTGAGGCCCTCCTCTGATACGGGCCCAGCAGCCGCCACGGAGGCGAGCGAGGAAGAGTGTGAACCGTGGCCTTTCGTGGGAAGCGCCTGCATGCTCTCCGAACGTTCGCCGCGGCGCTTCGTCTTCTTGGGCGGTACGCCCGGCCCGACGGCGCTCCGTGCACGAAGGTTGCGTTTACGCCTGCAGAGGAAGAAGAACAGCGCCGCGATAACGGCTGCGATGAAGGCCACGCCGCCTACGACGCCGCCGGCAATCGCGCCGGCATTTGAGCGCGAAGATGGTGAGGCGCCGCTGGAGCCGGTGTCATTTGCCGATGAAGGGGTCGCACTGGAAGCAGCGGTGTTGCTCGCACTTGCTGTAGGCCCCGGTGTTGACGATGTAGGCGAAGACGACGGGGATGAAGCGGCCAAGCACGGAACGGTTGCTGTACCGTTCGCCACGAAGAAGGGTTGAGATTGTGACTGAAGCGACACCGACGGGATATTCGCGGTGAGGACATACCAGCCTTGTGTCACGTTGACAGAAGGCCATGTCCAGTTCTGCGAAGTTGGATCGAGATTATCCACGAGATCAAGGTCGATGCGTGGCAACCAGGTCCCTCCATAACCGTTCCAATTCTCGAAGGTTTGGCGCCTGTACGCCGAGCGTCGCGCATTCCCGGCGACAGTCTGAGTTGGGCTGCCTGCGATCTGAGTGTGCACGGAAGTAGTCGAAGTAGGTGTCGTAGTGTCCGCGGCAGAGCTCGTGGGGGGCGCGTCCTGCTCTACGCTAATATCGGTAATGGAGATATCAAGCTGCGCCGTGCTGTCCAATCCCTGGCACACCCAAGTTACGGACTGCATTCCGCAACTGTGCATTTCCGGGATAGTATCCCAGGTGAACGCTTGAAGAGCCATGGCGGATAGGGACAAGGGCGATGGCGACGAGGGTGCAGAGCTTTTGTTACGCCGGACAGAGTTGGCCTGCTGTGATGTGAAACGGAGCGCTAAGACCGCGGCGGTGAAAGATCGACACGTTGAAGTCGCACCTTCCGGGTACGAGGGCGTAGCGAGTAAACCCTAGGGCGCTCTGACGTCCGACTTCGACCTGCGAGGGGACGTGAAGGTAAGAATAAGCCTTGGAAGGCGCCGCAGTTTGACAGAGACTTGCCTTAGGTCAGTAGATTGCCGTTACCGGACCCTGGACCACGCCTGCACCGTACACAAGCGTCTTTTGTCTGTCGGTCTTAATGAACCCTCAACAAGGCGGATGGCGGTCAAGAGCAAGCGACAACCTCGCCGAAACCCCCACGGCGGCGACGGCACGATGGTCACCAAGAGGATCCTTGCGGAGTGCCTCGGCGGCTGTGGCTGGTCATATGGACTGCGAACTGTTGCGAGCCTGATTTTCACAGCCGCGACTTCGCCGACGTCTAGACGCCATGCTTTTGTCTTGCGCTTCCATCTGCAGCAGCATGCGAAAAGGATCTGTGCGAAAGATCGCACGGCATGGTTGCGAGCGTCGAGCACGATGCTCTCGGGAGGAGGAGAGCAGAGCCGAATAAACCGGAAATAAAATGGCTGTTCCGCTTCGGCTACTTCCGCGCGTTGACGTCGCTCCTCGAACCTCCACTTCCATCTGCCCCAGACTGCCCTGGTTCGTAGCCTGATGTCAGGAGACCCGTCCGCAGATTCGCGGTCTGAACTCTACGTGTGCCATTTTCGCTCCCTCCTGCAAACATACATTGTTCTGTCACTGGTACAGTGGGGCACCGTGCGACCTGGCCCTTCTCGCCTCTCGTCGCCTTCGCAGCCTGCTCGGACTCCTCGCATCGCCGCCCAACATGTATATCTGGCATGAAAGCCACTCACAGGTCAACTGTTGAGCCTGTACAGACTTGTGCGCTACGCTCTCATGCCCCGACACAACCTTCTCCAGCTTCTTCTGACCGCCCAGCATAGGATCATCCATCTCACGATGCGCTGCGTCTTCTTCATCTTTCGCTTTTGGATATGGGCCTGTGTGGGGCTTATGTACATATACTTGCTCCCACTGCGCTGCGTCCTGCGTCAAGGTCGCAAGTTGAATGAACAGCGTACAAGCTCTGGTGTGATCCCAAGCTTGGGACAGCAGTTCGTCTACGAAATCATCCAGTTCGCCGTCACGGATGCGTACACGGAAGATCCTAACCGCATAAAGAGGGTTAGGGAGTTTATCGGCGCTCACGCGCCTGGCCCGTGCGTGTTCCTTCCTTTACCACGCTTGAGAACGTGCTGACCGCCGGATACCCAGAATATACACGGGTCTACAGCTCGAAGAGCCCACGAACCAGCTTACCGGCTTCGTAGGATGGCACTCCAAGAAACAGCATGAAGACGCGAGTCATTTCATACTACGCCGATCATATCGACTTGTAGCTAACCTCTCTTACCAGTTTGAGGACGCCTCGGTGTACTACGATCTCGCACCCCTAGTCATACCAATCGCAGCCGGCGGCTCGGTGACCGTCCACGCTACGTTCGAACCAGCAGGTGGAGAAGTGGCTGCGTTTAATGCCCCTATTACTGAGCTCGTGTGGCTCACGCCCAAGACGGGCGTGTCATCCGACGACGTCTTGAGTGCGCTCAGAGCCACGGTTGAGGGAATGAACGAGAGTGCGAAGAGCGATCCGACGATGTTCGGAGTTGCTGCAGGGAGGGTGCAAGAGGAGGAGAAGTTCGTATATGTCGCTGGGTGGTCATCCGTCGAGGTGAGCGAATAGAAGCCCGATGGGATGCAGATCTGTAACGCTGATGTGCCATGTAGGCTCGCAAGGAGTGGGTACGGAAGAATGTCGACCCAGCTCAATCAAGTGCGAGATGGCTTTCTGTCAAACCAAGGAAGACTCTGCTTGACCTGGCCGATATGTCACTTGTTGACCTTCAGTTGTCCGGTGGGCGGTGATGCACGACATGTACCTGTTACGTCTACATTTGAAAGAATCACAGAAGTTGTTTTGCCTGTTTCCACCTCCGAAAGCGTCATCGCGGAGTCAGGGGTCAGAGAATCTCCGTGACGGCGATACGTTGGGACATGGACGAGGGCGAATAGTGCAAATCCAGCTCATAGCTCTATGCACGTAGGTCTATCTGCCCGTCACCATCGTGCCCCCAACATGATAGAAGAACACCTCAAACCGTCCGGAATTCCGCGTCAACATTATTCTCTCCATGCAGTAATCCGAAGAGCAGACGAGCGGCACCCGTTAAGTTTCTATAAAGCTATGGAGAGGGCGTGCATGTATCAACACTCACCTACAACACCATGTCGTCCCCTCAGAAGTATACTTACGAGATCATCTCCTTCCCCACCTCCGAGGGGTACATGAAGGACCACAGCCTCTTCAAGCCCGTCACCGACTTCATCGGCGAGAACTCCCCCGGACCCATCTACACCGGGCTTCAACTCAACGACCCGAAGAACCGTCTGACGGGCTTTGTCGGATGGAACGACGTCAAGCAGCACGAAGACGTACGTCTGTTAGCCACACTACATCCCATCTCCATTGCTCATATCAGCGGCATACAGTTCGAGAAGCAACCGGTTTATGCTAAGCTTGGACCCCTTGTCCAGCCCGTCGCCGCCGGGGAGTCCCAAGTGTACCATGCTGCCTTTGAAGGCGACGAGATGGCTTGCTTCGAGGCGCCCGTCACCGAGCTGGTGTGGGTTACGCCCCAGCCCGGAGTCAAGATCGACGACGTCACGAAGCTGGTCGTGCAGGCTGTAGAGCAGGCGAACAACGAGGTGATGGAGGGCAGACATCTGCATATGAACGGCGAAGAGCATGAGTGCTTCGGCGCGACTTGGGGCCGTGTTGTCGAGAAGGACATACTCGTGTACATCGCCGGCTGGTCCTCTATTGCGGTAAGAGATCTCGAGCTGGCTAGCGAGGTCAAGCACTGATGCGTTGTGCAGTCTCGAGAGGAATTTGCGAAGGAGTTCGCACAGAACGCAAAGACGGCCATCAAGGGCATAACCGTAAACGTCCGCCACGGCCACCATTGGCACGTCAAGCAGGCGCGTTCGTATGAGGACGTAGCCACCACGTCCGTCTCGTACCTCGAACTCGAAGATGGCCGGGACAACTCTGAATCCGGCGCCGGTAACGGCTCTCAGGGAGGTGATTCTAGTAAGCCTGGGAAGATCACCGGTCGGCCAATGTACGAGGTCATCCAGTTCCCAACCTCGGAGAAGTACATGAAGGACCGTGCCATCTTCAAGCCTGTAACGGACTTCATCAGCAAGCATGCCCCAGGAGCGTGAGTTCTCATGGCATACAAGGTCTAATAGAGGCCGAAACTGATCACAATATAGCATATACACAGGTACTCAGGTCGAGGACCCCAAGAACAAGTTGACCGGGTTCGTCGGCTGGCAATCCGTGCAGCAGCACGATGACGTCTGTAACCACCTACTTGAACGGCTATACCAATTACTAACCAACATCCCGTTCATAGTTAGAGAATGCGCCCGACTACGCGGAGCTGGGTCCTCTGGTCGAGCCCGTCGCAGCGGGCGAATCGACCGTCTACCACTGCTCCTTCGAAGGCACCGACGAGCAGACCCTCTTCAACGCTCCTTACACCGAGCTTGACGTCATCACTCCGAGGGGCGGCGCCTCTATAGATACCACGATAGAGCTGATCAAGTTCTTCGCAGACCTGTGCAACAAGGAGGTCAAGGAGGGCAAGCGCATGAACAAGGATGATACTCAGCGTGAGAACTACGGTGCCGCTTGGGGAAAGGTTGTCGATCAGGACATCATCTTCTATCTGGGCGGATGGTCAGACGTCAAGGTGAGTGCTTCGCGTGGCGTTGAGAGCGTATGGACTGAAGCCGTACATACAGACGCATATGAAGTGGGCTGAGAGCTGGGAGAAACCGATGAACGACAAGGCGAAGTCGATGAAGCTGACCTTCCGCGACAAGCATCACTGGATCCGCACACCCGTAACGAAGTATAGCCAAGTCGCAGACCAGAAGATTGTGCATCTGCAACTCAGCAACGGCCGCGCCTAAGTGGAGAAATGTGTTTGCGGAGGCACGCGCGCCGCTCTGTGCAACTAGAAGTGAAAGTAGAGGTTCGCCGTATTAGACGTACATGGTGTAGATGGCAATGTCGCAGATACTCAATGTCAGGACTGGCTAGTGCACTGTTGATTTCGAGTGACGAACGGAGAAATCCATCATGCATGTAAGGTATCTAGTGGTACAAAGTGGCGGGTATGCCTAGCAGTCCATGTTGCAGTCGTATATGTACAAGCCAGTCATCTTCAAGTCCGTTTCATGCGCGCGTGTAAGAGACAGGCACATCTCTCATAAGGTCTACACCGATCCTTGCTCGACGAGTGGCTCGAAGATCTCGTTGAGCATAGCCGCAAGCCGGATGCCTCCTTGTGCGAGCAACTTCTCTACGACCCAAGCCTTAGCGATAGCGCCGGAGTACTCGGGCGTATCGAGCTCGAGGTAATGACTCGATGCAGGGACGGCCCCAATGTTGCCCGGGCCACCAAGAAGGCTGTGCATCTCCTCGTCCCCAGAGCACACGCCGCCTTCACAGTTGTGCTCGTGCGCATGGTCATCGATATCGGCATCCTCATGTACGGATGAGTGATGAGGCTCAGGGTCAAGCGCATGCGGCCAGATGAAGTCGCAGTTGAGCTCGTGAATCGGTCCTGCCCAGAAACGCGGGCATGCGAGTTGGTCGTCCGTCTCGAGAGACTTCGAGCCGAGAACGAACTGCGCGGCGCGACTGAAGAAACCCTGCGTCTGTGCGGGTGCAGCGGGACATGCAAGCCAGTCTTCAAGCTCATCCTCCCAGCGACCGGGTACATCCGAGTACGAGCCGAGGCCGATACCGTCCCACATGATGCGGCGGATGTATGGGTCGTAGATGGTTCCGCGCAACTGGGCTTCCATGGGAGGGACGGGCAAGGGCACGGTGTAGTTACGAGGAATGGATCGCAAGGCTTTGGCAATCAAGAGTCCGTCCCAAAGAGAGTGAAGATCTAGAAATGATGTGAGCTCAGCTCATCTCAACCAGACGTAAGGGCGCTTACTGGTAACACGTCCATTCCAGGAAACCTTGACGCTGTTTCCGCCGCGGTCGCGTCCGGTCAAATGCAAAGGCTGATGCACGTCTCCCAGGAAATGAATCAGGAACTTAAGCGCCTCCTGCGCAAGTTCGAGTTCCGAAGCGCTCGCCGCCTGCACGCCGCCGCGGGCCGAGTTGTCGCTCACGAACTCGGTCAGGATGTTCGTGACATTGCGGATGCCGCCCAGCACATTGATGTTCTGCTTTCCGGCCCAGCCACGTGTGCCGGGAAACTCGCATGAATCAGGAGGATAGTCGTCCAAGCCGCCGACATAGTGCAGTGGTGCGGACCAGCGCGCGCGGAAGCGAATCTTGTCTGCCCATGTCGCCACCGACGCGAGCGAGCATGAAGCGGCCGGCTCAGTCGGATATAGGATAGAGCAGATAACAGGCAGCACAGGAGGATGCAGGTGCATTTGAGCCAACGTTGCGACAATCTCGTGGCCTAGAATTACTGCTTTCAGTTTGGCTGACAACTTCCCCGCATCCGAACGTACCGGCGGCACCCCAAGCGAGCGCAGGTTGAACCGCGGCAAGCGCGACAACGGGCAAGGCATTCTGTAGACGCATGGTGGTAGATGTTGAGGCAGTACAAGCGCCCTTTGACCCTCTTATAGTCGTGCGCTTTGGGCAGTGGCAGTCAAGTTACAAAGAGCACTCGTTCGGGAACAACTGCGTGAGGAGACGCGTCGCGCGTCGCGCACGTGGGCGCGCCTATCGCGCTGAACCCCCTATCTTTGAGTGTGCAGGCAATTGTGCCGCATCGTCCAGGTATCGCCATGACGATACGCGTACAACAGTGTGAGTACGAGAAAATGTAGAGTCATAGAATGGATGGACGTCAGCGAGGGGGTCATTCGAAAGGTAGTCATGTACAGCAGCTGACGGCTGTGCGACCTTCAGATTCCAGTTGCTGGTCAAGCTCAATGCAGAGACAATACGATTCACCTCAGCCGGCCGCCTGCACGGCTGAAGTGCGTATGCGGAGGTTTCAAGAGTATGGCATAATGCTATAGTAAAGTACACAATTGCCGGTGCAACAAATCAAGAGAAGAGCTTGTTTACCGAGGTGTTGCCCTCCGTGTTCTTCTTCAGAACCTAGCATCCAAATTGCGTCAGGTTCGGCAAGAAGTAGGGGATGAATCCAAAGCCTACGAACCTTCGCGACAGCAAACTCAAAGTCTTCTTGCGTGACGTGTTGCCTGCGTTCACGCAGTGCGTACATGCCTAGCTCAAGTGTTAGCGAGATTCATGGTCAGGGACCACGATTTGGGTTGGCTTACCGGCTTCTGTGCAAATGCCGCGCACTTCAGCGCCCGAGCACTGCCCCATCTTCTCGGCGAGGGCGCGAAGGTTGATGCCACGCTGGAGGGACATCTGAAGCGGGGTCGCTTCAGTGAACCATGGGTCATGACGAGGATAGACTAGCACAAACCTTGCGGGAGTGGATGCGCAGAATTGCCACTCGTGCCTCGGGACCGGGAGGTGGGAACTCGATCTTACGGTCGATACGTCCGGGCCGAAGCAGGGCAGAGTCGAGAATATCTGTCAAAGCAGGGTCAATCCTGGCAATCAGAGCGAAGAAGAACCACAGACATACCGATTCGGTTAGTGGCCATGATGACCTTGATATTCTTCGACGGCTCGAAGCCGTCAAGCTGGTTCAGTAACTCCAACATCGTGCGCTGCACTTCCGAATCGCCACCACCAGAGCCACCCTCTCCACGCGAGCTTCCGATAGAATCAATCTCGTCCATGAAAATGATTGACGGCGCATGCTCGCGAGCCATGACGAACAACTCGCGAACCATACGCGAACCCTCGCCAATGTACTTTTGCACCAACTCCGAACCAGATACACGGATGAACTTGCAGTCCGTGTGATGTGCGACGGCACGTGCGAGCAAGGTCTTTCCAGTACCAGGAGGACCGTATAGCAAGACACCCTTCGGCTGGGCGATGCCGAGCGACTCGAAGAGTTCAGGATGCTTGACCGGCAACTCGATTACCTCCTTAATCTCCTTGATCTGCTTCTCCAGACCACCGACCATCTCGTACGTGCTGTCCGGCACTTTCTCCACCATCATTAGCGACACGAGCGGGTCGACTTTGTTCGGCAATACCCGGTGGATCGTGTACGAGTCGGATCGAAGGGCGATACGAAGCGAAGGTTTGAGGGAGGATAATGGGATCTTCTCGTCCACGTCGACAACTTCAGCGAAGTATCAGTATAGATTATGGTCACGAGACTGGAAGTCAAGCGCACTGTATTTGCCTTCCGGCTGCACCTTCACCAACACCTTGTTCTTCCCCATGATCTTCACAACCTCTCCGACATAACTTCCAGGTTCGTGTAGTAGTTGCAATTCCTCCCGGAGCAGCCGTACTATATGTTATCATAGGTGAGTGATATTATATCTCATGATATACTGACTTGCTGACCTCGTGCGTTCAGCGCATTTCGTTGTGCCTCCAACCGCCTCAAGTTCTGCGTCTTCTGGTTGATCAATAATTCGGCCGCCTCGATCTTGGCCTGATAGTACGCCTTGATGCCGCTGGGATTATTCTGTTTCGGTACGGCGACGGGCATGGTGGCGAGGTGAGTTGGGACGGTGAACGCGGCTTGAGACTCTGGCTTCGACGCGCGACGCGTACGCGTACGCGCGCGTGCGAACTCGATGACACGTGGGTGAAACGCGGTCACCTGGCTCTCGGGCCCCGACGCGTCGCGGCGTGTCTACGTAGCCAAAATCGGTTGTATCCATCTTGAGTGCAAAAGCGAAGAGATCAGAAGTTATGCTATCAACTTTTCCTGTCGGGATACATGCCCGCTTAGATGCGCTAGACCTCATCCGGATCGCTGTATGAGTGCTAACGTGCCGCGACGTGCCCAAGGCCTCAGAGCTCAATGTTGCATCGTTATTCGAAGATCTAGCTCCAATCAGTACCGTAAGGTGCGCAGATAATACATCCTATGCTTGCAACTTTATGAGATTGAGCAGAGATGGTTTGCCAGGACCGGCAATAGCGATTCCGATCAGCACCCAATCCAGTCCAACGTCCCCAGGGATAGAGTTTGTCCCACCTTCATACGCCATGTGCTCGGAGATTCCTCCACAGTCTTCTCAGAGATTCGTGCGACAGATAAAGCGCAGGTCCGAAACCTTCGAAAAGCTCACCGGACGCAGTGCTGTGGGGAAGATCAGCTCGAACGATTTCAAGACACGCGCTCGATGCCCTCGATGGTAGCTGATAGAAGCCCGCGATGGATATCGCCAGCGCTAATCGGGACGTGGAGATTTCAGACTTGGGTTTGATAGGTCAAGGGGAGCCTATGCTGCCGCGAAGGACTGTATCGGTATTCGCCATACTGGCGCGCCACGCACAAACCCTAGTGGCGACGTTATCGGGTCGACGCAGTCGTTATGGGCGCTTGGGCGTGGCATACGTGCGGCAAACGGTTCAATTGGGAGACTAGGCTTCATATCCCGCTCCGATAGCAGTGAAGCATCGAGACTGCCCCAAAATGATGTGTGAGGCGCAGGTTGCGGGGCGATAATGATACACGACGGGGGCCACACGCGCGAGAAATACATAAAATAGTGTACATGTCCGTCTCGCAATGTTCGAGGGATCCCTTTTTACATACTATACCTCCTTTTGAGAGCGGTCCAAGCAGGTTCGGCGACGGTGACGACCTCGACGAAGCGCTCCATGTCATTTTCGGGGATGCGATTGATGTCCAGCGTATTCCAGTATCTGTTGAGCACGAAGACAATATCTCGCGCATCGCGTTCAGAGCCACGCCTGTTTGGGATGGTCGAGTCAGGTCAGGGCGCAAGCTCGCTGGAAAGAAACGTGGGGGCACGCACACCGTCCAGGCCTTCAATTTAGCTCGCACGAACTCGGTAATGGATAGCCAGGGCACGCCATGTAGATAAGTGACATTCATGGCGTCGATGCGTCGCGGGCCTGTTTCTCCGGCGACGAGTATCTCGATCTAGAGTGAAGGGGGTACATCAGTTCACGAGGGCGTGCACTGCGTGAGGCGGCCGCGACGTACCTCGATAGGTGGGATGGACCGGTGATACTTGGCGTGAAGGCTGCCACGCTCAGTTAGCGCGTTATCAGCAAGGGGGACATGCTTTAGACGTGCCGGTTGCTCCACGGGGAAGGCGTCATCATAATGTCCTCATTATTGTTTTCAAGTGCTTGTCGCACTCGGCGAAAGGGATGGGTGTTTCCTCCCTGGACGATACAGTAAACCTCCTGAAAGAGTATGTGTCAGTGTCACTCGGTAGCACAGTCAGATAGGACGCGTCATACATCTGCCTGGCTGGCATTGGCAAGTAACGAGACCATAGCGCCTCCGTAGAAAGCATGAACAATCCCATGTTCGCGTAGGCTCCGTGATAGCGCGTTGACGGCCTCAACCAGGCGGCGAGTCTCAGGCATGATAAACAAGTGGAAGCGCGCGTCCCGAAGACCGACGCATGTTACGGGGAGAACGGCTGAAGGGGAACGGCAAGGATTGGGGAGATGAGTGTTTGAGGCAGAGCCCGTTTTATGAACGGATGCTCGGCCTCGGCGGTGGGGTTAGAGAATTTGCCGGAGACCTCCGTCTCACAGAGTATACACGTACAGAAAAGGTCCAGGAAGGGTCAGGAAGGTGTCACATGAGGATCTCTGAGGCCGATCTGGACAGAGTCCCCGTGAGATGGATTGTGCAACGTGATGGTATCAACGATAGCGCAGAATCTTAGCAAGATTAAGCTACATGGTGGGCTGCATTGGACGGCGCGTTGTGACTGAGACACCCTAATGCCGCACTGGGCACAGAGGAGACTAGGCTATGGTCACGACGGCCTGTAGGCGCGCTAACTGGCTTCGTCGCGGACAGGTCACCGCCCGCGCCGAGGGTGTTAATCTTCAGCGCTTGGCGGGTACGAATTGCTTCTTCTCGCTTCTTCTTCAGGCCAAAATTTTGGTCGGGGTTGCGATGAGAAGTCTGGACATGACTGGTGGCCGGTGGCGACAACTTGTTGACTTGACTTTGTCCGAGGCAACACGCCTGGAAAATACCACGTGTGGCTACGTAACGACGCGGCGCGGCGCGTCAAGCGAACGCGCCCTTCTCTCCTTCGCACTGCATCTGCTCGCGCTGCTTCCTGGGCCTCCACGCCTCATTCTCACGGTTACTCTACTTGAATAGTACGGAAGTTACCGGGACGCGTATGCTCAAGGGACTATGGATTTGCCGTGCTTGCAATGTGAAGCCTACACGTTCTTCCTTCCTCGGTAGTTTGAGGCCGCAAACACCTCGATCACTCTATACTTCGACTTCACGACCCTCGAAGTCGTCGGGCCCGTTACATCAATCTGGACCACTATCTTTGACCGTGACTCACGGGCCTCTCCGCCATGAGCGAACAATGAATTCGTGGTCAGCGAAATTCGGCTGGGGGCAGGAAGAGAAACCTAGCATCATGACGGAAAGCCAGGAGGATGCTGCGAAAGCAGCAATTCTCGAGAAGGCAATGAAGGGGCGGCAACAGGCGGATCTCATGCTACGCTGTACGTTATTGCCCATTCTAGGCATTCGAACGTTCATAACTGACCGGCCATTGGTGAGAAGGCACCGTTCTCGATGAGCAAGGTGGGTGTCAAGTGCTGCTCCCATTCGCTCTCTCCCCCATGATCGTGTCATACGGCCATGTGGGCATCCCGCGTGTCTGTCACCCCGCTCAAGATCCTTTCATCTCCTTAATCATTTACGTCTAACGCTTGATCTTCAGGCAATATCAAGACAAATTCCGGCCGCTTCAAAAGGTCTGATCTGTGCGGCGAACACGGTCTCAACGTAAGTTCTCCGTCTGCGGTCGCTCCCATGACGCTGGTGTTGATAAACCTGCGATTGCGCTATGCAGCCCCGCGACTTACGCAAGATCGACTCCCGAATACCGAACTTGGTCCCCACCATCTTAATCCGACATAAAGCCATCTTGGTCAATGTTCTCCATATTCGCGCTCTAGTCAAATCCAACGCCATTATTCTCTTCGATGTATACGGCTCTACGGACTCACGCCTCCACTCTGTAATGATATACCATCTCGAAGTAAGCTTCCTACCTTATCCTGCGTGAGCGGTACTGACTGTCGCTCCAGCATAATCTCAAGGCCAAGAATACCGGCCTACCTTACGAATTTAGAGCTTTAGAATCCATATTCTTGTCGGTCGTCGGTGCCCTGGAGGCGGAGATGACTTTCATCCGCAATCTAGTCGGAGGGCTTCTATCCGAATTGGAAGATGACATCGACCATGACAAGTTTAAGCGGTTACTGCACTATTCCCGGCGCTTGACGAGCTTCCAGAATCGAGCAAAATTGGTACGCCCCCTTCCTGAGACGCTGGCACAGACACATGACTGACGTATGTCAGGTTCAAGAGGCCATGGAGGAAATTTTGGAGAATGGTGAGATGAAATGAGATTTCACGTTGGTCTATGGGAGTGCTCATCATGATCCAGATGAGGATCTCAACGCCATGTACCTTAGCGAGGATCCAGCACGCGAGGAAGACGATCACTCCGAGTTGGAGGTCCTGCTGGAGAGCTTCTCAAAACAAGTCGAGGAGATCGTGAACGAGGCCGAGAACACGCAGGTGAGCCACATCGAGACACCGATCAACGTGCCGCGTCCTCACTGGCATTATGTAGAGCAATGTACAATCGACCCAAGAGATTGTGGAGCTACTTCTTGACTCAAATCGCAACGCGCTCTTGGCTCTCGATCTTCAAGTGGGATATTCATTCCCCTCGTTTGTGGCTGACTCACGTATTCCTAGATATCCATCGCTACCATGGGTATTGGCGTTGGCACGCTGATCGTTGGTCTATTCGGCATGAACGTGCGTACATCATAGCCCGTGACTGGACCCATTACTCATTCAGGTATAGTTGACGAGTCACCTGGAAGAGAACCCCTATGCGTTCAGCGTGATGTCTGCCATTGCGGCGATCGCGACAGTTGGGTTTGCCTTGCTCGGTATGCGAAGGTGCGTCGATCCCACCTCTTTCATCCCCTTCAGTGAATGAAGTTCTCTTCTTAGGTTATTCCGGATACGCAAGGTTGGCCTCACGAGCCGGAGGAGACAGGAGCCTAAGCGCTCTCGATATTGGCTTCCGCTTGCGCTCCGGAGACGGACGCACGAGAACTGGTAGTGGATAGCGCTGTACCCACACCACGCCACAAAGCGGTCATGTTCGGTCCAGTAACCTGGATCCATTCTCTTCATCAACCCCACTCAGCCCACACTCCGCTTCTGATAATGCGACACCTACACGTTCTCACCCAAACTACCGGCAGGGTTCAGGCTATCTCGTCGGACAGTCGGATTAGCGCGGCCTCGGCCGGCGTCTATGAGGCTTGAGAAGCCGAGAAGCTTGAACTTCACCGACAACTTCACCGAGAGATGCACCCCTGGCGCGCGCGCCTTGCCACGCTTTCCCTACTCAGTCTGCCGGCGCTTTTCGTGATGAACCCCAGTTCTGACTGTAGCCCGGTTTCTAGCCACAGTGCCTGTCCGTATCTTACTCCAAATCCATACTTTAAGCCTGCTGTGCGCTTTTCTTAAGTCCACAGTGCAAGTGGACGGTCGACTCGCTTAATCGCCTCGGCTGCGAGGCTATACCCCCATGACCTACATCATCCTACACCCCTTCATTATAGCTGACGCCCATACACCTGGAATTACTCCGGGGCAAAGATATCGGGCGCAGTGGACATGAAGGCCCCGGCCCTGGGAGATAAGATTTTAAGGTCGCACTGCGCGGCTGGACTACGTCGCAATGAGCTGCATCCAGACGAGTCTCGGTCTTGTGCAGGGAGAAGAGGGGCTGTGGCACAATTCCCAGTGCGCCTGATGCCGGCCTGGAAGCCAAGCGCGTCGTCCCGCACTTCCGATTGAGGATCATATACATCCTGAGAGACTCGTGTGGCAAGCGAAGTTGTACAGGAATGGGTACATTGTACAGGGTCCTCGTTCTCGAATGACGACGCCTCTCTTCCTCGTGTCTCATCGGCTCGCTGCAGCCGTAGCCGTTGCCTGCGCGTTCAGCACGCTGGAGGCAGCGGAGAGGAAGGCTTGCGACACCGTGTCCGTCACGTTTGCGGTGACGTTCTTCAATGCGGCGGCAGCGGCATCATGAATGACCTGCAGCTCCTCTTGGCTAGCCGCGCCAACAGCCAACTCCCCAGTGCTCGTCGCGTTCGTCAGCGCGGTGTTGTTCGTGCCCGCCACCGCGCTCGCGATCGCTGCATCAGCTTGAACTTGATTGGCTGTGGCGTTCGTCGTGCCATTCAGCACGCCTGCAAAGACGACGTCGAGCTGGCGCAGGGCGGTGCCGACTGTTGGAAGCGAATTCGGGTCTTGCAACGCGAGACCGGTGGAGGCGTCTACGGCTGTGATGGCTTGTAGAAGCTCATCAGAGAAGTCCGACAAACTGCTTGAGAACGTAGGGATGTCTTGACGACGGCCGATGCTATCAAGAGAATGAGTGTGGATGTAACCATGTGGCAAGAAGCAGACGCACGAGATTATCGGTGCTGCGAGCATGGGCACGAACGACGCAGAAAAGGCGGCGGTAACGGCGAGCGTGTGTACGAATACGTGCATCTTGTGTAAAGGTCGTATCAAGCTTGAAAATGTCGTCGCAAATCAATTCGATGGATGGAAAGAAAAAAGTCGTGAGCCTCGAGGTAACCGGTACCAACGAGGAGTGCGAAGGGTGAGCGGAGAACAGCTGGAGAGCTCCAAGCGGCACATTGCCTCTTCCTTATGTACAGAGTAGATGTCTTCGCTGGCGACCCTCGATTGAGATGATGATGAGGATCAGGAATTCGAGGACGACGTAGATCTCCAAGACAGGCGGAAGGAGCGCCGGGCTGCGCATGGATCAGAGGGACAAACCTGGGCGCTGATGACCTCTCTGTCACCAAGTGATTCACGGAGGATAATATGAGATAAGGCTGCAAAAACTTAGACGGCGATGTATGCGGAGCTGTAGCGATGCGAACCCGACTCAGACTTGAATTTTCCCGGGTACGAGGGACGACGCTCGGCCGTGCCACCCGTGCAACAGGCGCGCGAGACCGGCCCTTGAGTACACCTCTGAACTGATGCTCCAGTACGAGTACTGCGAGATCGCATCCTCGGACCACTTCCCGCTCCTTCAAAGATGACCGGGGTGCTCGGATGTGGCCTGGACAAGCAAGCAGTGCATCAGAGTGATGCAGAGTTATCTGACGTCGAAACCACACGGAATGGACCTTGACGGGCTGTTGTCTTCGGAACACCAGACAGCTGGACAGTCCGATAGTAAGGTTCGAAGGGATGTAATGTCTGAATCATCCGCTGCTTTGAGTATGTGCCTCGTCGACATGAGGGGGGAGCGCAAGGCGGGATCGTGGATCGTGAGAGGATGTGAATTCCGGCTTCGTTCCGAGAAGCCGAGGCCTGATAGGCGCAGTAGTCATAGAACATGACTGAAAGGCAGCTCGCGCCTGAGGTTAAGGTTGGGATGCACCGGCGTGCCGGCGTCAACGCGTCGCAGACTGAGTCCACCACCTCTAATTCGCTTACACCACCCGAGTAGTTCGCTGACGCAACCACTTTGCGGCAACACTCACGAATGTATCACTGTTAGTCCATCGACTCGCCCGTCGTTACACGCAGGCAATATCTATCCACCTGAGCGATGGAAAGAAGAGCGGTCATACAGGGCTCGATGCATGAGGTCCAGCTATCTGGGGTCGCCCCTGCTGATATGGATTATACGCGCAGTCTGATGGGCAGTTATCAGAGCTTAGGGGCAACGGCCAGCCCATGGTGAGTGCACCGTCTACTTATTCCATGCTCCATTATTCTCCAGTCCTGACCCATATCTGTCAGGTCACACTTTTAGACAGACGAGACCTCTCGTTTAGACTCAATCGTCTGAAATACCGACGTGTGACGTACTCAAATTGCTGGTACACTTACCAATCCAATGCGGCTGTTCCGTGTTGTTCAAGCTCGCTTCGAGCTCTGAATACTGCCGGGCACTACGTCTTTGAAAAGACGCGTGTCCCTGAAGAGCTATACAAAACAGTACGCACACTCATCGACAGTCATACTCATATCAACGCTTTGCAATCACCTACGCGTCCTGCCCTATGTCATGATCCAGGTGTTTCGGCAATGATGCTTGATCACGCATCCTTTCCACGGTATCGATACGGATCAGCATTCAACTTGGGCGCTGGCGCGCGCACATACACTTGACCGGCAGTGCCTGTACGCGTCTATCCGGCCCAAACGGACAATGATAGACCAAGACATGCCTGCATCCTCCGCCCCGGTCATTTCTCGAGCGGTGACCTGAGCCGTCTATATAAGACTGAGCGAGCATCGAGCTTGGAGTATCAACACAGTTCTCTTTTAGGATGACCTACAAGCACCTCGGACTCTTCCTGGCATTAGTCCAGTTTGCGACCGCTACGTCTGCATCTGGCGGTGATGGTACAGCTCTCCCTACGATTGTACTAGACAACGGAACGTTCGTTGGCACGTCTGAAGGGGATGTCTCCATCTTCCGCAGCATTCCATATGCTAAACCTCCGTGAGTTGATCTCTCTTGCCTGCGATTGTGTGCATGTGCTGACGGGTTTGTTTGCAGCGTGGGCGACCTTCGCTTCCGGCTTCCGATTGCCAACGATCCGTACACCGGTACCTTCAATGCCACGACCTTTGGCGCTGCTTGTATACAACAGGTCGCAAACCTGACCGATACATCCAACTTGAACCCCATCGCTGCTCAAGTACTACTGGAAGCTACGGGCAACTTCTTCTCGCCAGATGTCGACGACGAGGATTGTGAGTATCTAGTCTGCTATCGTTTATGCCGACGCTCATTACGCCAGGCCTTACCCTCGATGTGTATATTCCTGCAAACGCTACCCAGGACTCGAAATTCCCGGTTGCCTTTGTGCGTTCCTCTCATACATCTGAAAGTGTACCTCGCTCATACACACCGTGATAGTGGATGTTTGGCGGTTTGTTTGGACCATTTTTGGCGAGGAGGGTTGGGACTCACATCCACATGCTTTGACAGGCGGTTTCCAGACCGGCGCTTCTTCTGGCTATAATGGAACCGAGCTGGTCATAAGATCCCAGCAGCTCGGCGAGCCAGTGATATATATCGCGGTGAACTACAGGTGCGTGTGTGCTCTTGCTACTGATGGATTGCATTCCTAATGGCGCTCAAGGTTATCGGGTACGCTCAAATAACGCATGACGGCAACGCTACCGACTGACAGACAATCTTGCAGCGCTCGGCTTTGCTGGAAGCGCGGAGGTGCGGGAGGCGGGCATAGGCAACCTTGGACTCCAAGATCGTGCGTAGCGAATCATAGCCCGTCGAGCTTGCTCTCACTTCTGCACAGAACGGATGGCTTTGCATTGGATCCAGAAGTACATCGGTGCCATCGGAGGAGACCCCTCCAAAGTGACTATGTACGTCGCATCTTTTCACTGGTAGCTTCAGTCACTCAGTCGTGATCCGCCGTTGGTAGCTGGGGGCAGAGTGCAGGCTCAATCTCGGCTGCTATGCAGATGCTCGCAAACGATGGCGATAGCGAGGGCCTCTTCAGTAGCGCCTTTATGCAGTCGGGAGGCCCTATCAGTATGAGCACAGGAACAGTAGAAGATGGTGAGTGCCACGGTATGTTGGCATAGGCCTTCTCTGACCCTATCACAGGCCAAGTGTACTTTGACAAGTTTGCGACCGACGCGGGCTGCGGCGAATCACTTGGATCCGCTGCTGTGTTTGACTGCCTGCGCAATGCATCCATTGCTGATATACGCTCCGCCGTCACAGCCTCCCAGAACATCTTTGACTACGCAAGTCTGGACTTGGCGTGGCAACCTCGGGCGGACGGGACGTTCTTGACTGAGAACGCGCAAGTGCTTGTCCAGAAGGGTTCTATGGCAGACGTGCCGTTCGTGATCGGTGAGTCCCGCCATCCCTTGTCGAGGCATGCGATCCAGTGCTGAACAGTCCTTACTAGGTGACGATGACGATGAAGGCACGATCTTCAGCTTGGTCAACAGTAACATAACGTGCGTTGTCCTCTCTACGCTATTCGCTTCGTTGTTGTACTGACTAGCTGCAGAACCGAGGCTGAGCTTCGTCAATACCTCCAGGACTACTACTTCCCACTTGTCAACACCTCCACGATCGACACCATATTGGCAAACTACCCCGACAACGTTACGCTAGGCTCGCCATTCGACACAGGGTCGAACAACTCTATCACACCAGAGTACAAGCGGATATCAGCCATCTTTGGCGACTACGTCTTCCAGGTTCCTCGCCGGTTCCTTCTCACAGAGCGCTTGGGTAACGCGAATGCGTACTCCTTCTGTATGTGTCAGTCCCTCGCGCATGAGAGCATCCCTAACCCAGTCACAGTGTACAAGCGAGGCAAGGAGACACCTGTCATCGGAGCGGTACGTCTTTAGCCAGTCTCCTGTGATGCCCTGCCTGACGAGTGAACGTTGCGCTGTAGTCCCATGGCAGCGACTTCTCCATCTTCGAGCCTGGAGATCTCATGGATGCCCTGATTCACTTTGTGAACAAGTTCGATCCTAATGGCGCTTCCCTCATTGACTGGCCAGCGTACACCGCCCAAACGCCGGTGTTGTTCACGCTGCTCGACGGCGATACGGCTCAGGAGATCACCAACGACACGTACCGCTTGGAGGGCATGCAGGCGATTCAGCAGGCTACTAACGCCGGCATATATTAGTTGGAGGAGGAGGAGGCACGCTGCGTATATTAGATTGCAATTCAATAATATTCCAATGTTCAGATGCACTGTCGATTCATCGGTATTCGCCTGGGGTATATCACGAGTCTTTGAACGGTGTTGCTCTAACAGCTTCCAGCCGTATTCACTGTGGCATGACCACATCCCCAGAGAGACTATTGCATATGAAAGGCAGGCCTCTAGTGGCTTGACAGCACCACGTTCACGGTGCGAAATCGAGTATGGCCGGCGCTTGCGAACGTGCGACACGGGATGCGCTTCGCAGCTTCCTTTGCCGCTTTCAACGTTCACTCGCACACACACTTGGAGCATGAAACAGGGACATCGCTATCTGCGCGCGGATGGAGATTTGCCGTATCTGCCAGAGCCGGGAGAGCACAAGGGAGGCGATCAACGTGCTGCGGACGGAGGATGCGAGATGAACGTCAAGACCAAGGTGTCTCCTTGGCTCATCGAAGCTTTCAGAGGCCCTTGAGCCGCTCCACCACCATCCTCTTGATTCCCCGGTCCTCGACCGTCACCCTCTCTTTCCTTGTCTCTTTCTCCTCCCAGCATAATGGCCGCCGCGAAGGAACTCGAGATTGTCACCAGCCAGAGTGTGCCTGGCACTCCCGGCGCCCACGAAGAGCACTTGCCGACCGAGGAAGAGGCGGACGCGCAGGCCGCTGCCATCGCCGTCCCGGAAGACACCGGCGAGGGAGGCAAACTCAAGATGATTGTAACACTAGTCAAACGTTGCTTCGGTGTCAAGGATATTGCTTCAATGTTCGTACTCTTCGTCGCTCCTTGTTCGCACGTCATCATTCACTGACCCGATATGTCAATAGGCGCCTTTCGCTCCCTGCCTCGCTTCTTGAGCCCATTCCTAATCTAGAGTACTGGCATTACTTGGACAGGCCCGACCTCTTTGCGGCGTTCGTGTTTTATTCTAACTGTTGCTGGTTGATGCCCTGACGACGCGGAGCAGCATCAATGATTCCCCAGACGCCTTCGAGCGCATGCTCGCCGTTCTCCGCTTTACACTATCAAAGGACTTGCGCCACATCGTAAGTTCTACTCTTTCGTCTCATAGCCACTATGGCTCGCTGTGTGCATTGCTCGGCCTCAGGCGGGGAAGCTGTCACTACACCGTGTATGATCGTCATATGGCACTTTGGATTATTTACGTTTCGCGGATCCCTTCTCATACTGATGCCTGTGATTTCAGCGCGGCAAACCCATCAAGCCATACAACTCCGTACTTGGCGAACACTTCCGCTCGCACTGGGACGTGCCACCACCATCGTACTCCAGCAACCCGGCACATCCCCCGATATTGCATGTGCACACTACCACACCAGCTGCATCGGCCCCGGCTTCGCCGGTCATTCCACCGCATTCCGCCACAGGTACATCAACGCCAACAGCTGGCCGTACATCACGCTTCGGTGGCATGCTGTCGATGCGGAATTGGTCTACTCCGACGGTCGAAGCTCGCGGATCGCCAGTCGAGTCCATCCCATCAGCTCAGGTCTCGAAGCTCTCGCTTGTCTCAGCGCGCTCGACATCCTCTACGGCCCCACCCGCATCTGCTCTGGAGCCCGTACGGATTGCTTTCCTGACGGAGCAGGTCTCGCATCACCCGCCCGTATCCGCGTTCATGGCTGAATGCCCAGCGAAGGCGATCACACTATCCGGTGTCGACCAGATCGCGGCCAAGGTCACAAGTACGATGAACGTCCGTATTGGCCCTGGACCGCTCAATAAAGGCGTGTTCATCAACATCGGCGAGGCGGCCGAACATGGGGCTGGAGAGCAGTACCACATAACGCACCCGTCCGCAGTCGTCAACGGTCTACTCCGTGGGAATCTGTGGGTCAGCATGTGCGAGAGCACGGTTGTCAAGTGTTCGGGCGGCGCAGGTGCGACACAACTGCGCGCTGTCCTGGAGTACAAGGAAGAGGGTTGGCTCGGCAAGGCGCAGTATGCTGTGGAGGGCGTGGTCTTCACCTACTCGGAAGACGAAGACGCGACGGTGTCGGAATGGACGAAAGTCAAGCACGTCCCGCGTGAACGCGTTATAGCCGAGCTCGAGGGCAGCTGGCGCGGCGTTCTCCGCTGGCGACGCGTCAACTCGCCTGCCGCCTCCAACTCGTCGACATCCTCAGGCGTGAGCTCTTCGCCGAATGGAGACTGGCACACCCTCATCGATCTGGGTGCGCTCGATGCTGTCCCAATGACGGTGCGCCCGCTCGAGGCGCAGCTCCCCAACGAGAGCAGAAGGCTGTGGCAGCCGCTTACCCAGCGCTTACTCGCGAAGGAGTACTCGGATGCGACCAAGGCGAAGATTGCGATTGAGCAGAAACAGCGAGACGATGCGGCCGCACGTAAGGCCAAGGGTATCACGTGCGTTTTAGTCTTCATTGATATCCGCGTACTCGGCGTACTGACACCCGCCTAGATTCGTACCAGCGTACTTCGATGCGGACTATTCGTCCGGTAGACCGCAATTGACTGCCGAGGGTCGCAAGGCGCTCGATGAGGAGCTCAAGAACCAGGACAAGGATGCTGCGCAGGCGCAGGCATAGTCACAAAGGCCATGATCCGACTCTTCACTGACTTTGGACGGAGGAAGGACATACATCATACCCCCACCTCTTCCTCTTAGCATATGACGGACGGTTTTCAAGTTCTCGCTCACGATCTCGACATGACATCTGTATATATACTAGAAGTCTCCACCTTCGTCCTTGGGTGTTGCTCTGCATACCATCATCTAACGCTCGCTAATAGACGAAGCCCTTTGGCTGCGCATGGGAGCACCATGCTGGGTGATTGCACTATTGGTAAACTCAGCGATTTCTTTGCGGACTTTACCTCGATTGTGGTCTTTGTTCTGGAGGGTACATAACCTCACCATGATACTCTTGGTAAACAGCTTAACGACCATGAGTACCGCAGCATCCGTAGTGGCGGCTGCTCATGAATATGCGACCTCCAATCCCCCTGTGAGTCTCGCGTTCGGCCGGTAGCGGAACGAATTCTCATGCAGATGCTTAGAAACTACGAGAATGCTTTCACAGACTGAAGGCGTTGAATGTCAACATGGACGCCGACGAGTTCAAAGCGCTGGCCCCGGCTATGGACGCAGTTTGGGATGCAGCATGGTCCTGGCGCCGCGGCATGAAGGATCTGAAGGATCTGAACTCAGTCGGAACCGTCGCTGTACAGTTCGTTGATCTTTGCTCCACCGTGTATGTCGCGCCAATGACTTGGCCTGAATCTACTGACCCACGCTCACAGTGAGTCTTTCCGGCCGTGGGATAGTAGCCATCTTCCGCATCTGCTGCTCTACTGCGCTGTCAAGCTCAGGAATCATAGGCCTGTAGACCCATTCATCGAGGTACTCTGTCGGCTCATGCACGACTCGCCTGGGCCAGCTTTTGTGGGCACATCTAGCTGGGGCACTCTATTGAACGAAGTTCAAGAGGAACTCGGGACGAAGGCTCTCTCGTCTGTCTTCCTCCGGATACTCAATAGGACTACTACCCATTTCAGTGTGTTGCAAGCTGCCATGGAGCTCGGGTTCCCTATGTTCCTTCGCGAGGAATGGTCTTCTAGGAACGTCGTTCCTGTCGACGATGTGCTCGACTCGCTCTATAGCGCGGCTCATCGGACGGTGGAGAATACACAATTATCCACCAGGAAGAAGGCCGGGATTTTGTGCACGTTTTATTACTTCGAATGGTGAGTGTCATCAGATATGGCACAAGCCACGAATGTCCATCTCAACTTCGGCAGGGATATTTTCAAGTGTGGACATACGGAGTATTTGAGATGTCTATTAAGCGGCCGCTATGATGTCTTTGGGATCTTGTCTGCTGGTCTATTGCTTTGTCGCAACGTCAACTGGGATAAGGGAGACAACCCTGAGTTCGTGTACGGTATGCGGTCCACATCCGGCTAAGTTGCAATCTGAATCGCTGACTCTTGGCACCAGGAACCTTGGAACGTCTGCTGTTGGCCATAGAAGGAATCTTCGACTCTTGCGCACACCATGGGGTTTCCGCTGATGAAATAAAGATGTATGAAGACTTCGCCAACTTCAAGTCTACAACGAAGGAACTTGCGCGCAAGAAAATGCCCGCGTTGCTGGCCGCGGTGACCACACCTCCTACCTCTCCGATACAACACCCGGCAACCCCCGAAGCCATGTATGCGTGGAACATGCTCCGCGAATCGCTGATATGCTTTTCCATCAATCTGAGAGTTCACCCGTACTGCGCCAACCTTGCTTGCGAGTACCGCGGCCGTCCGTTGCCGGAAGACTCTGGGGCTAATTTTAAGCAATGCGGGGGTTGCATGAACGCCAGGTACTGTTCGAAATTCTGCCAGAAAATGTGAGTGCATCGTCCTGGCTACCTTGTCGTCACGCAGTGTACTTGGTCTGATTGTGACTCGAAACAGCGATCGCTGGACTCACAAGCGGGCATGCGGCAAGCATTTGAAAGCAGAATCCTGTTGCAATCGATGATTGGTGGGCTTAAGAGTGCAAGAGTTGGCCGGGTCCATATCACACTTCACAATGATGATTGCATCCGATGTATTATGAGTCCCTTGCTTTTCTCGTCACAACGCTAGCACAATGAGCCCGAGAGAATCTTAGAGACCCTGCACATAGAAGTCGTACGCGACCTTTCCAGCACCACCGAGAAGAGCTGTTGGAAGGATGATCATGAGTACAGTGGTAGAGATATCCAGATAACGGTGCTCACCCAAGAGTGTCAAGCCAGAAAGCTCAGAACCGATGATGCGCTTCGCGGGGTCGCCAGTGCCGTAGCCGATGGTGTAGATGATGCGGGTGAACGACCAGAAGCCGAGAGCGCTAGCAGCGAACACCGGGTAACCCAGACCCGCCAAAAGGGTCCTGAGATTGGTATGAGGACAGTTGATACGCGTGAGAAATATGCAAAGCGGACGTACAGGACAATAGCGCCGGGCACATTTTCAAGGGTGTTGGCATGGGCGCCTTTAGACCACAGTCAGTAATTGACCTTCCCCGACGGTACGAGGGCACATACGCTGCCTGCAGTTGAAGACCTTGGCCGCGGGGGACGCCTCCTGCTCGGCTTTCTCCGCGTAGGCTGCAACGTCCGGTTAGTTGGCCAGTCGCGCCATCCGCGGTCGCGAGCACGCACCTCGGGGGTACTCGACTTTGGCGGCCTTGCGCGCCATGCTAACGTATATTGCTTGCCATTGCAGGACGAGTGGCACAGAGATGAGTGATGCCGCGACGTAGGAGAATCTATAGGGTCAAGGATGCGCGTTAGCGCGTCCGCGCCGTGCACGGCGTTGAGAGCCACGTACCCTTGCGGGATGAAGATGGAGGTTCCAGACATTATGGAGTTGATTGGTGTTTAAGGGACAAACTACGTTGAAGGTTGAAGTGTAGGATGTCTACAAACTTTCCTATGCGAGTTTTTGAAGGCCTCTGGAAACCTGTGGGAGGTTGTGTACACCGCAAGTCGGCCGTAAGCTGGTCGTAAGCTGAGCGGCGCATCGGGACGAGGAAGCACCGTCACCTGCGTGACGCTCGCGAACAGCTGGTTTCCAGGAAACGGGGGACATATCAGCACACTGGCACCAGTTCACCCTGACTGCCAGCTGGAGAACAGAGCTGGCTACGACGTGTCAGTGCGGGTGCTTGTCAAAAGGCGGGATATGCGGAAGCTCCACAGAAAGCCAGGATCGCCCAGTATCTTTTCTGCTAGATTTCTGCTCAAATTGGGTACATATATTCATTCTTCTCCTTGTAGTCACTGCGAGCATAAATGCAATATATATTCCATTGAATTGAACGAGTGTGTGTGTGGTAGATACAGGGTAGCTACTAATGCAGTGCAGTGTACCGACATACAGAGTGCTACAGCACAGGCAGGACTAGACTACGTACAATGTGGGGGATCGATAGCGCGACGATAGTTCGGGAGTCCACTCAACGCCCCTCCTTCATTCAAGCCACGAACCTCAGCCGAGCATGGGATCGCGAGTGCGGGCGAGAGCACCCGGCACAGAACGCGGCCTAACAAGGCGGGCGATCACGACGACACGAAGGGACCAACAAGACTTGACAGGAGGCACTATATACGCGCGTGCTGTAGACGGAAAGAGACAGGTGTTCTCTGCGCCACAATGCGCGCACGGAGCCAAAGCCGCAAGGGGTACAATCTGAAAAGGACAGTCAGTGACGGGAGGGATGGGCAAACAGAGAACGCACGTACGTGAGTCGCGACGGCCGTTATATACATCCCCGAGGCCGGGCTGCGCGTCCTCGCTTGCTCATGCATCCTGTGCCGCGTACGAGAGGTTCTCGTTATGCACGGGCAAGTCTGTCGACAAGATTGGGCACACCCTGGGTGTGCGCTGGATACAGAGTCGTATCAGCTGTACCCACATAGAAACGAGATGGCGGTCCGCGCTGCGTTCTTCCCCGCGTCAGCTCGGATCCAGCTGCTCCTCCAGATCAGCGTCACCCATCAACGTCACGTTAGACTCAGGATTTGGCCGATTCGCGGTGTAACGAAGGGGACCGAAGCTTCGGTCAACGTTCGGGTTGCATCTGCCGCGTCACCCAACCGGCAAACGCGGGAACGGGACAGCGGACGACGTGTACTGTACGTGTACATGGAACGGCGGGTTCTCCGCTGGAGTTGTCACTCCTGAAGTGTAAGGATTGGTCATATAGGTCGTGTATAGGGATGTGCAAGCGTCTGGGTAAGGCTTAGGTAGCGAACGTATGTGATGGGCGCACACGCCGCATCCGGCGCTCGGAAGCGCGTCATGTCCCGGTGCGGCAAGTTGTCCCAAGCACTCACCAGTAACATCGTCACCGTCCATTACAGTCTACTCCGTGAGCACAGGAGCGTGTCGCAACCAATCACACATGCCCACAATTCTGCGATACCCGTCTCCTCGTCTTGTCTAAAGTGCTATGATCCGAGGCGAAGTTGGTATCTAAAGCCACCCATCATTTCAGGTATTCAGGGAAAGGTTCCAGTGGCATGCGTTGATGAGCATCTATGGATCGATTGATTCGACGCCCACTGTTGCGGCCTCACAGCAGAACAAGCTCTATAGGTTTGTGCGGGATGCGGCGCAGTATGCTTCTGCGATAAGCAGTGCCGATCCAGGTGAGCGGGGACGCGTGTAGCAGATGCCGCGACACTGACGGCGTCTACTGGATGAGTTGAAACTAGACTACCACAAAGCCCGGTGTCGTCGGCTGAAGGAACTGAGTTAACGCCATACCATGCTTGAGCGATCAAATGGACATCATTCATCTGTGATACTGCATGACTTGTCGGAGTACTAAATTGCACATATATTCGTGAATACCGTCTCCTTGATCGAGTGAGATATCGGTACACCGAATACAGTTCACTATCCTAAAAGCAATGAATCATGTCACGCATCGTCTCATGAGATCAGATCCGTGCGTGGGTATATCGATAGCGTGAGTGCGTTCTTGCCGCGAGGCGCGGCGAGTCCGACACTTGTCCCGAACGTCCAGCTCATATTCGGCGGTCCTAGCTTTTACTACGAGGAATATGTGCACCCAATGCGAGACTGATGCGTCGACATCGCATGATGCAGGCCAGGACCCCCCAATGACCGGCTTGCCTTTGAAGTTGCTCTTCAGCGCGACGGATGAGGCGCATGACCTATACGCTGCCTCTACCGAGATTGCTCAACAGGCAGGAGCGACTGCGGAAGAACCTCTCAAACTCCTCGCTTATGCACAGTCTGCTTTAACTCGCGGTGGGCCCGACCTCTGCTTGAATCTGAGCCATGCTCTTCGTGTTATCAAGTGCATCGCGACAGTATCTGTTCCTACTACGTGGGCGGAGAATCTCCAATCGCTCTCATTTCTTGATACCCGTGCATTCATCTGGGGCTCCTTTGAGCTTGCGTGTGCGTATCTTGCACGCGACACAGCTCTGGAGGATAACCCGGTGCGTGAAGCATCGAATACCAGTTTACTTGGAGGAAAACTGACGTTCAGAGGTGGAATACCGTAGATTATCGCTCTCGATGCTCTGTTCATTATGCACGAGACAATGCGCCACTTCGAGGACCCGAAGTCTGTCCACCATTATAAGGGGCATGACCGAGAGTTTAGGAAGTGCTCAGAGTCTGTGTGGCGTACCCTGTGGGCCGGAAGAGATCGCCTCCTATCGTCAGACGGTATAGTCGACACGATGCGGTGGTACATAGGCACGCAACTTCTACACACTTGGGCCACACTGTGCAAAAGCTTGTGAGTTCGGTTGATCTCAATATGCCGCTTGGTTGCATGTTGATCTGCCTGTACAAGTCGGTGCCTTCCGGCATGGGGTACCTCCGACGTTTTCTGGCTGGTCACCTTCCTGTGGATGAACCAACCAAACACTGAAGTAGAAGATCCGGCTCCTCTTCTGGCTTGCATTCAGATACTGGACTCGATCGGATCAAAGTCCTCCGTCGAACTCTACGGTGCAGACCGTTCCGCTCGACTCGCTGCAATCATCGATCAACTCGCGGATACCTACGGGTTGGACGCTGTGCTTCGCCGCTTCAAAGAGTCTCTCGGTTATGGCAACATCTCCGTTGGGAGACAGCACATGGTTCGAGCGCTTGCGTATCAATACGGCATGCTGGTTCCATCGCTGCGTTGCCGACTATGGGATGCAGGAGTAATGGAAGCGTACATCCAGTCCAATCGGCGGAAACAAGGGACCGAATACTGGGGCACGTACGATGTTGACGTCATGTTCCATATGATCCTGTGAGTGCATCAAACCCGTCGTATTGATCGTCAGCGATTGATCTCACTGCGAGTAGAGCGCTCGTGAAGGCCAATGACGGCTCTGAGATACGCCACGACATCGTCGATACGCTCATCACGAAGGAGCGCTTGGGGCGGTACTTCCTACTTCCTGGACTCTGGTCGCTCCTAGAGAGCTTATGCATTCCTCACGGAGATGGCAAGAACCCACCGGGACGGACAGAGATCAACATCTTACGTCTTATCTCCAAGAACGCGAAACACAATAGGACGGCAGAGAAGGGCACACCCGGTTGCGCAGCGTTGGACACGCTCAAAGCAGACGTATCGCCCTACTGGCATGTCATGAACAATGCGATCCAGGACTCGAAGCCCATACAGTTCGAAGCTTTCAGGCAGATGGGACACGTCGGTCGAGCCTGGCAACAGCTCGGCGAGGCGCTGGAGATCAACACGCAACGCGCACCCCGACTGATTGAGGGCTATATCCCTGCGGCACACCCGTTCTGCGCGTGGCCTCTCTGCGTATATCACACCCAAAAGCCCCCTCGTGGGCTCAAGGCTTGTAAGGGATGCGCTGAGGTTCTGTACTGTGGGAGGCAATGTCAAACCAGGTATGATCGCCGGCCACTTCTGGTCTAGACAATGCTGAGGTCTGCGCTTAGTGATTGGAAGCTAAATGACCACAAGGCCCGTTGTCGCCGCTTGAAGGGATGAAGTCCAAACGAGAACACAAACGTGGATCAAGAGTGTATCATAGTCAAATGTAACATGTATTTGTATCGGAAACATCGGTTTGTTACCTAGGCGCCATGCAGCATCACCATCAAGCGACGATGGCATGCATGTACGAGTATAAGCTCCATGCGAGTGGGAATGGTTAAGACTAGCGGACACGCGAGTGGAATGTGAGCTTGCAGCGCCCCGCCGCGGGTAACAGCACAAAGGCGTCATGGGGCTCCATTGTGCGGTCGTTCGTCTCGGTCAGAGGCGCTGTGACATCGAAGTTGCGCGCAAAGGTCGCAATGGCGATGCGGGCTGTCTGCATTGCAAAGTGCTGGCCGACGCAGATACGGAACCCGTATCCAAACGGCATCATGTGCGCATTCATTTCCGCTAGTTGTACGTCGTCCGCGTCCATCCAGCGATCGGGGAGGTATGTCTCTGGTGAAGGAAACACTGCTGCGTTACGATGCACGGACCAGGCCTGGGTGGCGACGGTCGTGCCCGGCGGGATCACGCAACCCAGGAGCTCGAAAGGACCGGATGTGACATCCGTCGAAGGAACTATGCGATCGAGCATAGCTGGTCCAGGGCAGTATATGCGGAGTCCCTCCTTCACAACGCTGTTCAGATAGGGAAGGCCCTCGAGAACAGAAATGTCTGGGATCGTCTTATGGTCCGGCATCGCGAGGTCAAGTTCCGCGTGCAGCTTCCTGGCGACATCTGGGCGACGACTGAGCTCCCAGCAGGTGTAAGAAGCCAGGGTAGATGTTGTGTCAACCCCGGCGACGCTATCCGGGTTGGGTGAGCACGAACTTCGCTGATGAGCGCCAGCACGTACAAGTGACCTGTATGTTCTGCGACGATACTCTCCTTCGTCAAGTGATCACCGGAGGGTAGGCGATAGTCAAGAAGACGCTGGACGAAGGGCTTCTTCTCGGCCTCGTCAAGCTCTCCCTTCTTCATCTGCGCGTACTTCTCTTGGACACGTTCAATGACGAACTGATGGAGGTTTAGCCATAAGAACACGGCAAATCGGGTAGCACTCACGGTAGCCAGGATCTTATCTGAATCTACCAAAGCTTTCCAGCGGTCGCCGAGTAGGTAATAGAGCACCCTCCATACGACTGCAGGAAAGAGCCCGCGCTGACCGATGCAATCAGGCGACGGGGAGGTTTGGAGCGCACAAGTCCACGTACAAGTATCGCGCGCGTCGGCCAGTCATCGACTGCTCGGACTAGATAGTTGACGTCCTTTCCCTGGGCGCGGTCCTTGAGCGCGCCGATATCATAGTTGAAGGATGTGGTGCAGATGATGTCGACCATCATATCACGGAAGAGATGCAAGACATCAATGGCTTCACTGCCGGCGAGCTTTTCAAGAATCTGCACGAAAAGATGAGCATAGTACGCTAGAGACAGTCAGCTATGGATGATGGCTCACCTCGACTGTCTCGAGAATGCGGTCTTTCATCTCTGGTTGAAAGAGACTGACGTTTGTAGGAGTATAATGAGAAGCGATTGCTTTCCTGCGAGTAGCATGTGGACCATGTTCGAGTAGTGTCATCCTGTTATTATTAGGAGAGAATCTAGGGTAGTGCATGGAGTACATACGCCTGATCGGTGTCGTTCGCCATGAAACCTTTATAAAAACCGCCCTTTGGGAACTTGGTGTTGCTGTAGATATACTTGTTCGAAGCTGCGTCACAATAGGCAACTCTGTTGGGCGCGATCCGGACAATGGGGCCGTACAGCTCGAAGAGAGACTGGACTGCGCGACTCTGCCTGACGCGAAAGACGTGCGAAAGGAGCCATGCATTAGACACAGCGGCATACCAGGGACCAGGAACGTGTCGAAGGGGCGATATATACAATTGGTAGATCGTGTTGCCGAGGAAGCAAAGGGCAAATGTCGAGCCTAGGAGAGCCAGAATGTTGCCTCCGAAGAGTGAAGAGAGGATAGCCATAGTTGTCGCTCGGGTGGTCCACCTCAGAGAGGACGCCACGATCGCCGCGAGTGATACAAGCTATATACCATAATCAGGGTTGAGTCGCCCGGAGAGGACGTGTGCCGAGGGTCCGCCTGAGTAAGGTGCGCGTACTCCGACATACGGCGCGTGATGTTCTTCGAAGACTTTACAGTGGGGACTTCGAGGGCAAAACGGTGAGTGAGGGAGAGTCGAGGGAGATCTCGGGCGTAAGAGAGGTTCAACCATCAGAATTCGAAGCCACGTCACTACAGGCGCCGTATTATATTGTAAGGTGTTCAGAGATGCTTAGCATGGTATAATGCCGGCGCTCGATGGGTAAACCGGTGCCGGATCCTTGTGGTTGAAGACGAGCGGCAGGGGAGTCGAAGGGACAACCCGGCAGATGCCGCGTGGAAGTCTCACGAGGTCGCTCTGCCTTTGCTTGGCTTCAATGTGCAGGTTGGTACACCTCCTCGAGTGTCTAGATAGTGCAATATGGACAAGAAGCGGCGCCATAGCGCGTATGGTAGAGTATACGGGGCTACAGGAGGATACATCGGTCACGTTTCTACCCTATATAGCCACGGCCTTCTCCGCGTCAACATAGACGCTCTCATCAGGAAACGAGCGCTCACAGGAGAGCTGTCCAGCGAGGTAGGTGGTAGTGAGGACGACAGAACGCTTGTCATCAGAATTCGAGACCGCGCTTAGCTCGTTAACCTGTGTGGTAAAGACGTTCTCTTCGGCTCCGGCGGTAGCGGGACTGGTGGGAATGGGGTCAGGATGAGCGCCAAAGAGCACTGGCGCTGGATGACGGGCCGTTGGGTATTGATCATTGGTCGGGAAAAAGTTGTGCGAGTCGGCGCGAGCACGAATGTCTATGATCTGAACAAACATGAGTCCCGTCGAGTAGCGACAGTCAGTGAAGGAGACCATTGCGCACCATCCGGCAAGCCAGGATGGGGCTTAACATGATGCTCAACGGGATCATGATCGCAGACATCTCCGAGTGTGGTCTGTGATAGAGTGCGTGAGATAACCTGATTGCGTAGATGTCTCAAAGCGCTTCGAGCTTCGAGCTAGCCATTGCGGGGTCCCCGACTCCGCCAAACCCTTCGCTTAAGGAAAGATACGTACTGGAAGTAGAAGATACCGTTCATCAGGTTGGCGCCGGAGATAAAGAAGTAGTAGAAAAAGCCCTCCTTCAAGAACACCTGGATAGTTTGACTGGCCGAACCGCCGCGTTGACGCATTGACAAGGTCTTGACCAGCGTGATGACGGTAATGATGGTATCGAATGAAAGCGGTGCAACGAAGTAACCTGAACCGGGCGTCCACGTCAGCGACAGAGCCGTGCGTAAGAATATAGACGCGCCAAGGATCTGAGCCTGGCCAGGTATGGATCTCGGCAAACAGGGGCCAGTATTTCCAAGGAAGGGAAGTGCTGATTGTATGGTCAGAATCTAGGGTGATGTCAGTGAAGACGGGAACGCACGTATCATGGCTGACGTTGCTACATAAATCTGATAAGACAGCAGGCCGAGCATCATGCAGATCAGTGCCGCCAGGAGCCTCTTGTCTCTACCAAAGAAGGCGTACGTGCGGATGAGAAGAATACCTTCAGTTGCGCTTGTCAGTCGTCTGTACGTGCGAGACGACACCAGAAACTCGCCTTCTGCTCCGAACTGATTGGGTGTTGCCAAGATTACAGGGATCTGTACGAGAGTTCAGACGTAGACGACGAGATGAGTCAACGCTGAAAGACGTACTTTGTATGCCCAGCTACAAAAGCTCCACTCGTGATTGGTGCAGAACTCCCACAGTATGTAAGGCATGACGGCGAGAACATAGTAACGCGTGAAGAGATATAGACCTTTGACGACAGTCCACTGTGCTTTCCATATCTTGATAATGACCATGACAGAAGGCTGAGACCCAATCTGGCTAGATAACTCACGTATCGCCGCTCGTCCGGGATACTAACGATCCAGTCCCAGATACATACAGCGTCTGTACGATTGTCAGACCGGAGTGCAGACAGCGAGAAGGGAGTAGACGCACACATGCCTGATAACACAGGACGTCATAGTGTGAGCTAGCCGAGCATGCTAAAGACACCCACAGCAGAAGTGGTATTGTGACCTATGCTCTTGCTCAGTACTGTGGACAACCGAGACACATTGTGAACTGACACCTGGATCATCTTCGCGGCCAAGGATGGGCTGAATGGAGACATGAAAGGCAAGTCCGGCTTTTGTGAGAGAGGTAAGGACTCCGAGAGTCCCAGGAGCACGTTCGCCGTATATAAATGGACATGCAACTATGGGAGGAACCTGTCATCTCCGCAAAACGTACTGAAACCCAGGATGCGACCATGGAAACCCGTCCGTTGGCCCCCTACCTCAGGTCACCGCTCAGCCCATCATGGGATACGGCAAATCCCGCTACAATCCCACTAACAATGCCAACATAGACGGTGAGACGTAGGTAAAGACGAGTGCCGTTTCGGTCAAGTGATACGTCTATAGCTCATGATAAGCGTCCATAGACTGACCTTCAAGCAGAGGGACTGCATTCTCAGGGAATGAGAGCCACATTGGGTAGCCTTCTGAAGAAGCACAGCTCCATGGCGAGTCCCCGTTGATGATGCAGAGTGAAATCTTGAGATTGGCATCGGCGAAGGGACTCGTACGTCGCGGTCTGATAGGCGCGTCACCATGAAGACCGAGTCGAAGCTCAAGCCAGCCTTGCTAGAAGCGGAATATGATGCTTTCGCGCGACAGCCGCGTACATTCTATGCCCCATGGATACTGGTCTGTGATGCCGCCGGGGGAGTGGTGGTCAAAACCAAACAGTTACCGCCGGCAAGGGTTCATCCAGACTTACATCCGGCCCGAACGCCGAGCTCGCCGTCGGCGGACCGGATGCGGCGTGTTGGAGTTCGGAAACACAACGATGCTTGTCTCCACCACCTTCGACTCGCAACTCGCGGGAGGGTTGGCAACATGCATAATCACACTATGTCTTCATACCTTGCTACGAACGAAGAGGTCGTTGGGTACCCTTAGTGTGCTTCTACTTGCCCTGCATACTGGATACTTGGCGTATACATTATGGACCTCGCATCCCCGCAATCTTTTCGATGATCTCGGAATACATATGACTGCTGGCTCGGACAGGGTCGCTCGCAGGCTGAAAGAACGTGCGCTGGTGGACCCTGTGTATGCTACTCCTGCCATGGAGGAACTGGCCGCAAAGCTGTCGTCCATGTCCATGCGCGAACGACTCATCCTGTACGTGCACTTATAGTCTCACCATCTTGCTTCGTGCTCATGTGCCGCAGATATGGTCAATCCGCGCTGAATGTACCTTCAGTCTCTGCGGAGCACACCTATGTCGTTCTTGCCACTATCGCCGCGCCAATACTCGCCTACGTCGCGGAGGCTGCGTTCGTCGGAACGCTCACAATGTACAACTCCGGCCTGATGCATAGACGCAAGTTCGCTATGTACACTCTGGCACTCGCGGCTGCGGTGGAGATGTGGTGGCTGCACATGGGAGGAGGAGCCACTGCGACTATACGGCAATATCAGCCGACATTCCTGGTACGCTTGTCCCTCCACTGACCTGGTGTCATCAATCTAACACGTATTCCACCAGCCGCACGCGTATGCATGGTCGGCTCGCAACCTCTTCTTTCTCGTCTTCCCAGCCGCACTTACATTCTTCCCGCCGTTGCACAAGGTTCCAATTATCGGTCTCTTCGTCCGAAGACCGCAGGCCGGAGCTGCCATATCCCACGCGCAGCTGGCGTTAGGACTCGAAGTCCTGTCGGATCGTCTCTCATTCCTACGTTACGGCTCGGGCGCCATTCGCCGCGACGAGAGTCTGGCAGAGCGTGCCGATGCACACTGGGCGACGGAGCGCGAGGTGGCCGCGCACATGTGGAACAATCCTGGCGTACGCGAGAAAGCCCGCCAGCTTGGGATTGATGTAGACTCTCTTGGAAAGAGCGGTCGTGGGATGGGTGCTGACGTACACAATGAAGTGATGAGGTGGACGCGCGTGAGCGTTGGTGCCCAGACGAGCAATGGAAACGCGTCAGTGATCATCACCTTTCCTCACTTCCTGTTCTGACCATAGCACTTGCAGAGCTGCGCGGTGACCTTCACGCAGGGCATTCATCAGGCCTTGTTCTTTCACCGGTATGTGCAAGCGAAGAGCGCTGCGTGCCCGTGTATGATACAAATCTACTATATGGTATACAAACAAAACAACATATTGCATATGGGAGATGATAGGAGTTGTACAAATGTCCTTGGATGATTACCACAGTCTGGATTTCCTAGCTGTCGGCGACGTATTCGTCGGGCTTGCCGAGTTCTGCATTTGCTCGAGCAAAGCCCATGCCCTTTCCTGACTGATCTCAGCCTTCGCGATGGCCTCCCGCGCCTCGGCACGAGCCTCAGCGACGCCGCGCTCGAGCTTGCGCTCTGCGCTCTCGCGAGCTTCGCGTAAGAGCTGTTCGCGCGAAGCAGCATGACGCTCCGCTTCCTGTACACGTCTTTCGGCGCGTTCGTCTACTGCGGCAAGCGCCCGCGCGTGCCGCTCTTCTAGCTCTCGTACACGAGCATCGTGTCGATCTTCGAGCTCGCGTCGTGCATCAATCTGCGTCTGCACGTCGCGACGCAGCCGCTCTACCTCTTCCTTCAGCGCACGTTCGCGGTCAGCTGCATCCTGCAAGCGCTGCTCCGCAAGATAACGTTGCAGTTCCGCGTGCATGACCTGGACTGAGAGAGATTGAAGGTATGATTAGCGCCTGCATACAGCGGATAAGGAAGTTCGGCTACCTTGGCTAGCTGGGTCCTGATCCCGTTCAGGTGTGGGACGATTGCGCTCGCTCCGGCGCTGAACATCAACTTGTACAAGCTGGAGTCCCGAGCCGAGGCCCTGCTTCTCACTTGAGCTCGCCGGCCAGGAAACATGCCGGTCGCGAGGGGGCATTTGAGGTCTTGCGTCATCGTCAGGAGACGAAGACCGTGATAAGGGTTGCTCGTGCGTCTCCGGGCTCGTTTGCGGAGAAGGGCTCACAGGTGGGAGCTCCACTGAGTAGCGAAGGGAGCTTCGCGAGCTATGAGCAGCTTGACCGACGAGGTCGACAAACTCGACTGAGCGTGAGGATAGGTTCGCCGTCTGCGAACGATAAAGACCATCGACGGTTGCCCGCCGTGTTGGTGCATGTTGTACGTTCGCAGAGCCATGCGAACTGGAGGAAGCGTATGCCGATTCGTAGGATGATTCGCGAACAAGAGGGATACTATTGGCGTTATGCTGCGGTACTGCGTATACAGGTGCCGGCGAAACAAGAGAGGAAGTGCGATGCCTTCCACCCTGCGAGCTACTAGAACGTGGGAAGTAGCCTGACTGGGGAGATGCGATGGTGGAACGCGGGCGTTCCGGACGCGGAGTCTGCGACGAGCGGCCAGAGCTCGACTTGATGCTCTTGGATCCAGAGCGCTTGAGCTTCTTGTGTGAAGAAGACGACGAAGAGCCGTTGACGGCGGATAAGATGCTGGTCATGATAGGTTGTGAAGTTCGATTGTTGTTGCGCGATTGAGGGATCGATGGCATAGCACGCCCGGTGCTAGCCCGTGGTGGTTCGAAACAGGCGTGATCGCGTGTGAGTCGCGTCTTGCACTTGTGCCTTGTTCGCCGCGCCTCGGCCCTTGCCGTCTTCCTCCTGCCTCGAGGCTCGCGATCTCGGGTCACTGGTTCCGTTCCTTTGGCTTTCCCATAAGAAAAGGGAGCAAAATGACGACAGTGGGATTCGAACCCACGCCCTTTCGGACTAGATGAGCTGTAAAGCCTGATTCTAGCGCCTTAGACCGCTCGGCCATATCGCCATGTAGGATACTCGTATACGTGAGCATATAATCAATTGCGTTTGTGCAGTTACCACCCGGGACTCGCGGGATTGACTTGACTCTTACTTTCATCTCTCTCGGAGTGTGGACACAGCGATGTCAAGCCTATTCAGTTGTGACTGCGAAGCATGCCTGAACTTGCTACCTCCGTCTCTCACGGAAATAAAGCAGCTCGTCGGTGGTGCGACCGCGTTCTTCGTTTGTCTGCCAAACAAAGTGTCGACTGTAGAGCTGTGTGCAGCACGCAGTGCGCGTTCACAAGGGCCTTCTTCTATCGCTTTGTCCAGGTCACAATATGCATAGCAACTGCATTGATATCTGTGGCTCATGTAGGCCGGTGATGCTGTGTACATTGTGTTGTAACGAGTTACCCTTGCTCTGTTGCTATGTGTGTGCTTGTCCGAGCGCTCTGCGCGCACCCATAAAGACTCGCAAGTCGGCGGTCTTGCAAGATCCCCAGCCCCTCGCCAGGCCTCGTCTTCATTCATGGCCTCCGACTCAAGCCTCTCCCGCTCTGTAGTCTCCTATACGGAGTACAGGGATATCGGCGTTCTCGGTGGTGCGTCCCACACTTCACCACCGTAAGCGCGTCATCAGCTAACTGATGGGTCGATATCACCACAGGTGCAGAGCTCAACTTCGAAGCGCAGGGCCCGGTCTGCGTCGATTTCAATCGCAGTATACGCTTGTTCGACCCATACCACGTCTTCAGGAACTCAAGGTCGTATGAGCCTGTCAACATTCGACCAGATTCATGTGCCATCCGAATGAGCGTGAACCCGAACTACGTAGATCCCGCTCTCAAGCGAGGGATTCTCTCTGGGCAGGATGGTAAGAGGCAGGCTTATGACGACGATCGGTTTTGCGTCCCCGTCGGGTCGAACCCAGACGCCGTGACAACACCGTCTGTGGCCACTCTCGGCCGAACTGTCGATAGGAACTCCACCAGCAGCCTGACACACTCGGAGGAGTTCGACGAGCTCGAGAATCTTCACGATCAAGAGCTTGCTCTGCGCTGCGCAAAGGTCATCAAGGAGACTATCAAAGCCCTTGAGCGTGTGCTCACTTGTATTCGAACTCTCGAGTTCATCAAGGGGCCATGCTTCCGCGAGCCGTCTCGCGCTCAGACTCGGAGCAACATGTTGCGAAGACTGACTCGTACGGGCACCCAGTAGAGGACTTCTTGGGACCATGTTGTATCATCGGACTACTGAGTACATACTTTGGACAATCCTTCCCGGCCCGCTACCCATTCATCCACTTATCCACGCAAATTGTACATTCTTCCGTAGCCATTATGTTTAGTAACCCAACAATCAAGTCAATATAATCACCACCACACTTCACGATCTTATTCCTGTACGCCTGACCGGGTAACCAGAAGACAATGAACAACAAAGCCATATGCATTTCAACGCAAACTCCACCAGCGGAGCCGCACAACAAGATGACAGAGCCAGAAATAGTACACAGCGTAGGTATCATGCGCGCGTTCGGTATATATGTTAACAATCATCCAAAAAAAAGATCACAAAGCCCGCACTCCCCCGCCAACGACGTGCTTTCAGTGCCGCCTATCGTCCCACTGCTGTCCTCCTCCATACTCTCCTCCTCCTCCACCACCGCCGCCGCCAGAGCCGTTGTACCCCGCATCGCGTGGTCGCCCTCTTCCGCGACCTCTTCCTCTTCCTCGTCCCCCCCTTCCACCACCTCTTCCTCCTCGCCCTCCTTCATGTCCACCACCACCACGTCTTTCTTCAGGATAGTCGTCGCGCTTAGGCGGTACAGCTTGAATGGGCGGAGGCGGAGGCGCTGGTGGGTTCTCGATCCTCTCTTGCAACGACGGCATGCCAATCCTATCCCTCAAGCTTCCCGCAGGCGCTGGAGCACGCTCAGGCTCGTTCGCCCGCATGGGTCCACCAGTGTACTGCGCCGGGCGCTCGTCTTGCCTTGACTGCGGTGGCGGATGATTGAACGGTGCTCCACGATCGCTGTACGACGCCCCACGACCGTGCCCCTGCCCATGTCCCTGTCCCTGCCCATGTCCATTCCGACTCCGATCTTCAGGACGCGTCTTGAACGGCTCGCCAGGATCGACAAACTGCTCGTTCTGATCCGGTCTGTACGAGTTGGCGTTGGCGTTCGCATTGGCATGCGAAGAAGGACCAGCGCGCTTCCGTCCGCCGCGATTCCCGGTCTCGAACGGTACGCCGCGTTCGACTTGCTGCTGCTGAGGCGGCCTGACGTCCCTATGCGCGTACCCGCCGTCCTCTCTCAGTCCTCTCCCTCCTCCACCTCTCTCCCTCCCACGCTTCTGCGTCTGCGTCTGGGGTTGAGGCTGAGGCTGGTCGAAAGGTCCCGGACGTTGCGGCTCCCTCTGCGGCTCCGAGCGTGCGTGCACAACTGTGATGGCGGGCGCAATGTCGCGCACGTCGGCGTACGAGTTGTTGACGCGGGGAGCCTGCGCCTGCGCCTGCGCCTGCGCCTGCGCCTCTTGTTCGCGCTGCTTCTGCTTGTTCCAGCCGCCATGACCAGACCTCGCCCAGCCAGGGTTCGGGTCCACCACGGGCTCGGGCTCCGGTTGAACATACACGGCCGGAGATGGAGCCTGGCGTTGTATCACAGGCGAGTGCGAGGCGCGGGAGGTGGGTGGCGGAGGACCCGCGGGTGAATCGGTCGGACCCGAACGAGTCAGCTGGAATTGTATTAGCCCTTTAGTGATTGACAGGGAAATGTGGCAACGCGAGACGTACGCGGAGACGAGGCGGGCGAGCGCCGAGGTCTTCTTCAGATGGCCCGTTGCCGATGTCGTTGCCGTTCGTAACGTATTGAGGTTCACGGCGTGGAACGGCAGGCGATGGTCGTCGCTCGCGATAATCGTACTGTTGGTCGTAGTCCATCGGCTCTGCTGGTGACGGACGTTCTCGGTGGCCTTGATTGTTCTATGTCGCAATCAGTTTCTAAAACACGAGATGAGGGAGGACATTACGTACAGAGTATCTGCCTCTCGGCTCGGCTGGTAGTTCAGGCATCCTCTGCCTTGCATCCTATACAACCCATCAGCTTTCTGGATCCTCATCCAAAGCAAGCACAAGTACTCACCCTCCGAGGAGGCTCCGACGGCCCATACTGTTCGTCCTCATCATACTGATGGCTCTGCACCGCACGCCGCTGCTCCGGCGGACCGAGACGTGGCGTGCTCTGATGGCTCCCATCCGTGCCAGACCCGGGTGCGTAACGCTGTTCGGGCTCGAAAGCGCGTTTGCGACCGCGCTGAGGGGGCGGCGGGGCTTGCTGCTGCTACACATCCCCGTTAGCAAACTTGCTCTGGAGCGACATGCAAAAGATGGGTCCGCGTACCTCGTAAGGTTCATCTGCGTACGCAGGCCCTGGCGACGGTGCGCGCCCATTCGTCTGTCCGCGCTGCCCACGCCGCCCATTACCGTCTCTCGGAGCGTATTCCTGCGACTGCGTCTGCGGGGGTGGCTGGTGGCGTCCATGTCCCTGTGTCGGTCCTTGTCCTTGTCCGTGATCGTAGTACCCGGGTCCGTCGACAGCGGAGTACGATGCCCGACGCCGACGTCCCTGTCCTCGTTCTTGGCCGTGGCCTTGCTGAGGCGCGTACCCGACGTTTGTGCTGAGTTGCGCCTGGCTCTGCGCCGGCGGAGGCAGCGGTGATGCGTACTCCGGCTTTTGTCGTTGTTGAGGAGGCGCGACCTGCGGAGGCGGGTCATACCGCCCGCGGTTTTGACGTTGAGGACGAGGCTGCGCCGACCCATAGTCCGACCTTTCGAACAGAACATTCCGAGTAAGTCACATGATGTAGCGTTCGAAGCTGGCAAAAGCGCACTAACCCGGATCCGGAATATGCTTCTGCGTCCGAATGCGTCCGCCTTTCGTCCGGCCTGTAGCTGTCGTAGTGCTGCCTCACAGCAGGTGCGGGTGCGGGCGCGGGTGCAGGTGCGTGCGCGATGTCCTGGCGGAACCTCTCGTCTTGCGGAGGTAGCGGGTTCCGGCCTGGATAAGAAGAAGCGGGAAGATACGTGAGGACCGGAGTATGAACGATCGCTAGAGCGGGGCGCGTACGCGGTGGAGGGGGAGGAGACGGCGGAGGAGGCTCCACGTATTCCCTAGGCGCTTGCTGGTACGTCTGGCGATCGTCGAGTCGACGACGTTTGGGCGCGCCCTGATCGTCGGGGTAGGACGACGGAACGTAATGGTCCGAGGTAGTGCGGCCGCGCGGTTGCGGAGGGCCAGCGAAACTCTCGCGTTGCACAGGAGGAGCAGGACGCGATGGACCAGAGTGACCAGCCTGAGGAGCGCCGCCGCGTCCATTGCGACCACCGCGGGTATGGACAGACGCCGGAGGAGGCAGCGGGGAGGGTTCGCGATGCGAGTATGATGCCGATGAGCCGCGGTACGGCGACGCGCTGCGGGGTCCTAAATGATCAAAGAGAGGGGGAAAGATGGTTCGTTGAGAATGGGTTTCATGTAATGGCGGAGCAAAGAGCGAGCGGTCCGTATGAGCCAGGTTTCGAGTCCAGGTGCAGCGACGACAACCCGTAAAGTAAGAGACGCAATCTTCGCAACTTGAGCGTTGCGGTATGTTTGATGCTGTGGCATCCCCAGGGCTTCCTCGGATAAGTATCGCTTAACAGGATGCCTCCTCCTCCACCCTGAGACCAGACGAAGGACGGATGTGAGGGTGGGTGGAAGGATGCGGACAACGTACTCAGGGATGTAGGTGGCTGTCTGTGCTGGTACGCGGGCGGTTGATCATCCATATCATAGTCTGCATCCATGCCAGGCGTGTAAAGGTCCCCCCGTCGGTCGTTGATTTGCTGCGGATATCCAGAAGCAGCGTGACGAGGAGGAGCATTGTCAAAGTATCCGTCAGAGCCGTGGCCATTGTTGCTGTAGTCGTTGCGGTATCCAGAGCCCATAGGCGGCATATTCACAGGAGTAGTAGCCGCAGACACGTGAGCAAGTGCAGAGTCTTCTCTATTGAATCGAGGCTGGCCGCGTGGCAGATGAGCGCCCGGCTCATACAAATCATGACCATAACCTCTGTCGGCAGGCGCACGATCATAAGATTGACGTTCCAGTTGACGTTCCGAATGCAAATTGGGGGGCGAGATGCGCGGGGCAACATTCGCCGGGACAACGTCAGTCATCTGGACGTCTTGAGGATGATGGCCGTAAGAAGCAGGAGGGCCAGGTTGCCGTTGATCAAGGTCCGACGGACGATAATGCCTGTCAGATTGTTGCAGGCGTGTGGAGCCACCACCGCCCGCTTCACGAGCAGGACGGCGAGTTTGAGCGTGAGAATCAGATGGCGTATATCTATCGCCAACAGCGCGCCCGCCTCCGCGGGACGCACCAGAGCGCTTTCTGCCGCCTCGACCGCCGCGGGAATCTTGAGGCGGCGGACGGCTGTAGCCATTATCTTGATGAACGCGAGTGGGAGAGCCGTTGTTAGCTACTTCATCAAGAGCTCTAGTCGGCGACTGATCAGCCACGTTTTGGACAGTTCGCCGCTGCTCGGCCTGCTTGCGCCGGGCGACAGAGATAACTTCGTCTGTGGGACGCGCGGGCAAACCGTGCGGGGCGGCAAGAGGGGAAATCAAGGGATCACGCTCCTCGTGATCGTCGACTGGCGAGTGAGATCTAGAATGAGCAGCCGGAGGCTCGTACTCGCCCTGTTCGTCCAGGTGCTGCTGGTCTGCGTCGTCGCCGAGCGACACCGCGTCGTCCTCGTCTTGCGGTGGTGGTTGCGGCGGTGCATCCACGTGGTCGTTGTTGTTGGGAGGGAGCTGCTGGAGGTCGTCGTCGTGGGACCAGTCGAGCTGCAGCTCGTTGTCGTCGTCCATGTCCATTCGCTCGCGTGGTGGGTGCAGAGGACAAGGCGAGAGGTCGGTCGGTGGCGCGCGTCGGTGGCAAGCACGCGTCTCTGATCGCGCTTCCCTTTTGGATCGTTATTCGGGCCCTTTTGGGAAATACCGACCCCGGCCCGCGTCCTCCGCCCTGGGTGCAAGTCAACTCCTTCCTGCACGACCAACTCTGGGGCAGACGGTAGACAAGCTGACGGCCCAACGACGCTTCAGAGCTATCCGTCTCGCGACGCACGACGACATGCCCATCCTCCCCCTACAGTCTCCCTTGCCAGACGGCTCCTTCCCCCGCCAACCGCCACGAAGCAATGGCGGTGTACCTGTCATCTTCAAGAGGCTACTGCGCTTCAACCAGATGGTATAGTCCCCATGTACGATCTGTGTGCTACGTGTCGACCAACGTGTAGTTATTTGTAACAGGACTTTGAGCTCGCGGCATGGCAGCTCATGTATCTCTGTTTGGCGCCCAAACGAGTGTACGTTGCAGAGCCACATCTTTCGTACCAGTATTGACGCGTTCTACAGGTACCGCAACGTATACTTCCACAAACGTGCGTCTCAGTTGCTGCTCTGAGCGATCAAGCGCTTACCCGGTTTCAGAAACGAAAAATACTTGGGCGCGAGACGACCCGGCAATACTCATCCTCATAGCGGGCTGTTTGACAGGTATGCTCCCAATCACAACTCTAATTCCCCATACCCGACTTCTCACCTTCCTTTCCCATCTACATAGCTGCCGCAATAGCCTGGTCAATAGCATGGCGTCTCACTCTCTTCGCGACTCTCAAGCTCGCCGTCCTGATGATCACTCGCGACTTCCTCCTCGTCGGCCTCTTACTCTCGACACTTCTCTGGGCCTTCGCCAACCGCGCACTTCTGTCGCCTCCATCACATACTTCGACGAGCGATGCGAGCGTGGAATGGGCGTACGCGTTCGATGTACATACCAACGCGTTCTTCCCGTGCTTCTTGACGCTTTACGTCGCGCAACTGTTCCTGTTGCCGGTGCTATTGAAGACGAACTGGGTCTGTTTGTGGATCGGGAACACGTTGTACCATGTCGCGTGAGCGGATGTTCACTCTCGTCGCGCCGAACCGTTCCGCTGATGTCTCCAAAGAGCTGCGCAATACATCTACGGCTTATATCTTGGCTTCAACGGTGAGATCTTTCTCTCTTCACATCCCGATCACGCTTCAACTGACATTCATTCGTGTTAGCACTGCCATTCCTCATCAGGACAGAGTTCCTCCTCGCGCCTCTGCTACCCACAGCAGTAGGCTACATCCTCTCCCTCTTGGGCTTCAACTTCGCGCGACACGCGCTCCAGCTGTATTTCGGGTCCATATAGAACGGCGACGTTGGGATGTACAACAATGTGCGGGACATAATAATATTTTTGGAAGATTTCGCGGCATGTGTGATGGTGTGCGTCATGCTTGACAGTCCACCAGCAGAAGAGACGATCGGTCGTCTGTTATGTCCGTATAGTGAGAGCTTCATTCAGGCATTGGGATCCTCGCATCGTGCAGGGGCAGCCGGCTATACACGACCCGCGTCAAAGCCGCGTCGCGAGGACGAGCAGGCACCGAGACAGCACTTCAAGTTGGCTTCATGACCAGCCCGCTCTCTGCACTCTATTGCGATCTTCACTTCGCTGTGCGCACAAGACTGCCGCCGTCCTAGCCGTGTATACTTGAGAACCATAGTCGAATACATCCCCACGCTTGTAGACGCGTCTATAGCCAACAAGGCGCGCTTGACTGCGCTGTGGCGAGTGTTCAGATAGCCGTCCGTACCTGTCCGGTAACCACGCCTACCGCCATAGCCCCGCCAGATCACTTCTGGCCGAGGAAAGAAGGCGAGAAGGCGCTCCGTAAAGCATATGTAATCGGGCTGCCATTGGGCGTGCATGCGCGCGATGGAGATTGGAGCGCGAACTGAGCCCAGCCGCCGCGCGGCGTTGCGCGGATCCCAGTCGCCCTTTGCCTTCTGCCCGCCACCACGCGACGCAGGGCAGCCCCGAATACCCTCCTCCTCGTCTTCTTCTTCTATACCTCTCTCAATAAGTCACGACTCCCGTTAGACATTTAACGATAAATAGTCACGATGGGCTCGAAGCAGGCGTTGTACCAGAAGGCCATCGCCCAGATCAACGTCAAACCCGAGGAGGAGATCGACTTTACGCAGCACCAGCTCGAGAATGGGTATACCATTTCCACACAGGAGCGTGTGGTGAAAGAGGTAATATGTCATACATCTATGTGTTCTATCGATACTGAAACCTCGCGTGACTTGTGCAGGTGCAAGCGCCGGCAATGGTCCCGCCGAGTGACGACCAGTTCTTCTCGCGCGAGGACCCGACCAAGCCGGACGTCGCGTTCTTGAAGAACCATTTCTACCGCGAGGGAAGGCTCAGGGAGGACCAGGCTTTGTATATTATCGAAAAGGCGACCGAGATCTTGCGTGCGGAGCCCAACTTGCTGTCCGTTGACGCGCCTGTCACCGGTGCGCCGCTCTCATACTCGCGCACGTGGGCGAAGTGTTGACAAGTTATATAGTTTGCGGTGACATTCACGGACAATATGTATGTTTCGTTGCTTGGTGAGATTCCCTGAGTGATGCTGACAACAATGCAGTACGACCTCATGAAACTGTTCGAGATCGGTGGTAACCCCGCCACGACCCGTTATCTCTTCCTCGGCGACTACGTCGACAGAGGATACTTCTCCATCGAGGTACGACTTCGCCCGATAAGTCCGATATAGACGCTCATGTTAGTGGGCAGTGTGTCCTATATCTCTGGTCGCTCAAAATCTGGTATCCCAACACGATCTTCCTCTTGCGCGGCAATCACGAGTGTCGCCACTTGACGGATTACTTCACCTTCAAACTCGAGTGTACGTTTATACTCTCCAACTGACCATACTCGGTCATGCTGACGCGATGATAGGCAAACGCAAATACTCCGAGCGGATCTACGATGCCTGCATGGAATCCTTCTGCGCCCTCCCCCTCGCAGCAGTAATGAACAAACAGTTCTTCTGCATCCACGGCGGCCTCTCGCCCGAACTCAACACCCTGGACGATATCCGCTCCCTCGACCGTTTCCGCGAGCCGCCCACTTCGGGTCTCATGTGCGACATCCTCTGGTCGGACCCGATCGAGGAGTTCGGCTCTGAAAAGACGCAAGAGAACTTCGTGCACAACCACGTCCGCGGGTGCTCGTACTTTTTCACGTACCAGGCCGCGTGCCAATTCTTGGAGCGGAATCGGCTGTTGAGTATCATCCGGGCGCACGAGGCGCAGGATGCGGGGTACAGGATGTACCGCAAGACGCGGACCACGGGCTTCCCGTCCGTCATGACGCTCTTCTCCGCGCCGAACTACCTCGACGTGTACAACAACAAAGCCGCGATCCTCAAATACGAGTCGAACGTGCTCAACATCCGGCAGTTCAACTGCACGCCGCACCCGTACTGGCTGCCGAACTTCATGGACGCTTTCACGTGGTCCTTGCCGTTCGTGGGCGAGAAGATCACGGATATGCTGGTGGCGGTGTTGAATACGTGTACGAAGGAGGAGTTGGAGGAGAGCAGCGACGAGGATGAGGAGGTCAAGCTTGATGAGGCGACGAAGGAGGAGCCGAGCGAGGAGACGCTCGAGAGGAGGAAGGTTATTCGGAACAAGATTTTGGCCGTGGGACGGATGTCCAGGGTGTTCTCTTTACTTCGGTACGATTCCACGGAGATTTCTCCATTATATCCACAGGTACTAACGGCGATACAGCGAGGAATCCGAACGCGTCTCCGAACTCAAGAACGTATCCGGCTCCGCAAAGCTCCCCTACGGTACCCTCGCCTCCGGAGCAGAAGGCATCAAAGACGCTATCTCCGGTTTCGGCGACGCCCGGCGCGCAGATATCGAGAACGAGCGCTTGCCGCCAGAGCTCGTCGACGCAGAGTCTGAAGAAGGAAGAGCGTACATGTCGCAGCCGCAGACGCCGTCTGAAGCAGAGATCTCGCCTGCAGCTGGTTTGGGCGAAGCACCCAGCCCGCGCGCATTGGAAGAGGCATTGTCCGTATCTACCAGCTCGCTCCCCAGCTCAGGCGGACCGGCCACGCCTACCAGCCCATCGTCGCCTTCAATCAGTCCGTTCAGGCGTGGTCACGGCCGCCAGCAATCGCTCGGCACAACTATGACTTCCCCATCTACGCGTCGCAGGAGCATCGAGAGCACAATGAGCCTACTGAAAGAAGCGAGCGAAGGACGGGAGAGAGATGCAGAGTTCGAGGCGCTTGCTGATCAGCTTGCGGGAGCCAGTGCTGGGGGGAAGAAGAGGGATAGTGCGCCTGTGCAGAGCCGATAGTGGGAGGTCGGCCTTGTGCGAGCGGCGGGCGGATAGGAATGGCGGCGGCGGCGCGATTGAGGATTTGGACGGCCGTGTCCATCGAGCTCTGTGCTGTCGTCAAGCTCGGACACGGACTCGGGCGGCGGTGGCGGCGGCGAGGCGCGATCGGGCTCGGCTCGGCGAGGGATGGGATCGTGAGCGTTTTGGCGGATTCTTACTCTTCTGTGGTAACACACGCTGTAATATTTGCATTTGTTCTCGGAAGGCTGGAAGAACAGACTGAGCTTGATCGTGGACTCCAGGTTGTTGGCGAAATGCGAATATATTTGGTTGGGAGGTGTGCGAGAACGCCAGTATGCGTCGGACACGCGTCGGCTGTGCCGATGCGTGCACCCGATGTAGCCGCCACCGCCATCTTCGAGCCGAGTAACGAACGCGTCGGCGCCCGTGCAAGCGTTCACTAGCACTGACGATTATAGTACACAGCGAAGATCGTGGGTCAGCGACTGGAGACCCGAATTAACACGCTGCGGGTGATACAGTATCGAGTACGGAGGCCGCGGTCGTTGAGAGAGTCGGTGAGTGCATGTTGTTCTGTTCAGGAGCTGCTTGCTGGCGATGACTGCTACTATGGACCACGAGACGGCCGCCGTATGGCTTCGAGAGACTCGGAGCCCAGCGTCTACGGTATAGGGCTTCGTTCACTGACTACAGCACAATCGCCCAGCGGGCGCTATAGCTGCAGCTCGTTGAGCTCCGAGTCGCTGCGGCGGCCGTAGAACTGGCGAACTTACGGGCTGAGATCGTGGTCTAGTGAGTGGTCTTGCGGTACAACAATGTTATGATGCTCACGGGAGGCATGTTTAATTACAGATCCGGGCACACAAGTGGCGGGGAGCAGGTCCATGGGCGCACTGGTCGCTGAGCGATGGACTGCGACTGGTTGCTGTAGATCCCATCGGCCGCCAGTTGTATTCAGTCTATCATTATGCTTGGTGAGAGATTTACATAAGTGTTCCCAGCGAGATACTGATAGAACTGATAGAAAGTGTAGTGCATATGCGTACGGCGACGGCGCGCAAGCTCAGACTTCGAGCGGTCACCTCAACCCTCTACGGCCGCCGTAATGGCGATTCGGAGAGGTTCACGCCCAGTACGAAGGAAGCCATCGTGGTCTAGCGGCACATGCGTTGTCGGTAGGCATATTTCCGGGATGATATGGTGGGCTGCGGACGCGGGCGCGCCGCTGGCAAAGGAGCAAGAGCGCGCGCGCGCTCATCTATTGAAGGAGTACAAGCTTTGGCTGGGCGGCATCGAGCGCGCTTGGGCGGCTATTCCGGTCTGTAGGAACAATATCTACAGGGCACAGATCGTAGGTTTGGTGTTGTAATTAGCAGGGCCACAGGGGAGCTTATTAGACTGCGGATGTATGCGCGCTCGCTTCAGGACGCTAGCTAGAAAGAGCCGGCGGCAACTTGAAGCTTCGTTGTGGCGCCTTCCATGCTTTAGGCGACTGGCTCCGTTGCATGATAGGTGGGGATGATCTTCTGTATGGAGGCAATAACAAGCTTGCTTATTCCTTGATGCGTTTCGAGCTTGCCATTGGCGTCTTCCGTGTTTGTCACTGCGCACACTATCGGACCGTGTGTGAGGATGTGGTCCTTAATGAGGGCATGTCTCTGCTTGTTAGAACTGTTTACTGTCAGTTTCTCAGCTTAGCGTGTCTCTCTAGAGGCTTGGGAGGGCCAGGAACGTTGCATCATGGGTAAACGTGCGCTGATATACGGATAAAGTACCGCCATATGTATGAATCTATCTGTCTGCTTACGAGTTACAAGAGTAGCGGCGCCCTGCGAGACTTGGAGGACCAGGAAGACTGGAGCATGGACTTGGGTAAGTCTTCGTATGGAGCCTTCCCCCACACACGTACTTGTTACTAATGAGCTTCAAGCTTAGTGTGGTACGTCCTATGCCTCGGATGGCTAGCAGAGCGCCGCCACTGTCCCGCGGTAGCACTGAACGGTAGTTTTCAGCAGCATAGTTACCCCGCGCTCGCACTGTATCACAGTCTGCGCACAGCTGACTGAGAGCCTGAATCGGTGCCACTGAGTTGCCCGGCTTTCTAGTCTGCTCTAGCCCGAAGCTTGCGTCTCAACTTCAGAGCTCGAGACCCGATATACCTGCTGATATACTGATTCTTCGGCGCCTATAGACACCGCCATGACAATGTCTCTTCCGAACAGAGGAAGCCGGCGGTAGCCTTACCGCACGCCCGGGGCGCCGTGCGGCGCGATGACCCTCCGACCTCTGTTTTCCGGGCCCATCGGCCAGCTTCCATTGCGCAGAGACCGTCGGACGCGGCGGCGCATATCGCGATGATAATACCATCTGCCCCATCTGCTCGGGTCGCCATAAGTACGACGGCATATGCTGGCCACAATCGATAGGACATCCGAGCTCAAGCCTCCCCCTCGTGTTCACAGATATCTCCCTCGTGCTCCCGGCCCTCTTCCGAGTCACCGAGCCTCTTCCACTCACGCCCTTACGCGTCATATTCGCCATGGCCCACCATCGCAGTCCGGCGTTAAGCGAGCGCGATATCCGTCTAGGTTCGTGCGGCCGCCCTCGAGTGCCTCCGGGCCCGCTGACCTCCTGCTGATCGTTTGTCCTGACCACAGCACTGGACACAACAAGCCAAATCCTCCTCGAGGCTGGCCAGACTCATCCAATACGCCTGCTCGTTGTAGGCGGCGCGGTCTCCGTGCTGAGGTGGCGCAACCGTCCCACGACCCAAGACGTGGACGTCTACCCGGAAGACGCCGCCAGCTGGGAGCGAGTGCACGCTGCATCGCGCACAGCCGGTGTTCGGCTGAATTGGGGTGCATTTGACTGGTTGAACAATCGCGCTGCGCGATTCATCGATGCGGACGGCGCGATGCGCCAATGGGCTGGCCGCGGTTTCGTCCCGGATGGCCGGCAGACGGTCGTGTACCAGTCGCGCGCCCTCATACTTATTGCGATGCCCTGGAATCTGCAACTGCAACAGAAGCTGCGTCGATTGACTGGTGGCGCGCTCATCGGAGGCCAGCGCGAGGCGGACATGATCGATGCGGTGGAGCTCGTGCGCGAGGTCTGCACCGAACATAGAAGGGGTATTAGCGCGACGGAGGTGCTCAATTGGCACGCAGTAAACCGCCTCGGTATCAACTGGGACGTCATGGCTACCGTGTCGGTGAGTCCATAGGCATAGCGAGCAGCGATTTTGTACTGACGTCTTGCTAGGCACGATACCGCGGCCGCTACCCGAATGCAGCCGGCCTCAACATGGTTTGAAGGATTGCATAATCTGCATAGTATAATCATCAGAGATAGAATATCAATAGTAATACGAGCAGTACCCCACCATATCTTGTGTATTTGTATCTTTACTCACCCTGTATACTGACCTGTACGATCGCTGTCGTTGACATACACGAATTGTATCGCTTGATTTGCTCACCGACGTGATCGACTGATTAGGTTGCAGCAACTTCCTGGGTCGCGTCCAGCGAAGCGGCGCAAACCCCGAATCCATACGCCGCCCGCCGCTTACGCACACGATCGCAAGGCGCTCATCTCACGATTGCACCCGCCAGCTTCCTGCGTCGAGCGCTGGGACGACTCAGGACAAGCGCGCGGCGCACTGACTTGGCGGCGTGCGGACGATCTACGATCGTCGGCGATCTGAGAAAGGAAGATGGATGCACCTGGGATGTTGTCGTCCATATGCATGGACCGGTGCTCTTGAGTGCCCTGCAGTCCAAACCTTGACTGCGCCCAGGATACAATGCACCCGCCAACGCAAAACCCAAGAATAACATCCGGTTTAAATTACCCAGCTATACGTTCTATACATTTCGGAGCCAGATTACAGCGACGGTAGCCTTGTTGGCTACTGCGACATGACACGCCACTTAGTGATAGGTAAAGCTGTGAACCATTGTCAGCTCTCCGATCAGATGCAACTACGATAGCAGGGGACGTACATTGCAGCCTACGCGCCGTCGGTATGATGTAGGCGATCAAGAAGATGACGGCAAAAGATATGCAGATTCCCGATACTGCGTAGTATCCATCGCGTCCCATGTGGCACGTTCCACCAAGGTCACTACAGCTGGCCTTGCCCTCGTCGCTGACGCAATCCGGCATAGTCATGGTGAGTTGGCCGCCACCGAGCTTCCCTTCAGGCACGTCGCACGTCGCGACGGTGAAGAAGTCGATGCCTTTGAAGATGAAGTACTTGGGCCAGGTGCCGCCAAGGTTGGTGAATGTGTTAAGAAGAGTCATGTAGGTGCCGCCGATGAGCGGATCGGCGATGCGGGTGTGGAATGCGGAGACGCCCACGAATTGGATGGTCCTGTGAATGCAATCAGCATCCGGATCGCATACCGAGGATCATCAGGGGAACGTACTGAGTGAAGTTCATCAAGACGGTGTGGACGACAAGATAGATGAAGAAGCCCATCGACACCGGTGGTGTTGGGAACCAGTATAGCACTGCGAGTCCCACCACACAGAAGCCGAGACGCGGCCAGAAAGCGAATAACCATGGACGCAGCGGCTTGTCACCCATACTGTATCGCGCAGCGAGCCATCCACCGAAGATTTGGAACGGGAAGTCGATCAAGACTGCAATAGCCAAGTCCTCTTTGCCGAGGCCATGTTCGACTAACTTGAGTGAAAAGGCCGCGTCGTTGGCTGCAAAGCCGATCTTGCAGAAGCCATAGACCACCAGCAACTCTTGCACCTCTGGTCAAGACATATCAGACGTCGCTCTCAGATAGGTCCGAAGGCGAACGTACGCTTCAACTTCATGACGTTCCATATTTGCTTGTAGACGGTGGCCACATTCAGTTCATCATCGGACAGCTTCTCTTCCCTCTGATGCATCACGGTCAGTTCACTCACGATGCTTGCACGAATGTTTGCACGCACCTCCTTCTGGAAGAGAGTCAACCAGATGGTGACTGCATAACACAACATCGCCCAAAAGCGGAGATAGGTGTCAAGCGAAAGACGGGGAGTTCCCCAGCGCGCAGCGAATGCTTCTGAGTTTAGAGCAAGGAAGACCGTGAATGAAGCGAAGTATCCGGTGTTAAGACCGATGGTCTGGCATGTCGATGCGTATGATAGGTTCTCTTGCGAGAGCAATGTGAGCGCCCAGCCTGCGTCATGCGGGTCAGATCAAGCGCGCGATTGGACATAGACACACGAACCGTCTACAGCGATATCCTGCGTTGCGGATAACATGACCATTGACGTGTAGACAAAAGTTAACCAGTAGACGTTACTCGCGGACTATTTGGTGTAAGCGTCCTGGTATCGATGATAGTAACGAAGGTCGCACCTTCGCGAGTAGATCCTCTGCGCCAAATGACATCCAGAACATCATAGTGCCGATAATGATCTGCATTGGTATGATCCATGACTTGCGCCGTCCGACGGAAGGTACGAATATTGAGTCGACGATAGGTGACCAGAGTAGTTTGAGGGAATACGGGTAGCTGGTTAGGGCGAACACGGCCAGCTGAGAGTACGATAAGTGTTCTCGGAGCAAGAATGGTACAGAGCCCAAGGCAAGCCCTAACTGAAGTGCCAGTCAGAATCTGGCTACGCGACTTCCTGATAAGATACGGTTCGTACTGGCACGCCCTGGATGAGGTCTATATGGCGTCAGCGCTCGCACGCTGTCTGATTCAGTGGCACGTACAGAGTATACATAGAAGCGCCATTGCCCTTTTATCCTCAGAGGATATGTGTCTATGGCCCTTCTCGACGCCGACGTCGCCGAAGCCGTCGACGGCGCGTTCGCGCTCGTCGAGCAGGCTCATCTCCACCTCCTCGTCCACGTTGGCATTCAGACGCGCGCCCATGTCTCGCGCAGTGCGAGGCGTGCGCGGCGTTATTTGTATGCTGTCCAGGTCCAGGCTGGTAGACATGGCTGCGTGCAGCGGTTTGGGCGGGTTCGGCATGGACGGATTCAGACTGGTCGCGTCCGTAGGAGTGGGCGGGACTGGCGAGCGTTGTCTCAGTTTCTGGCGAGACTGTCTTTTGCGCGGAGGCATGCGCGGTAGAGGTAAAGTGGGAGTTTTAAAAGGAGCGACGAGGGAAGATGTCAGACGTGGAGAGGCGGTGCGATAGCAGGATGCAGAAACTGACTTGTTCTGCCTCTGCTTGGCGCGCGACGACGTGGCCACTCGGAGTTTGCCCCTATTGATGTTGTTCTCTAACCACCACGACCAGCGTTTGAGACGAAGATAGCGGGGTGTCGCCCACTCTATTCCCCGCAGCTTTATAGACGGACATCATCATTGATCGCGTACGTGTGTTGATGAGGCAAAAACGCGGCTTGATTAAATGGAGCACGCCCGCTGCCATTGGCTCTGCCCATTCCGCCGATTTCTGGACGTCCCCTTGACGGCGGTAGCACTTCTCCAGGCGACTTCTGGTGCGCTTTACACTTCGTTTGACTGCGCTCTTTGCGGTACTGGCATTTATGGCAATCGCGCCAGCCTTATAGGCTGCGCAGTAAAGACTGCGAGTGCTTAAAGCGGGAAGCTGTCCGATTGGCTTCATGGTGCTCTCGAGGAAGGAGACGAGCGCTATCGACTATTCATGCAATGACATGCTTGCATAGTCGGGGCATAGACCAGCCGACATGGCTCGTGGAAGCTACATTCTATGGTTTCCCGCTGAACGGTACGCAGCGTACGCACACGTCGGGCACTTGTTTCCATCGTCTATGAGCTCCATAGGGCCACGAAAAACGTCCCCCATTCTCTCAAGGTCGATCAGTTTGCTGAAGAGATCAAAGCGATTCACAAGTATACGTCCTAGGCAATCCAGTGGCTCTGGCTGAAGTCCGTTATCATCAGGCGTGAGCTCGATGACGATAGAAGGCTGAGATTGCTCTGTCAAAGTCGGTGCAATTGCCTGGACGGACAAAGCAAACCGAGAGGAATGCCGACTCATGTCGATGTAGTCTTCTTTGCAAACGGAAATAATGCGGTGGAGGCAAGGGAGGGTAGCATAAGGTCGAAGACATTTTCGCGTCATCGGTCCTTGAAGTTAAATTATAGAGCTGTGTCATTGCTAGCAGCATGTCTGTACTATAGTCTTCTGCATCCTTACGTGCACCTCAGGGCGAATCATCATTGGCAGAGGCAATCGAACGGTCGGGAAGTTCTGTTTTTGACGAGTCTACTTATATTATTGTGTGAACAACATGCCATTTCGAGACTTGGTCCATGATGTACCGAACATCTCATGGTCTGGCAAGAGAGGCATGATAGTGTCTACAGAGCTTGATAGGGTGATGGTGGTAGAGATGAAAGAATGCTCACGCTTCGTAGCCTCACAAGCCTTCTTTTCCGCGACCACCATGACGAGCTTCACTTTCGACTTCGATCTCGCT